AGAGTTAAGAACTTAGAGTCTTACTCAATGAGCTTGTTCTACATATCTTTATTCAGTCTCTTTACAAATATCATTATTCAGGTCTTATTTCAGAGCTCTATTTTCACAGATCTCAATTCATATTATAATTTCATGAAGTGCTGTAAATAGTCTTTATCAGATTTCTCATCTCTTTTTCTAATATTAATAATTGCAGCTTAGATATTCTCTGTTCAGTTTACAGAGTCTCTCAACTTACTCTCTAAATAGATCTTGAGAACAGATCAGTGAGATCTCTCATAATTATTCTCTAAATAATTCAGTCAGTTCTTGACTTCAGTGTAATAGAGATCTGTTATTATATAGATAACAGCTTCTTCATCTTTCATATCACATAGTCAGACTTGTAAGTCAATTTCAAATACAAACTTGCAAAAGCTTTTATAGATTGTGATTCAATAAGTAATCTTAAGTGATTATAACTTAAGAAAGTTTCTTTTCAGTTCATAGATGTCTCTGAATATCATGTCTAGAGACTCAGTTTAAAAGTGTTTATAGACAGTAAGTATTTCTTATAGAAAAATAGCTTGATTCTGTAGAAGATACTCAAGAATGTTCTTCACTGAGATTAATTTATTCATGAGTTCAAAGAATTTCTCTGTTATAGATGTAGAGAATGATATTCTATGAGTGATTAATAAGTTCTCTGAGACTTCTTTTATAGAGATTATTTATAATTCAGATAACTGCTTCTGAGTGTCTGCAGTAGAGTTTGCAGGGATTAAAGCATACAAGTTTCTAGTTCTTTCAGTTATAATAAGCAGTTACTGACTGACTGAGCTTGAAATGTAAGAATAAGTGCTTGCAGATGATTATTTGAGTGTTTACAGCTTGACATAATATATACTGTTAACTACTAGAAGTATTCATAATAGAAAGATAAAATATAGAGATTAAATGTATAATAGTATTCAAGCTGAGTTATGAATAGTATTCATGAACTTCAGTCTATATAGTTGTGTGTAGTCAAGGGCTGCTAGCTCTATTAATTACGCGAGAGATAGAAATAGAGGTAAAGAATCCGCGAGAAGCGGGATTTCTTACAGTACTGTATTTCATTCACAGACTGATGATCAGACTGAATATCAGAATCAGATACTAGAATAGTATCTTTAAGTGTTCTGTTCATATTATTAGAATGATTAACTCAAACATCTTCTAATCACTGAATTTGTATATAATAATATAAAGAATGTAATCTTAAAGATATCTTTTTTCTATACTTATTATAAATATAATTCTTCATTACTCAGTGATGTTGCAGATGACATTTCAAAGAGAGAAATAAATAGTCAGAATATTGAACAGATACAGAGAACAGAGTATCTCTCAGTACTAGAAGTAAAAGTAAGATTAAAACTTTTGAATAAAATTCATGAGAAGACAGTGAAAAGTATTCACTATACTCAGAAGTAGTAGATAAAATACTATAATTAAAAACATCTTTTAATGAAGTTCTTGATAGAGAATCAAGTACTACTTTCAGCAAAGAATATCAAGATAATAAGACTATGTAAGAAACTCAGTAAGTGATAGCTAGAATCTTTCTCAGTAATAAGAGTGATAAGTAAGCAGATATATAAGTTGAAATTATTCATAGAATTAAAATCAATTCATTCTATTTTTCATATTTTCTATTTAAAGCTCTATAAGTAATATTCTGAGATGAAGTCATCTCAGCTGAATAACATTGAGATCAAGAGTGATACTGAATATCTTATGAAGAAAATATTAAATAAGTGAATATATTACAGTAAGCTTCAATATCTTGTTAAATAAGAAGAATATTTATTATCAGAGAATTCATAAAAACTGCTTAAGCATTTGAAAAATACTAAGAAAGAGATTGTAAGCTATAAGATAACTAGTAGAGATTACTCTGTTATATATCAGAGATATTAGATAAGAAATACTGTTTAAAGACTTTTTATTTTTCTTAAAGAATTTTTTAGAGATAATCTTATAGTAATAAGTCAGTGTTTTATAGACTCTGTAACACTCTTCTTCTATTTTCTCTTAAAGAGTTTTTTAGAAGTTTAATAAGACTATATAAGTGTAAAATTTCTGAAGTGATTAATAAGAAAAGAAAGAGATATTTAAAATTAATAAAAAGATTAATATTAATTAACTTATAGATCACTACTAATCTAATAAGACTGCAGCCTGTTGAAAAAGTAAAAAGAGAGAATCTCAGAGTCTACTTATTAATAATTATATTCTTATTAAACTCATTCTTCACTGTTGAAGTCTCTGATACTAATATCTTTATCTACTGAGAAGTTAGTACTGCAGTGCTGTAGAGAAGTATACTGTAGAAGAGTATAAGAAATACTTGAAATATTAATTTATTAATTTATAAAGTATCTCAGTTATCTGCTTCAATTGAAGTGAGATTCTCTTTAATTAGTAATTAATTTTTATAACACTTTCAACAGTAGTACTGACTGACTTCTTCTTAAGATCAGTTATTCTGAGATATTTTTTTATCTCAGAGACTTATACTTTCATCTCTTTTTATAAATAAGTAAGAGAGATCTCTTCAGTCTTGATAAAATTTATTAATATTTAAAGCTCTGAGACTCTTACTCTGTACTGCTTAAGTATCTAGACTTTTTATCAGAGCTGATATAATATCTTTCTATAAGATAATACTTACAGAGAGATAGAAGTTATTATTATAAGTATAACAGAAATAATAGAAGTAAGAGAAGAAATAGATATATAAAATTCCTTCTTTCTTCAGCTGCTTGATATAGTATAGATAAGTAGTAGTATTAGTCAGAGACTGCACTGAAGCCTTCTTACAGAGAGAAGATAAAGAAACTGTAGAACTCTGCAGACTTAACTCAGTAGTAGCTTAAACAGAGCTCAGATATACTGTGAAAGAGAAACTATGAATTAAGCTTCTTAAAGTTACTATCTCTGAAATCAAGCTCTCTCTGAGTTTCTCTCTGAATGATCACACAGGGTTATATATCACTGTATTGACTGAGAGAAGAGACAGTGTTATAACAGTGATAAGAGAAACAGAGAACAGATTGAATACAGATACATCAGTCAGTAGAAGAGATAACATCTCACTGTAAGATACAGTAACTTCTATCACAGCTGTAAGAGATGTAGAAGAAGAAGAAGATATAATAATAAGAGTAGTACTCTCACAGCTTATTAACATCACTATCTCTGTCTTTAATCTGACTTTTTTAACAGTTATAGAGACTGCAGCTGCATCATAAAGATATTTATTTACTAGAAAATATCAGAATAAGCTCTTTATTATTCTTCAAGAATAATACTCTTATACACTCACTGTTACAATTGAGAAGAGAGAAGAAGAAAAATATTTCACAGAGAGAGAGATCTTTTTAAAAAATCCTACTACTACTGTTAACTTTATCTCTAAAATACATCACTTTTATAGAGAATTTTATATATAGAACAGAATATAATAAGAGATCTATAAGTTACTTATTAACTACATTTTCTTCATCTTAAATTAATATATAAGAAACTCACTTATCATATATTTAATTTGAATGAAGATGAGTAAAGAAAGATCTACATAGTCAGTAGAAAAACTTATTTATTTCTTTATATTATATATAGTATAATCAGTTAATAACTATTACTATATAATAAAGATAATTTCTAATTCAGTAATCTTAAGAATATAGAGACTATACTTTTAAAGAGAAGAGTATTATTATACTCTCAGTTATATTAAGACTCTGTTACAGTTTTACACAGCTTATTACTTTTATACAGATAATTTCATTTATCTCACAGACTATCTGAACTAGTTTTCAATCACTCTATAATATTATTCAGATATATTATAGAAAGATTTAATTAATGAATATAAGAACTCTACTTCTATATAAGATTAGCAGATTACTTTTCCTTGATAGTAAGACACTGCTGAGGTATTACTCTAGCTATTCTTACTTATGAAATGAGAGAAGATATTCACTCATTATCTATATAGAATAGCTAGATGCTGACTTCTTATAAAAGAAGTCAGTGATTTGTTTTTCTTCTACTGAAATATATATAAGAGTTACTGCATGTCTTATACAATATTCTTAGTATACTAAGTATCATATCTGTGATATTCTTACAATAACTCTGTAGTCTATGAGCTCACTATTCAAGCAAGATAGTCAAGCTCACTTATATGACTTCTCAAATAACTATCTCTACATGACACCGCTGACTAGCCACCGCTTCGGTTCCGTCATGTTACACTCGATCACCACCAGCGCACTGCTGGTAGAAGGGCCGATCAACCGCGGGACTCTCAACACTCCCTCTCGGACCAGCTATCACAGAGTCAGTACTTTCTCTCAGTAGCTCTCTTCAGTGGCCTTCTCACAATGACTTCTTTTTAATAATGGACTCAGTCAGTCCTAGGGCTCACGGGACTTCTAGGGCTTCTGAGATGTCTCTTGGCACTGTTAAAATGTTCAGGGTATTTGTTAGGAATTTTTAAGTTCATTCTGGGATTGAACCCATGCATGTTGACCACAGCGGGGCTCACGCTCAACGGTCTCATAACCTGTAGGCTACTGGGGCAAAAGAGCTCGATCACCACCAGCGCACTGCTGGTAGAAGGGCCGACCAACCGCGGGACCCCCAACAGGTTGTTCCAAGGTTGCCACGGTGATCACGTGCCTGTAAATGCCAAGCATTAAGTTGTGCAAGCTGAGTCATATGTCACGTGATTAGTATTTCCGAACTGGGAAGTGTTCTGCCCTAACCTACCTCTGCCTTTGCCTTTCTACTACTTACTCGTTCTGTTCTGTCTTCAACTCATCTTCCCTTTATATCTGGAATTATCATGAAACATTCTGCGCGTGTAAGGTTTCTTGACTTCTCATTCATCTTCTTCCCAGAACTGATGAATATATGGAATAGAAATAGTTTATATTCCATTTGATGTTTGGGCCTTGAGAACTTTGGAACTTCTTATTATTATTAAATTAATTTGAGTTTTTTGCAACTGACAAACCAACCATGCTTGGCGAAATTGCAAGGCGCAGATTGCGTGATTTGCATCAACCATGAGCAAATTCCCCCCTGCGTTACTGTGATACTGCGATACTGCGATACTGCGTTACTGCGATACTGCGTTACTGCGGAGTATTAAATTCTTCTTCTTCTTCTTCTTCTCGCGTGGTGGCAGACTAGACTGGCAGCCCACTCACTGGTGACAGTGGTGAGATTCGTCGCCCGGATTGCGCCAGAATAGCGAATATTAATAGAGCCTGGTTGTGGGGTCTTGTCCGCAGCCTGTACGGTACAGTACGGGATGTACTGGATGCCCTGGATGCGATGATGCGATTTGGGGGCTGTCTATCTATCCTGTCCTGTCCTGTGCTGTCCTGTGCTGTGCTGTGCTGTGCTGTGCTTGACTGCAAAGGAAAGGAAAAGGTTAGGAAAAGGTTAGGAAAAGGGGGCAGGCAGGAATGCATCTTGCTGGTTGTTCTCAGTCAGTCCTCCGATTTTCCCTATCTATCAGGAGTAAAAGGGCCCGGGCCTGGGGTTCGCTTTTTTCTCCTCTCTTTCTTTCTCTCCAACTTTCTCTCTTTCTCTCTCTTTCTCTCTCTTTTATTATTATTACTATTATTATTACTATTATTATTATCATTATTATTGCTCATCTTGAGCCGTCTTTGTTTTTGATTTCTAAGACGCCATTCTAGCCTGGGTTCCTACCCATCGCACATATCCCTTTTTTGTCAGCAATCCATCCACCTTTTGTCTCCCTCCTCCTTGCATGCTCACATACAACCTTGCTACCTACCCCATTCATTCGAGTATTTAAATATATATACTATCAATTCTTCGCCGCCTGGGTTGGTTGTTGAGATGTGCTTCAATTCCTTAGCTGTACAAGAAAATCAAAGCCGTCCTTCTTACCCTGTCAAAATGCCGTCCAAAATCACTTCCAGCTACCCTTCTGATACAGAAGCCGAGTCTGGATATGTCAGTGCCAGCACCAGTGAAGCCAGCCTACCAGAACTCGTCTTCACCAAACCACACTTGAAATTCCTTAATAAACAGCTTCAATTCCTAGAACCCCAGGGTATGTTCATTCATACGAAGCTAAAACTAGTCAACTTTATATACCTTCCTTCCATATATATACACTCTCTCAATTGATCAAAACTAACAACATCCCCAGATATCCTCCGCTGGTGTATCACAACGTTACCAGGCCTCTATCAAACGACTGCATTCGGCCTAACAGGGCTTGCCACAGTCGACATGATTTCCAAACTCAACATCCCTCTCTCTCAAACGGTCGATCTCATCTTCCTTGATACGCTTCATCACTTCAAAGAGACACTGGCCCTTGTAGACCGTGTCCGCAAACACTACCCTTCAACAAACATCCACATCTACAAGCCACACGGTGCCTCCACTGCCGAGGAATTCTCACAAAAATACGGCCCCAAACTCTGGGAATCGAACGACCAGCTCTACGATTGGTTAGCCAAAGTCGAGCCAGCCCGGCGAGCCTACAACGAGCTGCAAGTCAACGCCGTGCTCACCGGCCGCAGACGCAGCCAGGGCGGCAAACGGGGTGACCTGGATATCATCGAGGTCGATGAGGCTGGTCTGATCAAGATCAACCCGCTGGCGAACTGGTCCTTTGCACAGGTCAAAGAATACATCACGGCAAGTAACGTGCCCTACAATGAGCTGTTGGATAGGGGCTATAAGAGTGTAGGTGACTGGCACTCGACGGAGCCCGTGAAGGATAATGAGGATGAGAGATCCGGGCGGTGGAAGGGCCAGCAGAAGACTGAGTGTGGGATTCACAACCCCCTCTCGAAGTATGCTCAGTTCCTGCGCGATCAGGAACTTAAGAGGCAGGGGGAGGCTATTAGCCAGGCGCTTAAGGTGGAGAGAAATTGAGAGCCCTGCTTCCAACCCTCTTGTTACAATTTTGATTTCTTTTTGATTTTTTTTTCGATTTTTTTTCGATTTTTTTTTTTTTTTCACCTTTCTTTGTCTAGGCTTTTGCATATAACGATACAGGATAATACGGCGCTAATAGGGCGGGGAGGGTCTGTTTCGTTTTGTTTGGAATGCTTTCGATACTATTCCTCTGCTTCTCTTTTCATGAAAGGCATACATACATACCCCTTGATATATGCTTGTATATACATAGCAAAATAGAATATTATACTTAAGAGAGGGCTTATCAGTTGGATATATGGCTTCGACGCGCATGAAAGAGAAATTTTACCCGTGCGACTTGAGGTCAATCGCATATTACAACAGGATTAGCACTCGGGGTTAGGCGGGTGATGAATGAGGATATAACCAACTCCCATATGATATAGACGTCGTCCTCCACAGCTTTAATTATGATAGCATAATCAGGCCAACCCACTCGCACTCATATGCTCAATGTATTAACATATGTAATCCCCATCCCATCCTAATAACTAGTTCTCATCTAAACTAGCCTACGCCTATTTAATACACATATCATATACCGTCCCAATTGGTAGATCCGGCATAAAGTACCCCCCCCCTCAACCGCCCCGTCCATAACATCAACATCAAACGGGTTCTGCGTAATCACCCCACCCCCCCAACGAACCCTTCATTGACAATGACACTTCCGCCAATAGCACCATGCTCTTCATCTCAACAAGGGTCAACCCGCCCACGCGGCCCAAAACACCAGCACAAATCATCAGCGCTGGATAGATACCCCGATAATCAATGAAGAAACTCGGGGCTGCGAATCTTCTCTGATGGCTTTGCGAAAGCAGCAAAACCCGGCACACCACCATTACCACCACTCCAACCATAACCATAACCATAAACCATAACCATAACCATCCAAATCCCCAAACCGCAGCCTCAACGCGGCCCCCAATTCAGCGCCAACAGCTTGTTCTCCCGCGCAACCCCTCCCCACAGCCCCCATAAGCGAAATGCGTCTCAGCCCGCAACGACCACGCATCAACCCTAACAACCGCGCGCCGGGGAACCCGGCCCCGGACTGCGCAAATCGTCATCCCGATGTGTCGGCCGTCATAGTCGATGCCGCCCGGGTGATATTCTTCGTCGTTTCCCCCGCCCAGTGTACCGTACCGGAGGGAGAGCTGCGCATCAGCGATGCGGGTGGTGCCCGGTCCCGTCGAAGAGGACGAGACCATTTTGTGTGTTTGCGTTAAGAGATGGGTGAAGAGGGTGGCTATTTTGGTCCGCTTTTGTGGAAGGGGTTGGGTAGTGGTGGATTTTCAGAGAGAATGCATGTGAGAATGATATTGGGGATAGGAAGAGGAGAAGGAAAGATGCCCAGGCGGCCAGGGGGGGACATAGCGATCATTGTGAGCAGGAAGATTATCATATCAGTCTCTGTGAGCTCGTCGTCTCTTTCTCCGCTCGGTGGTTAGCTCGTTCAGGAGTTAGGGGGATTGTTCAAGAATAATAGGTATTTTGAAGCTGCTCCAAGATCATCGGAGCGAAGGCCTAACTAAAGGTTGTGGCGAACCATGCCTTGGTTCATGCGTAACGGCTTAAATAGCCCGCAATGGGGCCGAAAAATCTGGGGTTGAAAATCTTTTTACCAAAAAAAGAAAAGAAAAGAAAAGAAACGAAAAATATCATAACCGTCATATTGGTCCATACTAGATTAAAGCCTTCTTCTTCGGCTCTTATATATATATGTGTGTATGGTATGTGCAACCCAAGCAAACTATGTGTCTAAAAGAACAACCATTAAGAAAAAGATATGACACAGGTGAAAAAAAAAGGACATGATCCAAAATAACAATCCTAATCATCACCCAAAATTTCCCCGTCAAGAATCAATAATCCACAAAGCCCCCATCCTTCCCGTCCCTATCCAACATATATCTAAACCTCTCCTTCTCAGCCTTTCCTTTCAGATATGCGGGTACATCCCGGTTCGCCTCGACCCTCTCATAAACCTGACTAGGCCTATTAAACAAATCCTTCCCCGTCCTCACCACCTCGACAATATGCTCCTTGTTCGTAAACTCAGGACGATTATACTCCGTATGCGAGAAACTCACAATCTTAGTCTGCATCTCCTTCACAGTCGCAAAGCACGAGCTACAATGCCATGACGCATTGAATAGGTCTGCCATGGGGCCGAACATATTTTGCACGACCGACCTCCCGCGCCCCATGCGCAGGTCGTCTGGCTTTATCGTCTCTTCATAGCCTTCATAATATGTCGCTTGTGGGTGCGCCCAGTCCGGCCCCTTGTGCAGCCATTGGAAACTGTAGTAGTAGAACCTGCTACGCAAGTTGATACGGCGGGGGAAGCTGCAGGTGCGGAGCAAGGTAACAGTGGCTGGGCGGGGGATCTCGTCGATGTCGGAGATGATAATGACGTCGTCGAGCTGCGGTGCGGCCGCGGGTTTGGCGGCAACGGGATTCTTCGCGCTAGGTTGGCCGAGGGTTGGGAAAACCTGGGTGAAGCCGGAGTCTCGTTGGAATTTCTCGCGGTCGAAAGCCTTGCGTACGTTTTCGCCGTCTCCTTCCACGAGATGGTGGATTATTTTATCGTGGAAGCGAGAGAATTTGGCCCAGATATTTGTGTCAGTGAGGAGGGTGGGCTTTGGGCGGCCGGTGAAGGTTGTGTTGGCTTCGACGATTATGAAGTAGTCGACATGGTCGTTCAGTTCGTTTAGGCGGATTTCGAGCCAGTCAAGTTCGGTATTGAGGAGAAAGATGTCATAAACTTTTCGAGCCGGAGGCCGGGTGTTCTGATCGCCCTTGCGGCTCTGTTGTCCCCTCTTATAGACTGGCCAGTTGTAGAGGCCGCAGAGCTCGCCGGCTTTCTGCGCTGTTAACCCACTTTGGCCGTTACTGTTCGGCTTTTGGCGAGCGCGGTCGGCTTCCATGTCCTGGAGGGCTTCGCCGACATATTGTTGGGTAGAAGTGGTTATCCATGAGTACAAACCGCCGATGCATAATAAAAATATCGAGACATAGAGAATAAGGGATTTGATCCCCAGACGTGGGCCAAGGATCATTCTTGGGATGCGACGAGGCTGAGTATGTCGGGTTCATCAAGAACGAAGGGGTGAAAGTTTAAGTATTAAGTTTATTTTAGAGCACAGCAACCATGGGGCCGTGGCAGCCGTGACATGAAGAATAACATAAACAGGTGTATGCACAGGGGCGCGGAAAAAAAATGATTTGTAACGAGGTGAAAACTCTTGCTACCAGAGCACAGCAAGCTGAGCTGGAGGCAGCATAGAGTCAGGGGCCGGCGGCTCTGCCACCGAGGATGAACGAGGTGGCATTGGAAGGTTTCCTTGCCGGGTAACTAGTTAGCTGGTCCGTTATTTTCACTTTTTCTGTTTGACCATGCTGGATCAGGCAATGGTGGCAGAAAATCGGCCTGATGGCGTTCCATGTCTCGCTTGACATTGACCCAGAGGATTCGGCCGCTCCGCAAAAAAAGAAAAAAACAATGAGAGAAAAGAAAAGGTAAAGAACAGAGCGACGCGAGCAGTATCAAAGCACACCGGGTGCACCTTGCAAGACGTAAAGTTACGTGTCTATAGCTCTTCTAGTGTCGCTGCTTGGAGCCATCGCGGGAAACGCCCCAGTTCACAAAAAGCTCCCGAAGCCAGCACCAATCCCGACCGACGGGGCCCGACGGCTGAGCCTCCACGCGGGTAAATGATCATGAGAGAAAATAAACGAAGAAAAGAAAAGAATGCACTCCACAATGCACCATTGGAATATAATGATTTAAAACTCCTGTTAAATGGAAGTCGGAAATAAAGCACTTATTATATTAGAAACGGTACATGTATGTACTGTACAATGCGCTGGCCATTTCTTGCAATGGGATCTCAGTCCTGATTGTTGAAATATTTTGGGCTTTTTTCAATGTCTCCCTACGACGGTGGTAACGGGTCCAGTGTAGGTCTTCCTGCCTTGCACAAAGTACATCACAAGACTGATAATAACCACGCCGCTAAATATGACAATGCTCCAATTGAAATTGCTTACAGTAACATGTCGATCTCCAGGCCAGAATGACCAGAAGAGTGCGAACAGAACATACCCGAGGCCAATTCCATTAACAATTGGACCAACGACTGGACCCAAACTCCAGCGCGCGTGGGGTAACAGCTCTGGGCGTGTAAGGCGAAGATAGAGCACACAGCTAATCGAGACGACGTATGTGGCCATGAGAGCAGCAACATTGAGAGATATAATGGCATGGAATGCGGCGCTTGATCCCAGGTTGATGAGCGAGAGAAGTACACTGATAAGACAGGAAACAAATATCGCGTTGGCCGGGATATGTTTCTTTGGGTGGACAGCGGAAAGCCATTTGGCAAAAGGGAGGCCTTTGTCTCGAGCGAAAGAGAACGTTTGCCGGGATGCAGAGGCATTAAAGGAAACGTTGCTTGCAATAACTAATACAAGAATGACAATGGTGAGTGCGTTAACTCCCTTGGTGGACACAGCGTTGCGGAATACGTAGATGAAGGGAAATGTTGAGGGGTCGTTAAGAGCGTCCTCCACGGATGGAATGGAGAAGATATAGGTGACGATAAATATGATGGCTAGGATTCCATTTGCCATATACCCCCAAGCAATCGCATTGGGTACGTTTCTTCCAGCATCCTTGACTTCTTCTGCCATGTGTGCAGTTGCATCAACACCTTTGTGGTACAACCAAGTTTTAGCCAAATTCTTCGTTGAGCGGGTTAGTTGAGGAAAAACATACTCAAGCCTCCATATATGGCAGAGAGCTGCCCGACCATAACGCTGACTCCAACACTTGGCCAATCTCCACCGTTTCGGAACTCTGTAAACACTGCTCGAGCGGATTGATGGGGAGCCATGACCCATAAAACAACCACGACGGCAAGAAAACCGAAGATATGGACAACAAGGAGCAAATTCTGGATCATGGGCAGGCCTTGAGCCACCCATATGTTGAAAACGTAAATTAGAGCCACCATCGCAAAGACAAGTAGGGTGCCCCGCCAAGGGGTAGCTTCATAATCCGGTTTGTTGACAGTTAGAAGGCCTTGAATAATATTTCCCGTGAGGAACGATCCAGATGCTGCGCCAGCTTGCCAAGCTAGGACTGATAACCATCCTGAATTAAAGACATTAGTATCAACTGCATCGATATATCGACATCAATAGTTCATCGGGCTTTCTCACTAACCCGTGATGTAACTCAAGAACTTCTGATGTTTCTCTGATGCAAATTCAGAGACCCAATGGTATTGACCTCCAGAGATTGGTGCCCTATCAATTCGAGAAGAATGGATATTAGCATGTCCTTCTCATTATTAGACAAAACAGCGTAACCTCGCCTGGGGCACTTGAAAATTTACATAGAGGCCATTTCTGCAAGAGAGAAAATCACGAAACCAAAACCAATGAAGGTCCAGAGATACGACCAGAATAGCCCAGCGAGGCCGCCATTGATAAGTCCTTCAGTGTTAGATCTTGCAAAGTTTCAAGTGAGATTAGCCCGAATCCTTAAGTATGTAGCCCCCGGTATCTAGCTCCTAGAATAGTGAGTGGTTCGTTGGCTCACATCAACATAAACTCCCAGGTAGCTTGCAGGATGAGGGCAAAGCTTAGGGCAGAAAGCGGCCGGTAGTTTCTCTACCTCCCACAAGTCAGTAAACCATATCCGTATCGAGGTGCCACTTTCTGCGGGGAAACAGACGATTAATTCCTGTCGTTTGCCCATACGATTCATATCCTTTCGGTCATTTTTAGTATGTCCCCGCCTCACTATTTCATCCCCCGCGCCATCGTCGAGACTATCTTCGATGTCATCCATGTCATACTGGTCCGGGGTTTCGTACATAGATTCCTGAGGGGAGGAGCCTTTTGCAGAGGCCTGTTGAGTCGCGCCATCTGTGGTGGTGGCCATTGTTGTTGATAACTGATCGAGCAAGGAATATGTCAGGTGTATCCGAGACCACATGGGCAGTCAGAGAATGAACTGTACGGAACGTATATATGGATCGTGTATAAAAATCACACATATGAGAAATTGCCTCTGGGGCCAGGTGGAATAGAAGGGCTGAGGTGGGCAAGGTGAAGGGAACAGAATGAAAATCCAGAATAGAAAAAAAATGTGTGATGCAAGTTGCCTGCACGACAAGCGACTGTTCCGATCATGAGAAAGGATGATCACTACAATATACACACCCCCGCAACAGAAAGAGAGAAAGAGAACACGAGAGACGCAAAACCAAGAATAAAAGAAACCCAAAAAGAAAATTAGAATACGAAGAGGGAAAAATAGGAAGAATCTCTAAGCCTGCCTCGTTCTGGAAAGTCAACAACAAGGTGCTTGTCACCACTCTCTGTGCCGCCAGGTTTCGGATGACCGTGAGAAGATCACAGAGACCTTAACTCCTCGAATTTTCGGAGCGGTGAGTTTGGGACAAAGGACTGCGGCCTTGGTGATAGATGGAGAAGGACTATTTGGATATGCTGTAGGGGAAGTATATTATCCCTACAGTCCCACCACATACACAGCAGCAGTGAAACAAAAACTGACATCGAAATATCTCAAGGTTCAGCCGTTGCTCTCGTCTTTGTTTCTTCCCTTATAGACGCCCCGCATGCCACAGACAGGTATGTTTTTAGCATATTCAGATGTACAACGGGTGCCATATGAACAGAACAAGTATATCAGGCGCAATTAAGGAGGACAGAAAAACACATCAGGAAGGATTTATCTTGCTTTCTGTATCACCCGTGGCACCCGACTCGCAGAACGTTTGCCGGGCTCGCACAACGAGCTCGTCATTCTTTTTTGGCCATTATGACGCATCCCGCGGAGACCACGTCTATATCACAAGTGCTGTAAGTGATAAGAATTTGTTATTCTGTATTTATAGTCGTTTTAGGAGTGATATAAACGTGGATCAAGCTCGTATGAAGCAAGCGCCCACAACCTGAACACACAAACAATGGTTCAAGCTTGGGACATACCAGTCGGAGGGTATACGTGAAATCAACAACATGTGGTTTTATCCTCTATGCCAAAAGGATCAATAATCCTCAGGCCACACACTAATTCAGATCTGATATTGTGGTTCAGTCCGTCCAAGGAATTGGCTAGTTCTGCCAAATTCGCCGGCTCGTTTAGGAGGCCCACACAGAGACTATTTATTTTAAGAATAAGGTTAAATCAATCAGAAACGCTCGAGTTTAAATCTACTATGTATCAACTCGGTGATTTAAGTTACTAACAACTATATTTATGTAAATATCTTTAATAAGAGTATGGAGTGAGAAGAGGAGCTTTCTCACATGCTATCTAAACTCTTAGATCAACAATGTTTTTGAACTTGCATATATAACAGTTGAATCTAAACATGTTCATCATCTGTCTGACACTGTCTCCGCTGCCCGCTAGCTTTGCTAGCCCCTGATGCGAACCAAAAAGAACTCTTTAAAATTTAAAGAGCCATATATTCCCCACAACGCCCACCTCATGCAAGTTATTTTTTACTCTTATGAACAGACTCACTGCCGCCAAAAAACAAGAGAATATTCCAATTGTTTCACGACTAAATTTGGGTGGTTAATCTGCCAAAAACCAAACTTTTTTGGAAGGCTCTCGGAGAGCGGACAACGAACGCTAAACAACCATGGTAAAATGGCCATTAGTTGTAATTATTTAATTCCCTGAGGGATGAACAGCTTATGTTAATTACAAAGTTTCTCATCAAGTCATCGAAAATCGGAGCTGGGATCAGTGTAGTCGATAAGGGCCATGCATTTTTGACTTTCGTTTTGCACTGCTTCCGCTTGCCAGCCACCCACCCACCGGGAATGATATAGTACACTCACTGGGAGGGTTCTCTTTGGGGTTCCACGAATGATGTGATCACCCGAGATGTCGATTTACAGCCTCATTAGAACGCCATTACAAGATTGGGACCCGGGAGGAGATTGGTTGCGGACGTTGAATGCTCTGCCAATGAACGAAAGCGGGCACTTCCGATGACTCTCGTCGAACCTGTTCTGCAAAAATTAAAACTATCATATTAAGGGTTCATATCCTATCTTTGGTCTCCAGGCAGACTCCATGGGAGCTGTCCTACCTCCAACAGAGTGCACCATGGCTGTACAGCCTTCTCATTCGGAGACTGGGGAGAGTGTCAACTTCTTCTATAAACGGTGATGCTTTTGTTTTAACCCCCCGATACCAATATTCCTTTGATATCACGCATTAGAGCAAATACTGTTTTCTTAGTTTCGGCCACCACTTCTGAGTGTCTGTATTTACATGGCAGCAGCAAAGCCATTGCCCCCTGGGATTTCGGAACCTCTGGCGGTAGACACTAGCAACGACCATAGCGGATTTATAGCAATCATTACGGCACTGTTTCTTGGATATGCGCTTGTTTCTTTGGGGATACGTGCATATGTCCGGCATTCTAGACATGTGGTCAAAACGGATGATTATGTTCTCCTGGTAGCAATGGTGAGATTGCCTGTTGCTGCAAATCGGAAGTATCGTGGGTGCGTAACAAAATAGCGCTCCGCTAACATGAGATTTTCAGGTTTTATTTTGTATCCAATCATCGGTTGTGTTCGTTCAGATAGGTAATGGATGGGGCAAATCGAGGGAGCTTCTCACACCACGTCCCCATATTGCACTGCTCAAGGTATGCTGAAGTTCCTATTTGGGCATGTCGATTAAACGAAAGAAGTGCTAAAGGATAATTCAAACATAGGCAACCTACGCTGCGGATATGCTATACGTACTCACCCATTGCGTTTCAAAATGCTCCGCGGCGCTCTTTTACCTTCGGATATCTCCAGGTCGTTCCCATATCTTCATGGCGTGGGGATTGGTTGGCTTGTCAGTGATCTGGGCAGTGATATCTATGATTTTAATATCATTAGGTTGCGACCATTCTCGGCCGTGGACAGATATTAGCTCGAAATGTGCCGGTGTGGTAAGATATGTCATTGCTATGAAAAATTCTGGTGTAGTCATGGGAGCTAAATGCCTTGAACCACACAGTTTCCTCGTTGGCAGTTCATAGGGGCGTTTGATATAATCACCGAGATTGGCTTATCATCTGTACCGTTTTTTCTTGTAGCCGGTATTCAAATGCATGCCAGCAGGAAGATCGTTGTTGTCCTGGCATTCAGTTCTCGTCTGCTGTGAGTCGTCCCAGTTCGGTCAATCCGGTAACATCGAGTCTATATAATCACGACATCTTCCAAAAAAAAAACCAAATGTTCGCTCTCTAACCCAAACTGCAGCGTCACAATCCCTTCAGCCTTCCACATACACTATGTGAAAAGAATGCTCGACTCCTCCGATTATACTCTGGTGGGCAGCTACGCCACAATAAGCCTGCAGTTAGAATTGAGTTACGGAATCATGGCAAACACGATCCCCTGCCTCAAGCCCTTTATGGCCGCATACGAAGCAACCGGTACACCGTCTTACACAAGCCGCATCCATAGCCACGGTAGAAGTCAAAGTAATAGCGGAAATAGCAAGGGCACTCGGAGTCGCTACATTCGCGACAGCACTTTAGCCCTCTCGACGATCCCATCAGTCAAATTTAACAACCGTCGTGTAAGCAATGCAAGCACAGTGGCCCAGAAAGACGCGCCGCAACCACCACGACCACTGCTACTACAGAAATATTCTTCCAGGAACAAGCAATCGCAAACATCACGAGCGAATGCGATTAGCTACGCTACAAGGTTAGAGCCCGGTAGCCAGGAACTAGCGGGTCCTAGTTTCAGAGATGACGACAGTAAACGGCTAATTATAAAAAAGGATGTTAATTGGAATGTTGAGTGTTCGAAAAGTGCGGAGCGGAAAGTGGATGGCTCTACACCTGGAACCAACGCAACTTGATGACTTAATTTAAACCCATGTCTTATCTGTTTTATTTTATTTTTTCTAGTTGGAAAAGTCTTCGAATTCTGGACATCTTGGCAGATTTAATTTTTCATATCGTAAATGTAGGTAACTTAGGAGTCACGAGGGATGATGAAATCTTTCGCTCGGGGAAGAGGATGGAAATGTTAATTGTTTCTCTAGCGTGGCCTTGAAAAGAATTTATATTTTCGTATAAGCTCAGCAATCATCTCCTTCTTTTAACCGAGATCAAGCAGGTAGAATGCATCTCGAATAACGTCTGGACAACAGCGGATGAAATAAGGCCAAAGCGTTCTCTTAATTAAGCTTAACGGGTCCCACCCAGAACCAATGTTCGATCTCACAACTGCCCCACTTAGTTCCATGGTACGTCCATACGATGAGAGGAGCAGGTTTTTTTTTTTTTTTTTTTTTTTTTTTTTTTTTTTTTTTTTTTTTTTCTTTTTCAAACTTGGTCCTAGCCTCTACCTACGATTTTGGCCACGCTGGGCAATTGGATGGGGCGCAACTGTCAAAAACAAAATTTGGGGGCTATGAACGAACTGCTCACAGTTGCTATTATCTCATAGGGGTAGACTGGCCCATGAGACTTAGTTCGTTTGGGCTAAGTGACTGACTTGAATCCGCAGTTTCTATATACATGCCTTTCGCTCGTCCTTCGAAGAATGTAGTGGAAAGTGAAACCCATGGATCAAGTCATACTTTTCGCGGAAAACAAGGAAGCGGGCTATATAGTTCTGCTGAATAGTGACAGGACATACGGGAAAATAAACCATCCCACGCAAAAATAAACACCCCGAAGTAAGCTAAGTCCGTAAATAATAATACAAACCACAAACCAAGCAGCCCTCCCTCGAAAAGAAAGGGTGAAGAATAAAGGTTACAACTAATCATTTTCATATTCAAATCACCCCACAACCACCGACATCCCATAATCCGCAAATCCCGGATTACCCAAGATATACCTCAACGTCTTCTCTCGCTCCTTAACAATCAATTCCTCAGCCTCCCACCGTCTCCTCTCCATCTCCTTCTCCTTCACCTTATTCCTACCTAGCCTAGACCACCACAACCACGACCCCTTACCAGCCCTATCCATGCTCTCCAACTCCTCATTTTCCGCTTTGACAACTAACCGACGCACCATCTGCTTCCAATTATCTAGACCTGCCTTGACACACTCCCGGCAGCGCTGGTGTGCGTCGGAATGGTTCATGGACAAGCTGTGGCTGCTGCTGCCGGTGTTGTTTGGTGACATGACGGCAGAGGTGGGATGGGAACTTTCTTCCTCATCACCATTGAGTTGGAGGATGGTGGCTTCGGCTAGGTCTACAGCATCACGGGTCCATGCTAGGCCACGCTCTTGCGACGAGGAGGTAAAGATTATCTCGCCAATGTATACCATCAGGCCTGCTTCTTCGCAGGTGGTGTAGAGGGAGCGCACTGCGCGCTCGTTGCCGGTTCGGGTTGGGAGCGGGTATTCAGGAGGTGTTAGGAAGGAGAGGATAGATTTGGAAATACGGGTAAGGGAGGAGTCGTTCTTCGACCTCGACTCATTTGGTGGAGGAGAAATTGTCTGAGGTCTTGCTGTAGAGTCCTCATCTTCTTGAGGAAGGGATCGACGAGCCCTCAAGACAGACACGAAAATAGATAATGCTGTCGATAAATCACCCAAACGCACCTGGTGTACGCCAAGGGCGGTCGATGCCCGTAACAAGTTCTCCGTCACATATGCATCCCCTCGCTCTTTCAAAATACCGGTGTTCTGATCCACAACATTCTTTGGATCTACGTCCCCTGGTAGTCCTGAAGTAGCAATATCCATCGCCCAACTATACACATCTCCCGCAGTCTCCTTCAAACCCTTGAAATCTAACCAATCAGCATAAGCCAGCGCAGCATCAAGTTTCTGATGCGTCTCAAATCCCTTCGTCGTCAGGATCTTCATATAAAACACCTCAGGGCTCTCATAGGCCGGCACACAGTTCTCCTCCTTGAGCATCTTCTTCGTCCCCGGAAGAAGCTGCGGCATCGCATTCGACGGACCAAGTACACACTCCGCAGGGCCAACAATCTGCTGCTCCGTATCCTCCACCCATCCATCCAATTTCTCCGCAGCCTCTCCAGCGCCCATGAGCGCCTGGAAATATCCAATCTTCCACGCCTCACTCATATCCGAAATATCATACCCCGCCTTCCCGACGCCCTCAATCAGTAAACCCCCTTCCTCCTGCTCCTTCAGCCCCTTCCCATCAATCTCCGGATCCTCCAATCTCGCCAGTAAATCCACATAGAAGTTCCCCACGCTCGCCCAGCTTGTTTGTAATTTATGAAATAGCTCCGGGTGCGCTCTAGCCCGCGCTGTACGCAGTTTCCAACGACTCCTAAACGTCCATTCCGGCGGTGTGGGGAATAGTTTCTCGTAATTCTCTTGTGAGAAACCCACTCGGATCACGAAGAGGAGTACTATGGCTGCATATATGCTCAGGCCGATTTTTAAGCCTCGGTATATCCTCTGGTAGTAGGCTTTGCGCTCTGTGCTGATTAGACGGGGGATCTGGAGGCGCAGTAAGGCGGCATTCAAGAGGCCATTGGTAGTTGCTGGGGTGGGCCGGGCGGCGGAAGGGGAGTGAAGGAAGGGGAGCTGCGGTCTGTGTCGAGCGGAAGGGGGGGTGATTATGAGTTTGGGCCCGTTGATGGTAAAAAAGCGGGGTTTCGTGGGTCGGGTATAGTATATCGGTGGCCGTAATGGCCGAAGGAGACTTGGTATTCGTCGTGTGAGAAGCTGTGGAGGCAGCATAGTGAAGCAATGCAGGATGTGAGAGGATTGGGTCTTCTTCGGAGTGAGGATTTGAGTGAAGGAGGGTTTGACGGCAATGTTTGTCCTGTTTGCATCAGAGCTTTGAATCGGTTTTCAGCCCTATCCAGACCGAACGAGACACGGATTGGAAGAAAACATATACTGAGTAGAAGTCTGTTAAAATTATTTATTTATTAACTGCTTATGAATTTGCAACTACGCAGCATGACTCTTCCGCTCTTCAGTGATGCCGTAACATCAGGAAGTCCAGGACAGGCTTCAATCTATCTTGCAAGATGCCCAAGGTATTTATGACATCTATGTATTCCGGATATCTAAGCCAAAAGGATGAAAGGTAGATAAAACCTCTCAAAAATCTTATGCAAAAGGTCACTAAACCAGCCGTGGTGGTGATCGAAGTTCTATATTATATCATCCCAAGAATAAATCCTTCCTCCTTCCAACTTTTTGTCGTATTTTATATCCTGCTGTGTGACATGAAGCGGAGAAAAGAAAAATAGAAGGTAGGAACCAAGAAACATAAAAGTTATTCTAAAATTTTCCAAAAGAAATTCTAAGATCTATCCAAAAATCCCTGACTCTCAAGCATAAGAATAATTTCATGAACAATAGACCTTACAGTTTGCTTCTCAACGTTAACTGTGAGGTCTGCGGCCCTGGGGGCCTCATAGGGGTCATCCACGCCGGTAAACCCCTTAATCTCCCCCCGTCTCGCCTTTGCATAGATACCCCGCTTATCAGTCTTCTCAGCGTACTCTAATGGCGTTGCGACGTGGACGAGGAAAAAGCTTCCGACAGCCGAAATGGTATCGCGAGCTGCTTCTCTGCTGAACTCATGCGGGGCGATCGGAGCAGCGATGACGGCGGCACCGGCCTTGGTGAGCTCAGCAGCGACGAAGGCGATGCGCTGGATGTTCTTGTGGCGGTCCTCGCGGGAGAAGCCAAGTTCTGAGGAAAGCTCGTGGCGCACTGTGTCGCCGAGGAGGAGGGAGACGGGGCGGCCACCCTGTTGATTTAGTGTAACTTGTAGGGCACGGGCGATAGCGTCCTTGCCGCTGTTTTGATAGCCGGTGAGGAAAATGGTGAAACCTTGCGTCGATCGGGGAGGATTTGATTCGCGTAGTACTCTGACCACTTCTGGGTATGAGAACCACTCGGGGATATGGCCGCCGGTGCGGAGGCGTTTTCGAAGCTCTGTTCCGCTAATGTCCAGAGTTTTGGTACCTGCGGGAACTTCGTCGACGGGTTTATACTCGTCCGTATCTGGGAGATAGGTGACCTGCTGGAATTCAACGACGTCGATTCCAAGCTCATCTTTGTATTTCTCGACGGCATGCTGGGCATCATAAGGGCCATAAAATTCGACACCCTTGGAATTCTTTCCGGGGCCTGCATGGTCTCGTCCGACGATGAAATGTGTGGCTCCGTGATTTTTACGGATAATTGCGTGCCAGATTGCTTCACGAGGACCGCCCATCCGCATAGCCAAGGGGAGAAGCCCGAGGACAGCCATTCCGTTGGGATATCTGGGCAAAATAGCCTCGTACACACGCACACGGGTAAAGTGATCGATGTCACCTGGCTTGGTGAGGCCAACTACTGGGTGAATTAGGACGTTGGCATGCCGAGCACGGGCAGCTCGGACTGTTAATTCGCGGTGGGCTCTGTGCATAGGATTTCTATTTTTTTAATTTTTTTTTGTTAGATTGAGAGCGTCCTAGCCAAAAGATAGTCATGAGGTGCTTACCTTGTTTGGAACGCAACAACTCTCGTCCAGCCAAGCTTGTCAAAATGAGATCGCAATTCGGCGGGTGTGACTGCATATACGTTAGTACGATAACCTATGGCATACTTCAGCAAGGTTTACCCACATCGCAGAGCTACATAATCATAGTGGTTGAGCTTATTCACAGCTTCAACTTTTCCACCAACATAAAACTCCTCGACCTTGCTAAAAAGATACTTAATCGCAGGATGTTCTTCGTCACCGCCAAAAACATCCCTTGCTTCCTTCTGTCTATATTTATCAGGAAGAAACACCATGTCAGCAATCTCAAGATAATATGAAGAAACTGAGTGCAAGAAGTTCATATGAAGTAAAAACATACTTGTCTGGCTTATAAACATCTTCTACAGTCAGGATCGCCAAGTTGCGGTCATCTCTGAAATCCCGGAGAGTAACACGAGCTCCTGGCTTCACACCAAGATCTTGGATATCCTTGCTGGATATATCAAGGGTGATGGGGATACTGAAAACATTGCCGTCTGCGAGTCGAACATCGGTGACGACGCTGTTAAGGTAAGAGGTAAATATGTTAGCACTCTTTATAGGTCTTTTCAGGGCTAATGGCTAGAAGATCAATCCGCCGATGCGACGTAAAATATATGCATTGTACTGTACTTACCCATTGTAATCTTTCTCGTTCATGAAACCTTCAAGGGGGCTGAAGCCGCCGTTCATAATCAACTCCAAATCGCAGAGTTGTCTTTCATTAAGAACAATGGCAGGCAGGGTCTCAGCCTCAGCCTCCAGCTCATCATGTCGTGGCGCATCTCTTGCGAGCAAATCCTTTAGGACCCCGCCATGAGGTTTGTTAGCCATTAATGCTGTTTTTCAACGGCTGCGGGCTTGAGCTCTGAGCAATCTATCTGTAATGAAGTGGAGAATGGGGTTCCAAGATGCGACAAAGCAATCAAGAACACAGCAAACAAAGCTAGAGGATGCAAGCCGGTGAAGGAGCAGGGAGGAATTGAAACAGTTTATAGCTACAAAAAGAGAGGGGGAGAGAGAGACGGAGAGAGAGAAAGGAAGAGAAAGAGAAGGTGGAAAAAAAAAAAAAAGCAAGGTTTAAAACAGACAGACTCCCGGCTTGCGACGATGATCTAATCCGCCTTGACAATTACTCCTGGCTAAAGCAACATGGGATAACCACGGATTGTCGTCGTGGAGATAAAAAAAGATTTGTGGTTTTTTTTGTCTTTTTTGTTAGTTTTGTTTCCTGGTCAAGACAGACTCGATAATCGGGTTTGAAGAACCCAAAAACGAGCCCAGGAAGCAGCAACCATTGGCTCATCCGCGTTACTCCGTCCCAAGTACCAGCGATGGCCCGTCCGTCGCAAGTTACAGCGGGGCAGCTCATGCAGGGTACATGGATGTGCGGTACCATGTCGTAATTCGGCCTCAAAAGGGGGGGAAGAAGCCCTACGCAGTATAGTATGACGCGCTGGGGGTTTAGCCTGGGCATAAAAGGAATAAGCTGCTTAGTCATGCTTGTGACAGGGGGCAGGGGGGCTGCATAAAACGTCACTTCAACCAATCAACTGTCTTAGACTGAAGCATAATCTTATTCAGCAATCTTGGATTCGCCATCATCCCTGCAAACGCCGTCAACCTACCCTGAAATTGCGTGATCTGTGATCTACTGCAACGCCAAGAGACAATTTTCTTCCAACTTGATCCAACGGTAAATGCCACAATTTTTTGTTGTTAATAAATGCGACTGCTGCCTTATTATTAGTATATAGGGCATCGCCACTAGGAAAGGATCAAGTTGATAGGAGCAGAGTTGCGCGTTGTTGATGTATGTACAGTACCTAGGTAATATTATTATTAATAAATAATAATAATTAAGTAAGTACTTCATGCTGGTTCGGCATCCGCCTCTCGCGTCGTTGCCAGGTACTGGAAACCGATCTCAAAATTAAACCCGGACCATGACCAATCGATGACGATTGCACCTTTTTTTCGTTTCTCTGCGATGTTATTATTATTAGTCTTCACGCAAGCCTCACCAACGGCTGGTTATGTGATCTATGGCTTCTCCAGGTCGAAGAGCTGTTTTCCGGCAGCTAACCAAACAATGCAATTGTCTCCATAAACAAAGCTTGATCATGCTCTTTGATGCATGTACCATGTCACGTCACCAAGGGAGCAATACCAGCGCGTGAGAAGTTCGGAGATGATCGACTTGCAAACGCCTTCGGGCAGCATCTGGTTTTTCAATCTTCTGCGCGCTACCTTCTAGTGTCTAGCGTCCAACGTCCCCTTCGTTAAATTGGCACCGACTGATGAATTCATTGTATAGCATTCATTCTATCCCATGGTTTGGCATTGTTTGACTCATCAGATATTCAGATTCCATTTCTTTTCCGGGGGTACGATCACATGGGCTATGGATAGATACGCGATGATGCTCGACCCTTGCGCACGAAGACGATCCCTATATGCCTGATCAATACTGCCTGAAACAACATATTTCTTTCATGTGTGGAGTAGAACTTATATCTCACATAGGCCATCATTTCTAAAATAGTCATTTCAATATGAGCTCTTTCTTTTGACAGCCAAGTCGCAAATACAGTGCAGTGCATACGTACTGCGTCTGTACCAAGCGCAGCAACGACCAGTCATTTAACCAATTAGTAGTAGTCTTAGTGAGATCAAGACTGGTTTCATACCAGGACACAAACAGCATTCCTTACCGGCAATTCTCATTCAATGAAATTTAATGTCTTCATCGGATAGTTGTTGTGTCCGTCCGTCGATTTGCCATGCCAAATGTCGTTAAGCCAACCGCGGATTATCGTTGTTCCGGAGAATAGCCCAACTTCAATGCTCCAGCAGTTCGTTCTCCAATAACGTATTCAATGTGGACCACCACGTTCTCTCGTACGGCGTCTGAATGACGGACCTTTAAGCTCGGCCTCTCAATGGATGGGGTGCAATTTACATGATGCGCCGGCTGGCTGGCTTCAGTTGCCTCATTGGATTTTATATAGGATTCAGGTGTGGAGGCCAAGATGGTTGCTTTGATTGACTAAATGCATATCGTGATGGTGGTTCAGACCATCCTGGCATGTGCAAACCAGGAAGAACAACACCGTTCAGGAATCACGCTCCGTATATGCTATTTGGGTGTGGCACTTGACATTCCCGAGTGCGTTGGTTGTGCCTAGAATAAGGCATTATGCCACATTATTCCTCTTCTTTGGGAAGGCAGGTATTGTCGTCGCCAGCAATCTGAATTTTTTTTTTTTTTAAACCACATTGTGCCTTAGGGCATTTGGGCAACTGAGCAGTGAACAGGCAGGCAGCTCGATGAGTAAATCCTCCACAGATAGATCTAGTGGGCCATGGTTTCTTTCTGAGCTTCTGGGAGCAGCCAGCTGCTCTACTATTGAGCGCTTGCTTGGTTTGAAGGTGAACCCCCGTCCTAGGAGCGACCTCCGTTCATAGCGCTCTCTTCTATGCATCTCAGACCAGAAACTCGAGTGGGCGCTCTCCATGCACTGCCGTGCAAACTGCCAACGAAGGCGAAGGCAATGGCGACTTCCCCGTTGATACCGCTTCTTTCAAGTCCACGATCGCTGTCATTCCGAAATCTCCTTTAATGAAGATTATCGCTTCTTCTGCTCTGCTCCAGGAGTAAGCAAGTTCGGGTTTAGAGAGCGCTCTCCGGCCCACTCTCCGGTTCATTATTCCCTCCAGTATGGGTCCAGTATGGCTTATAAATGTGACCAAGAGCTGAACAAAAGGTGTTATACCGGAAACCCAATGCTGCAGCTGAGTCTAGGTTGAGATCGGATTTCGGAATCATATACCGACGCTCTACATTATAGATGTAAGCATTTATCAGCAAAAATGGAATGCCATTCTTTTATATATTTTTGTCATGATCCGGTGACTATTGCGGTATCATTCTAGTTGCACCACAAGTTCTTCAGCCACAGCACTTGGACAAAAGTCACGTCTTGAAAATGGCGGAGACAAGTTCTCACATTTTGGATGGGCCTCCAATAAGCTCATCCAAGTCTTGGCAGGATAGCTCAGTGCAGAAGAACGATGGCACCGAGAAAAGCATCTCTAGCGATGATGCAGAGCTCAAGTACGAGTATGCCCACAAATTCGCCCTCACACTTATCCTCACATCAGTTACACTGGCCTATTTTCTATTCTTCCTTGATCTTGCCGTCATCTCCACGGCCACTCCAGCCATAACCTCCGACTTTGACTCACTAGTGGACGTCGGTTGGTAAGTACATATGTACACGTTGAGCTCGTCACCGCAGCTATCTATCTCTACGAGGAGCTGACTATCCTGCCTAGGTATGGCGGCGCTTACCAGCTTGGAAGCGCAGCGTTCCAGCCGTTGAGCGGCAAGATTTATAGCCAGTTTCCCATAAAGGTATGCGTTTGTCTACGGCCAATTCCTCGCGCACGTGCACTGAACCAAATTCTAACAAGATAATCGTGTAGTGGACTTTCCTTGCGTTCTTTTTTGTCTTCGAGGTTGGCTCTGCCATATGTGCAGCGGCTCAGTCATCACCCATGTTCATCATTGGCCGCGCTATTGCAGGTGTAGGGTCTGCTGGAGTGGCCAACGGCGCTTTGACAACCATTTCTGCCGTCCTCCCGACAAGGAAACAAGCTCTTTTCATGGGGGTCAACATGGGCATGGGCCAGCTAGGCCTTGCAACGGGGCCAATCATCGGAGGGGCTCTTACCACGAATGTGTCGTGGCGGTGGTGTGCGTTGCCTAATCTCCTGCTTTGAAGCTCACCCCATGCTGACCTTTTACTGTGTCAGGCTTTTATATAAACCTTCCCTTAGGTGTTATTGTCGGCGGATTCCTTCTTTTTAACACGATTCCCGAACGGAAACAGAAAAGCGCTCCCCGAGAGATTCTTAGCACCGCCATCAAGTCGTTAGACCTCCCGGGATTTATGCTCATTTGTCCTGCGGTCGTGATGTTTCTCTTGGGCCTCCAGTTTGGTGGGAATCGACATCCCTGGAACAGCTCAGTTGTGATTGGCTTGCTAGTTGGCGGCGCCGTCACTTTCGGCCTCTTTGTGCTCTGGGAGCGTCGGCAGGGAGACGAGGCCATGGTCCCGTTTGCTATGCTCAAACACAAAGTCATTTGGTCGGCTGCGATGACGATGTTCTTCACCCTGTCCAGCGTTTTAGTGGCTGATTTCTATATCGCAATCTACTTTCAGGCGATTCTCAATGACTCGCCATTCATGAGCGGGGTGCACATGCTCCCAATCACTCTCGGTTTGGTCCTATTTACTCTCATCTCAGGCGTTCTGAGTAGGTATTTCCGCTCGTGGTTCCTTCACTCATTTTCTATTACTCACTGACTAACGTCGATATTTCAAAGTCTCCGTTATGGGCTACTATCTTCCATTTCTTCTTGCGGGAGGTGCGATATCAGCTATTGGTTATGGCCTCTTGTCAACACTTAGTCCCACGACCCCAGCTGCAAAGTGGATTTGGTACCAAATTCTCTACGGCGTTGCAAGTGGTTGCACGACAACAGCTGTAAGTTTCAATAGTCTCTGGTAAATTAAATGTGTCCGGCGTCCGCTAATTCGCGTCTTCCAACCTCGCTAGCCCTACATCGCTATACAAAATCTCGTGCCCGCAGAGCAGATCTCCCAAGCCATGGCTATTATCATCTTTTGGCAAAGCATCGGCGCTTCCACCTCTCTGATCGCAGCAAACGCCATTTTCAGCAACAGCCTTCGTCAACAACTCCAGCAGCGCGTTGCACAAGTCGGCCGTGCGCCAGATGTCATAGTCGCGGCTGGGGTCCGCTCCATCCGTGACCTGGTGTCTGGCTCCCAGCTAACTGCTGTGCTCGCAGCGTATGCTAAAAGCGTCGACCGCGTCATGTACCTTGGTATTGCTGTTAGTATTGCCGTTATAGTGTTTTCTCCGGGACTGGGGTGGAAGGATATTCGCAAGGTCAAGGACCTCCAAGCTATTATTAGCAGCGAGACTTCTGGTGGTGATAAGCAAGAGCCGGCAGGAGACGATAAGTAGGATAATTGGCCAACAAGGGATCATAGCATGCTGCAGTCATTCCTTTTCACATAGCCTCCGACTGCTGGGGTCGTATCGCTAACGTCCCTAGTATATTACTTTCGGTAACATCGATTTCCGTCCCGGCGTGCCCAAGATCAGTTTTACTGTCCTTGTAATTTATTGGGAAATTGGCCCTATTCAGGAAATGAAGTTGGTTGGATAATTCATAGAACCTTTTAATATTATCGTTTTGGTCAATTATTGTCACTCAGTCGCTACTTGTTGGATGTTGAATGGGCGATAAAATTCGCCTGGCAGAGAACAGAATTACTGACATGATGAGTCGGTTCATTGGTTATTCTCCCAACAACCTCACGCAAGGTGGCTCCCCTTATGAAGGTCAACCAACATGTGCAATTCCGGCTCGCTCTCCACGTCCTTGCACGCACTTTAACAGACACATTAAATTGGAGAATTTTGGTCGTGGGACCAGTGACTGCAACAAAATATGTACAGAGCTATCCAGAAAAGAAGCGGGGAAATAAGGGTATATTGCATAACTACAAAAATTCGAAATCCCTTGTCCTCCCCTAAAATTAATAAAACCCTATTTCTAGTTTCCAACCTCGATTCTAATGTCCCTTCCAACTACAGAGTCACAACAAGCTTCTTTCTTGACACATCCTTTCGTTGGAGATCCAGGGCCTCTTGAATCTTATCTAGCCCCTGGCCCACAACGTGCGGGGGAGGGGCGGGCACAAACTGGTGGCTCTCAAGCGCCTGCGGCAGGAAGTCCATATAGAGTCGCGACACGACGCTGGTAGGCTCAATAAGGTCATTGACCAGGATGAATTTAGCTTCGACCCCTATCCTGATGCGCGTCCCACTCGACTTGATCGCAGTGCCCATCATGCCCATGAGGTACGTGCCCTTGCTAACAAAAGTCGTAAGTTTGTCAGCAGGTATGATGGCGCCGGCCACGGCGATGAACTTTCTAGTCAGTTTGGGATCATGCTTCCTCATAACGGCGGTGCATGCCTCGACGGCACCGTGGCCGATGGTGAAGGCGCCAACTAGCTCGCGGCCCCTGAGGGCGGTGAGGAGGTCGTTGACTAATGCTTTGCTTTTGTAGTCAAAGACCTGAGTGGCGCCCAAGCTCTTGACATAGTCGAAGTTCTTGGGAGATGATGTCGACAGAACTTGGTAGCCAGCGGATATGGCAAGCTGAGTGGCGTTACTCCCAACGCTCGACGCGCCACCGGTGATGATAACAGTGCGAAGCTTGCCTGACATGCCCATAACACTAGTCGGTGCCGGGATCCTAGGCATGTCGAGTCCTAGGTAGTTCTGGCTGAAGAGTCTGAAGGCCGCAGTTCCAAAAGCCAGCCCCAAAACACAAGCCTGTTTGTCGGTGATATGGGAGGGGGTTGGCGCTATCATGTGCTGCCGCATCACCGTGTAGAGCTGGAAGCCTCCCTCAGCCGGCCTGTTGACCTGCTTGGCTATGGCCGTCGCGCTTCCGAGAACTCTATCGCCCACACGGAAACGATCCACATCGGGTCCAACCTCGACCACTTCACCGGCAACGTCGGTGCCAAATATGAAAGGATATTTGATATAGCCAGCCAGTGCTGGACCTATAAATTGTAACACCCAGTCGAAAGGATTAATGGCCACGGCGGTATTCTTGACGACCACCTGGCCCGGGCCTGCAGGTGTATACGGTGCATCGCCGACTTTGAACGGCCGTGCCTTTTTGGCGGGAATCCAGGCCGCCTGATTCCTTGGAGCCATTGCTGCGGAAGAGAGGAGAGTGTGATGTGCCAACGGGAGACGCCAGAATAGTTGCGCAATTGTTTAGGCTTAAAGGACGGCTCGAGATGGGTATAGGCTATACCCTAAGCAAGAATGGAAAGTCGCTGCAGAACTAAAACCGCTGCAGACATGAGCGGGGTTATATGTATGGACCTGATGTTTATGCCAGCTCAGGAGCTTAATGCTCTCAGCAGGGACATGTAGAGATAGCCTTGCGCGGCAACCACGCCTCCGGCCTGTTGGCACCGCAATGCCACAGGGTCGGATTCCGGTTGCGGCATTCCGCCATCTAGGATTTGTTTCCTAGGGTGTATTAGACGGTGCGAATGCGTCGCTGGATCCTGGGCTCGATCCAGGGGATCTGGAGTCGTTATGGTTCAACTTTTACAAAGAAAGGAGGTGCTTTCACAGGGGCAATGTTTCCATGCATCTAATAGATTCTAAGCCGTCCAAGGCCTCAGGAGATGGTATTCTCCCTCTGTTAATTTGGTATGATACATTTAGTCGTTCCCTTGTGGGATCAACAATTTCGATTACCAAGTTTCTTGTCCAAATTTTTAAGCTGCGAGTATGGATTAACTACCTAAATAAATAGTACGACGTTAGGGCAGCCTTGGCATCTGACCACCGCGCAGTCGGACTTCGGAGTCGAATCCCGTTCAACCAGCGGCGGAGGAGGTCCCGGCGGGATGTCTTGCTGTGTGGACTGACCACAGAAAGAGAGGGAGCAGAGCGTTTTAGAAGCCATTGCGAGCCACCAAACCCACCAAACCCGGAGAATTGATTCTTTTGGCCCAATCGCTTTGATATATCATGCTAAGGATTGACAGCTAGTCTGAGTTCGACCCTGAACCGACGCAAGAAGCAAGAAGAAGCTTTGGGTTGGGGGCTTGATCTCATTTCCTAAGTTTTTGATCAATTCTGAATAACTTTTCCATGTACCCGTCACTCAACCCCCTATCTCAGATCGAGGGATCAGATCGAGGGAGGTGTACAAGAAGCGTTTAGCTGCAAAAGGGCTACTTTTTTTCTTTTTTTCTTTTTGGATTTAGTGGTTGTTGGCTGTGTACTCAACCTACTCACCCCTACGTAGCTTGAGCTACGGTATCCAAATCTTCTAGCACAGGTTGCCCTACAAAGTGAATGCTATGGAGAGATCGAGAGCAAGGCCAGCAGCCCACAGTAACTATGGCCAAGCTTGCACGCAGTGCTACAGGGCAAAGTGCCGCTGCGTGCGCCCCTCGGTTGGTGAAGATTGCGAAAGGTCAAGTCATGACACAGGCCTGTTGATACATGACACTCGACTAATTATTTCTCAGATGTGTTCGTCTTAAGAAAACATGCCAGCCTTCAGAGTCGGTTCGCAAGCGGAATGCTCAAGTAGCTGAAGAGTCTGAAACGCGGATCGCTAGGCTGGAGGACAAAATGGAGAGCTTGTTATCTGCGATGCAGTCTTTTGTCGGATCCCCAGGGGCGCCTGGAGCGTCAGTCAACGTCTTTCAGCCCTTTCAGCCCTTCAGCGCAGACACCATTTTGCCATCTACTCCTTTTTCGAATAGCACACTTGTTAACAGCGCGAACACTAGCCTATCCTTCAGTGAGGGGTCGTCATCTGGGAGTGGCTCGATTGCCCCAACATCACCTCATCCAAATCAGCTTTTTCTGTCGCATCCTTATTCTCTACCCCCTTCTACCCCATCACAATATCAAGCAGACGACCGCCTCAATTTCTTTCGGTCCCGAATGCTACCATATTTCCCTTTCATCAACCTTAACCCTGACATAACTAGCGGTTATCTGCGCCAAAACAGGCCTTTCTTATTCCAAGCCATCCACACCGTAACCACTTTCTCGACACGGGAAAGACTTGTTCAAGTTGAGAAGCTGAAGCGTCTCCTGTTCACATCTGCTTTGCTTAAAGTCCAGTCAAATATCGACTTACTCCTTGGATTACTGACCTACCTCGCCTGGAGCACCGACGCGTTTCTTGGCAGAGCAGACCACATATCCCGTCTCATGATGCTCGCCATTTCCTTAGTATATGGTATGCGGTTGTTCAAGCCATCTTCAATAGACGTGGAAGTTATGATGGCCGTGACCCAGGGGCGGAGGGAAGAAAATAGTCAGAACCCGGACGATGAAACGCCCTACCGCTTATTGGAGAGGCAGCGGGCGATGCTGGCATGTTTTATTCTAAGTTCTAAGTGCGCAAACTTCTGATTGTTCATCATTATTTACCTCCTTCCTTTGTTACCAAGATTAAACAATGCTAACATTCGACTCTGCCTAGTATTTCATCTCACCTTGGGCGTCAAGATGCCATACGATGGACGCCTCAGATGGAAGAGGCGCTTAGGGCTATCACAACGGGTGACTCATGCCCAACGGATAAGTTATTTGTCGCTCAAGTACGCCTGCAGCTATTAAAGCAAAAGGCGGAGTATGTTCGGCAACTAGCCGAAACAGAGTTTGCTCATTCAGAGTCATCTACTGCTCCCGCCTCAGCGCCTCGTTTATTGTATCTGAAAACTCTCCGAAGGCAGCTGCATGAGCTGAGATCCTCCTTTCCCCCAGATCTTTCCCAAATAGGCAAGTTGTTACCCGGCGGATAAACCGAGTAGGTCATATCCCCTACGAAAATGCTGATACCTTCACCTGCAGATATTCTCAATACACATGCGCAATATGTCGAACTATATATAAACCATCTAGCTTATTCCATTAGTGTCGATTCACCTCTTCCTGATATCCCTGGACGACACGGTGACGGCGGGATCTTACAGGGCTTCGAAAGCCTCGAGTGCCTGTGGCAGTCAGTTGAGAACATCAAGTCGTGGCTAGACGATTTCTACAAAATCCCTTGCTCGAAACTTGCTGGCCAGCCCTTTCATTTTTGGTCCCAGATGATTCTGAGCATCACACTTTTGAAATACCTATCGACACTCAAGGATCCAGAGTGGGACTACCAAGCGGTGCGGAATACGGTTCACCCAATATCGACGATGGACTGCCTGCTCCAAAAACTGGAGTTGAGCAGCAAGGAGCAGGAGCTTCAGTGCGATGACCATTTGCTCAAGTATTTATCCAAGCTTCTGACCAGATGTCGGGTGTGGGGTGAGGCTCGGTGGAACATGGCTTCTCAGGCTCAATACGTGGAAGCTACGCCTGGACCTACGCGAAATGCCAACCCTGACACGAGCCCACACAGTCACCATATCCCAGATCTAGATCAAATGGTCTGGGTGCAGTCGATGGGTTTGGGTAATGATCAGTGGTTTGAAGAGGCGTTGGGCATACCCACAACGTTCTACTAGTCTGCCTGGCTGTTATGAATATAGTTTTACATATATAGCTCTAACGAAATGAATGCAAGAAGCCACCTAAGGAATAAGGGCAGTGTTACGGGTGAATATGAAGGCTGTCCCTACGCTAGAGTAGTGTGCCTGCACAGTATACGTCTTGGACGAATGGAAAATACGGGCTCCACAAAGGAATATGTTTTCTAGCTAGGGCTGCCATGCGAAGCAACGCGCGGAGAAGCAGGTGCATGGCATAGCATGAGGAGATGAAACGGCTACAAAACACTAACGGACTCGAAGTGAGCTGGGTAGGAGATAAATGGCAATGGTAATACTAAACGGCTGGACCTGCACCAATTCAGTACTGTAAATCCAAAAGGAAAATGGAAAAAAGAAGGCGGATTGTTAGGATGCATGGAAGAATGTGGTTCGAAGGGGGTGGGTTAAAAACAGACGGGAGGAGTGGAGAGCGAATCTCGTCATAAGATGGGAACAGCAGGTAGGAACTGAGAGGTCTTTTATAGCTTAAAAAAAATGGAAAAAAAGAAAAAAGAAAGAAAAAAAGAAAGAAAAAATGGAAAAAGAGAAAGAGAGAAAGAGAGAGAGAGAGAACTTAAGAACCAAAATTGAAAATGATGATTGAAAATGAGAAATTTAATTTATGTCCCGCCAACAATCGTGCCATTATCCAATCGGATCGTAAACCTATTAAAGTCAAGGATGAAATCCTGCGATCTGCAGTTGACCCCCAAGGACCACATTCGCCTATCTGATTCCCCTGCCGGGTTTTGGAGAAAGGATTGTATCGAATCATGTGCGTTGACTGCATCAACGATGTCCTCCGTCTCCCCGAATATGAACAGGACAGCAATTCGGGAAAAGTCCAGTAATTTGGGGGAATTTGTCGGCAAGGGGGAGGAATTTGTTGGAGCGGTCCACGGTGGTAATGAAGATTGGGTGGGGTTCTGCAGGTCAGGATTTCTTGCTTGCCTCTCGGAAAGCCGGTGGTTGTGGGTAAAGCGATTACGGATCGATTTGCGGTATATGGTGGGCGATGGCGAGTTTGCAACACGACCATGGATGGCATCAGGTTGCGAAATTGCTTGTTCGTCTCGTTTTCGACTAGCTCCATTAAAGATCACAAGTGCGTTCTGGCTTGTGCAGGAAACATTTTCGCGGTTGAAAAGGCGGAGGATTTTGGATGTGTCAAGCGGAATGCTGAAGTTTGCTTCGGAGTCCTCGAACAAGCGTACAAGAGAAGCACCTAGCGTTGCATTTTGGAAGCCAAAGGAATCATTCGAGAGATTGATTGCAGTGCAGCTATTATCTCCCGCAATAGCGCATCTATCCCCGCCGAATCCATCGACGCAAACACATCCACATGAGCTTAGATTCCCAACGCTTATACCTCCGTTCAAACAAGGGTGGGTTTCTTGGCAATTTTTAGGGGGAAGAGGCGCCGATACCGATTCAGGTGATTGAGGAAGAGCTGTAAGCGCGACAGGGATTATAACAGCGACCGAAATGAGTGCAAGCATAATGATGCAAGTCAGGATAACTACCCAGAGAGGGAAACCACAGCACCGCCGCACGCCTTTCTCAGGTGCTTCTTCCGCGTCCGAGCGGGATCTAGGGTCATTATCGGCAAATGGACCAGGCCATCGATCATTACCAGCTGGATTAACAACTGCAGGTGGTGGGAATGAAGCCAAAATATCAGATATGGAACTGGAATTCCGGCCTCGGCGATCATCACTCGCATTTAAGAAATCCGATATTCCTAGCCTGCTCGCCGTTTTTCCTCGGTCAAGGTTTGATGCTAGCTTCGTAGCACGACGGATTAACTCAGGTAGACTCGTTAGGCTTCCTCTGGCTTCTGCCTGTCGAACGGCGTCAATGTCAATTTGGGGTGGCCGCCTCTTTTCGTTATCCCTAGGCAAAACGTTGGAGCTTTGGCCTTCCATCTTCTTCAAAGTCGGCTTTGAAGGCTTGGACTCAAATTGCATGATAGGGATTGGGGGCTTTTCATAGTCATCGTCTGAAGACGATGCATAATCATCCGAGGGTCGTGGTTCTGGCTTAGCTGGAATATTCCTACTTTCATAGGCAGGTTTCATCACTTTTGAATTTGCAGATACAGCCACAGCAATAGGCGTAGTTACCACATTTTCATTGGCATTTTTGTCAGTCGCCAGCTTGGTAGCCTGATTGCTGTCAACAGAATGATCGCTTTGTGTTTTATTTATTGTACGAAGCGACGCTTTGCCTCTCTTGCCTAAGCTGGCTTGCCTGACAAGGGTCTCAGCGGGCTTATCATCATCATTTAATAAGAAATCTTCATCCGACCACCTAGGAATATCAGAGTCAGGAGGCGCAGTTTCCCAGCTAGATGGTATGACTTTACTCGACGCGTACGAGCCTCCTTTTCTCGGTGTGATCTCAGGAGATTCTTCAGGGATAGGTGAGACGAAAGCAGTACTCGAGTAATATGAGGGCCCTACTCGACGTGTTGAAGGGGGAGGATGGTAATTGAGGTTCCCTCTAGGCGGAGGCAGAGCCGCAGCGGGAGTAGGCTGGGTAATTTTGGCGCTTGGGGGAGGGGCATTGGGAGATCCCGAGTGAACTGATCCGGATGCCTTATCAGCAGACTCCGTAATTTGTTCTGGGCTTTGGGCCATTGACTGCCCGTTTTGCAGTCGCTGAAAAGACGATGAATGTTGTCCCTGGCGATATGGGATGCTAGGGGTGGTATCACGGACCTTTGAAGAATCAAACAATGATGGAATATCATCGGGGCGAGCAGGCCGTTGAGGAGCCGGACGTTTTGAGAAATTAACCATTTCTTCTGAAGCGCTTTCATCATTTGTCGACCTAGCATTTTCATCGCGAAGTGGCCATTGCTGGGCTGGCGAAGGTTTTGAGATCACAGCGGTATTGCTCGAATTGTCGAGAGCTTTGAACGCACCCGGCGCAGGCGGTACACGTCGTATAGACGGAGAACCCTGAGATGTTGCTTCTGAAGACCTGGCCAGGTCGCTATCCTCCATTGGTTGGATCCCCCTCTCTCCAGCCTCCATCCTCTCCCTCGCCCGACGAACCGACCCGCCATCTCTCCTTCCACTCTCGCCTCCTTTCCCCCTACTAGTGTCACTCATAACAAGCCAGGTATATTACTGTATCTTGCGTTTCCGAGAAAGACGTTTAATCTCGAAATATGTCGAAAGATTTATAGAACACGCCGAGATCTTGTGAGAATATCTGGAGCGGGTTGCATATCGATTCTCGGGCCTGTATTGAGGGAAATATAGGAACGCGAAAGCGGCAATGTCACCGATATTATTGAGGACCCGGGTCAAATTCGCTGGGAAATTCAGCCAAAAACGAAGGACAAAAAAGAGTGAGGTCCAAGACAGACACGTGGGCAAAATGATATCAGTTTGCAGGTCGTATCCCAGAATTCACTGTTTCGAGGTACAAGGCCAGTATAAACACAGGGCGCCAAAGGACTGTGGTGTGACAGTCTAGTCACTGATAAAAAAAAATAAAAAAAAAAGACAGTTCGAGGTAATTGCCTAGCCAGCAGGTGTGTAGAACCAGCGCAAAGAATTCTAAGTAGGACTTCAAGTCACTTTGGATGTAAAAACTAGTTGACAGAGGGTATTCGACGCCTATATCACTGGTCAGCTTCGTAATTCCCAGCTCAGATATGATCGACTCTGAGGTTCCTCTCGGGCACCTTGAGAACGTAAAGCAAGGCTATCACGCCCCTGCAACGTAAAGCTGAATATCACATCCAATATCGACTGCATCTGCCCTTTTTGCGCCTGGCAGGAATTACAGGGAAGCAAGGAGGACGTACTGAGGTGTCCTGGAAGGGGTTTACCTAAACCGCAAATAATGGACGCTTCCTGGATGGAGGATATTAATTGATTGCCCCCTCCGTCAATGCCAAACTCGCGGTGTCTCAGAACCGCGCTTTTGTCGAAATCGTTTTCTTGACAGGGTTGAGGCCTAAAATATCAAACACTTTCCGCCTATAACGAGGACTCCTGCCCAGATCCAACAACAGCAAGCCGACCTATTGTTTTCTCAACTATACCCGTCGGAGTAAACGTCTAGGATGCCTAACCAAACGAGCGACTGCAGAGCTTCTAGCTCAGCAAAGAAAGACAGACGAAAAAGCCCAAAGGGAAAATAAAAAATAAAATAGAGAAGAGAATGCACCAAAGGAACGAACGTCGTCCCTTTCACGACAAAAAAAAAGCCCAATTTGCAGAACGACTGATGAAGAACCGCACTGACAAAGGAGGAGTCAATAATGAAGGGAAGAACGAAAGAATCTTCGGTAAAATGAAAGGGACGCTGGGCTGTATCCCTCCCGACGTTCAACCATCGCGAGTCAGCTAAACATTTCCCCATTCGCTCGCGAGAGCGGACTTGTGAAATTCGAAACAATGGCTCAGGCTTCCGACTGCTCGTATCGGGACAGGATCCACGCAGCGGGGTATTTGGGGGTCGTTATTGGTGGTAAAAGGGGCTCCCCTGGCAAGTCCGTCATTAGGCTCAGTTGGCCCAGCGTTAGTGAGGCGCAATACCCAACGCATTGTGACTCTCAATAGTACTGAGTACTCACCAACAATCACAATTGTCACGAATCAAATTCCACTTTCCAATCTGATCCTTTGTGCAATATTTTGTAGTAGTTAACAGGAAATTGAAAAAAGAGTGTGATTGTTGGCTATATCTTCATCTACCCTTCTGGTGCTGGGGACCAATGAGTCGACATTTCCGGTCTTTGTATAGTGTAAGTGTAGCCTCACAGTTTTGCAATCCAATATTGGAGGGTTAGATGAGCGCTTCCAGAGTTTCCATGGGCGGTTCGCGCCTGGTCGATCCCGGTTCATGAGATTGATGTAGAGGACACGATCTCGAAAAATATTTTGAACAAAAAAAAAGCATCTCATCCAGAAATGCCGTCGCAAGCAATGCTGCCTGTCCGGACTACCAAGACGGTTAGCAGATGTTACCATCAAAATCTCGACAGAAGGAAGCGCAGCGTTGTACCCAGTAGAACCAGCTCCATTTTTTGGCCTGAAAACGATGGCCTCAGTACATGCTAAGGGACCCCGGCCCGGGCTACGGTGGTGGGACCGGCTCCCCTGCAATTAACGATCTCCATGCAAGCGGCCGAGTTGCTAGCGTGAGACACTCGGTTTCAAGAGCTTGCTGTCAAGCTGTTTCGAAACATCCACGCTTCGTTCACGAGATGATTGGTGGCTTGAGAGAGGGAGAGAGAAATGGCAATCATATTTGTTGTAACATGATTGTTACTGTTGCCAACCTATTTAACTCAATTCAGTAGTACTCAGAATGTGTAATGTGTGAAATTCTCAGGGATAAATTTGCCAATTTTATTCAAAATATTCCTCTTACAGAAGATCTCTCTCAGCATCTTAGTTAAGAGCAGAATTTATGTTCAATCACTTATCTCAGTGAGAGTAACTAATCAGGTGTATACAGATCTCAAGCAGGCTTGTGTTTACATCATTGATCAGAAAAAATTCTTCGCTACTCTTAGTTTGAAGTCTAATGATTCTGATTAGATTATTCAGAGAAAATCTGATTAAATCTGATTAAATCTCTGTACTCCGTATACTAGAATTTAATTATCATTCTGTCTATTAATTATATATATATATATATACGGAGTAGTGAAAATCATTTTTCTTCTAATGTGTTGATTAATCCTCTACAGAGTAACTTATAGTCAAGACATCTTATGAAGATAGGATTTGAACCTGCAACTCCGGTGTCTCAGAAGAGCCATCTCTCATAGCCAGACTGGTATTATCATGGGCCTTCCATGGACAGCGCTTTTATCACTATGCTATCCACCCCATCTAGGTCCCATCTCATGTTCTGTGGATATCTAGCGAGCGACAAGCTTCTACATATCGACCACCATGATCGGAATATCGACCCTACACCAAGGGTATTAGCAGTATGATGACATGCTTCAGCATCTAATTCATATTTATTAACTTACCAGAGTTTGATCCATGCGCCACCTGTATGTGTGTGTGTGTGTGTGGGCTTCGAAGTGGACTATTTACTAAGATGGCTGATATGTTGTTCAATCGCAGCTGCCAGAATCCCCTCCTGGAATTCCTAGGTGTTTTGTCCCTTCCCAACCCCAATAAATAAATCCATTGATTTGTTTACAAGATGGTAAATATTGATGCCGTCAAAGTTCATTAGATCAAACGAAAGCCTGTATAAATTCACTATCTGCGCTACCAGCTGCCCCTGCAAATTAAATAGCTGTCTTATTTATTCCGGTTATCTGATCTACACTCAGCCAGTCAGTAACATAACATTTGAGTGATCTGTTGAGAGTCAATTTGAATGGATTTGCATCCAAAATTAATGGACGGTAGGTTCTTTTCCTCCTCATCCCATCTCCGGGTTTATATTGCTGAAGGTACAAGGCGGTCCTAACTTATATAACTAACACCAGAGCATCGTGATCACCATAATAAAAATCAGCCAGAGGGGGATAATGCATCCATTCCTCAAGCATGGGGAAAAACTCCGCCAAATACAGGCCCGAAGAGGGAATCCCGAGCGCTATTAGCGAGATCAGTTCCCTCTCCTAGCCACTCAGTTCACATGAGGAAAATCTTCCAGAATGCCAGCACGTCTCTGCATTCAACTGGACATGTGTTAGGGTCCCCATCTTTACGGAGAGCAAACTCTCCAAGCGGGCAGAAGCCGGATATTCACTGTACCAATACCAACAAAATCCCGGGGAGACCATCGGAAGACAATCATTTTTCATTTACTGATCAACTGCCTTCGCCGTTACTGCTGCACCCAGTAGTGTCTCCAAATGGATCGCGATGGACAATGGTACCTATGGCGGATGAGCCTATCAGCAGCGGATTCCATTCTCCGTCATTTCCTAACCGGAGAATCACTCCAGAGTTATCCAATTCGCAATATCTAAACCGAAGTAAGCCGAAAAGAGTACCTCTGCCTCCCTATCAGAAGAAAAGTCCTCAAATGAGCCTGGACGAAGCAAAACTTGCTCAACGTTTCCAAGACACTTCCATCTCTGATGTCCAATCCTGGCTTGATGGGTTATACGACGAACCTTCAAGTAACATGCACGAATATGACGACTTTCCGTCCATCAGCAAGGCGAAAAAGGAAGAAGCCGTTCTTGGCTACAATTTTCCGGAATCCCAATTGGCCACTGGCCATCACTACACTTCTCTCCTCAAAAGCGATAAGGAAAACATGTCACCTTCACCATCTAACTGTGGGGCCAGGTTCCCGAACCAACATTCTTCCCTACCGTGTAAAGGTTCCGACATTGCGTTATCGATGGAGGCTTCCCCCTCCGCTTCCGCCCAGGCACACAGATCTAAATTTAATCCTTCAACTCCTGTTCTGGTACGCAAACCTCACAAATGTTACACTTCTCCAAGGTCTCAGAGACGCGGACAGATCTCTCCCACCCTCCCGCGGAGCCACTTTATGCTGCCACCACGGCGAAAAAAAATCAGATCATCTTCGAGCTCGCTGCCCCAGCGATCGCCTCCGGCGTATGGTCGCACGCCGCCATTCGAGGTTGCAGAAGATGAAATTCACGACTTTCCAGAACAGCGTCCTCCAAGAACAAGCTATCAAGAGCAGATGGTCCTACTGCCAGGATTAAGTGATTTGAGCCCTCATGTGACGCCATTCCGCAAAGGTAAAGGCCCGAAAAGGCCAAGATGTCCCAGTTACTACGATGAAGATTTACTACAGGATACACAACCCGAAGGAAAAAAGGGGCCGCTTCGAAATCACCAAGGATGAGCGAGGATGGATATAGTGTCCCACGTGTGGATATTCAAGATATGTGCTCTCGGGATGAGCCAAGTGGCGCCAACCACGGTTAATAGGCTTGAAATTCAAAGAATCACACCTCACCGTGTCCTCGTTATAAGAAGAGCATTTGTTCCCACTTCAAAAACACCAACTCATGGCCTTCAAATTAAAAATATCACATCCCCCTATCTAAAGAGCTATGTTATATTCCAAACGCCTCTTTCTTCAGCCTTAGACGTGTATCATTTGCAAATGCAAGTCCTTTCTTCTGACTCCGTCCATTATATTTCTCTTAAATTGTTCTCTCTGACTATGTCTGTGGTGTTCAAATTAGCGTTTCTCTAATATCATGACATCATCGTGCCTACATTATAATTTGATTATCAACGTAAACGTCAACTTTAGCTACTTACTCTTCCGCCAGGAAGGACAGACATATATCATTGAAAAACCACAATGACACCCAATTTGATAGATACTTATTCTACTCCCATGTATTCAAGTTTTACGAACGGTATCTACTTTACAACTCCGCAAAGAACCGACAGGACGCCTGATAGCTAGCTCGAAACCAAAAAAGGAAAACAAGAACAGAGGCTGCGAATTTCGGCGCATGTAGCATAAATATAGGTCGAATAACAAATGCAGCAAAGGCGCCGTTGATCTGAAGCTTACTGTTAGATCGGTAGAAAAGGATTCTGCAGCATTTGAGCCGGTCGTCTACGGGACACGGGCCATTCACCAAAGGCCGAGCTTAACTATTCTCAACGTGGTTGGCTTTCCGGATATGTGTTTCTGGTTTCCAGGTCAATCGATCCACTCAATACAGCGGACATCACCTCAGTACCATGCTTCCCATGATGGTTGTGCTGGCGCGCAAACTGTTGACAGCCTGGGCATGTCAAAATAAGGTTCCATTCCTTTTCTGAATATTTACATTAAATTCCTGCTTAAACAAGCTGTATGATTAACGGAGCTATCTCTCGCGATGTTGACCTTTCGTATGGGAAACCTTGGAACATAACTTGCATAGGATATGAAAACCACGGAATTGGGGTCGGGACCATCGGCCCCATCCATGACCCCTATTCCCTTTTTAGATTAGACCCGGGGAAACCGGAGATTAGAGTTTTGGAGCGCAAGAGTTTAAAAAACTCTAATCTCACTCCCATCGCCCTCTCGCAGATACCATCAGAGAATGTACAGTACAAACTTTATCAGGAAAGATTGAGGAGCAGCAAAAGGAAGAAGTGCCTGGTATTTGAACATATCGTACCATCATCCGAGTTTGAACACAGTGACAGACTATCCAGTCTCATTCAACACAACTGCAACGGTTTCGAGAGGCAGCTATACCGGTTGCCCTCATCCAGGTGCAAGCTGGCTTCTGGGGACGAGTCATTGTACCCCTGATAATGAACTAGTATTCCTGTACTAGATTTTTCTAAGAACCAGCGTAGTTTGTTATTCTTGACTGGAAAATCCAGGCACTAGAATCTGAGATATGCTTCGACTTAGATACATTCTGCTGCAAAGCTCACAATGAACGTGGTCCCGCCTAAGAACACAGCACGCGCTAGCATAAAGATATTGCATCTTGATGAGGGTGATTGTGCTGTAGCACTGGAAACCAGAAAAACAGCGACATTTTCGAACGATTCAGCATTGAGTCTGTTAACCTGCTACACCCTCACCATATCCAGCGGAATTGGCTCAGCAATATCCCGGCCTCAAGCAGTGACGCCCAAGGATTGAATGAATTTTTAGCCTAGCCAAGAGCAACAATTTTATTTACTTCTGTTAAAAGAGGTTGCATTTACACAGCCCAACATGCAAAAATAATTGGTCTATCAGAGCGATCACGGATCTACCTGGCCAGCGGCTAGTAGAAAGGTTCAAGACACTGAAGTTTCTTACCAGTGTCTGCTTACCTTTTTCGGGGTTTTTTTTTTAATTGTTTTATTTTTTTATTTTTTTTATTTTTTTTTTAAATAATAATAATAATAATGGCTCTTGGATAGATATGGATAGCTTGTGCCTTCAGTGTAAATATCAATTTTGTGGCGCATGGAGCTATTCTATGATGTTCAGGCTGTTTTGAGTTGTCATTAGAACGAGATATGGATTACTCTAGTGACATATTTAGGACTCTAATAAATAACTCCTGATCTGGCCGTATCTGACTACTCAAATAAACTTCCTCCGATCACAGTGATGCGCTTGTTTTGCAGGATCCCAAGGGCCCGCGTCATTTCACGTCTTTACTTCCCAACATCTCCCATATATCCTTTGCGACAATTTTCCTCGCGGCGCATATCCGCATTGAAACTACCTACATATGGAACGGCAAGGTGTCAGACACAGCCAACCACGCTCTAGCCATACCATATCTCTATTCACCATTACCTGACGAGCTACCACCGCGCATCAACAAGGATACCTTGCGTCTCTACGCGGATATGGATACATCGATCGGTACTTTCAACTCCGAAATCCTAAGCGCAGGATCAAAAATGAGTTCGCGGAATCTACCGCGACACCATGTTCGTTAAACGGTGGTCCGTACGGCGTGATATTCCCGATGGTAAAGTATAGGGATGCTGTACACAAACCTATTTTCGCCAGATTCATGATGAACAAGAAACTCTCGCGCATCACTGAGGACACCACTGAGAAACACCTGGCATACCTCATTTGGTAATCCTAACTGGGTGAAAGGAGAGAACTATGAAGAGCTGGCACGCAATAAGCCACTGATGAAGCCGCTGGTCTCACGGACATGCGTTGGAGTATCTCAGATCTCTAAACATTGAGATAGATTTACAATGGATACGGAGTTGACATGACTGAAGTGGATCTGTTAGTCAGTATGCCTGAGAAATGGTGAGTGAAGCAAGAATAGTGTTCCCAAGAATAGTGTTCCGCCGTTCTTTACTGAAACGTCCGAGTTGTTGCCTTGCCTATTGTACTTCAGAAAAGGGCAACAATTCATATTGTCCTTCATTCTATATCTGTACCATTACATTCTTTCGGAATGAAGTTGTCCGCCAAAAGGGGAGCTTACTCCCCCCCCTAAATAGTCCTAGTCTAGATCTGTATGATGCTTATGATATTAATCTAATTCGTTTTGAGCAAACCTAAATTTATTAAATTATCGACTGAATCTTTGTTACCCGAAGAAAGTGTCCATTTTGAAAATGTTCGTAATTCGTAAAGGTTTAGCCGGTAGCTATCTGAGCACACAAAAAGTCCTGTATTTCGCTCACTATAAGTTTAGGCATCAGTTTTTCAACCTTAATACGGTACAATCCCAGAGTTCTTAAGCCGACCAGAGCATCAATTATACCTCCATATCAACATTGCATTCATTGAACCCCATCTAGGTGAGATATAAAGATGTCTCCGGAGTATTATGTAGATACAAAGGTAAATTTTTAGCAAAAGTTTCTAGCAAAAAAGTGCCTTGTCTTTATCGCTATTGTTTGCCACTTTCGCTTCCATCGTTGCCAATTGTTGCGGCGACCAGCATCCCTCTCAAAGCCTCCACTTCTCTCTCAACCTCGCGCATCTCAGTAATCACACCAGCCAATGTAGTGATTGGGCCTTCAACAGCTGTACAAAACGATTGTTGGGCGGTTCGTAAAGCTGGGGGAACAAGTATCCCAAACCAGTTAAGTGGGTTGGAGGATTGCCGATTAGTACTCGACTTTTCGGATCCCGTGCAACGATCCGGCTCATTTGGATCAGAATTTCGGGACGGTGAAGATGAGTTGGGACCGATCTCGTCGCTCTTGTTTTCAGTGCCCTCCTTCGTTTCTCTTGAGTTAAAAGATGAGAGCGAAACGTTTTCGAGGGTGAATAACGGAATATTTCTCTTTTGGTTCAAGATTAACGTGGTATGTTTGTCTTGAGCAGGCATCTCTGAAGCGGGTGTAATTGACCTATCGGCGGAATATGTTCGGGTTAGCCTGTGCTTGCTGCCCGTGCCTATAATACTCGTTTTCGAACCAAATGACGCCCGCAGGATAAGATAGTTAGTTACACTGGAAAGGCATACAGTTTCTTTATTGGCTTCATCCTCTCATCATAGTAGTCTTCACCATACCGACGTCCTGGTGGGCAGGAGTTATTCGCGCGCGCAAGCGAGAAAAAGCCCTATTAATTCGTTAGCATTTTGGTTTCCGATTTGGGGATACAAAATGAATATAGATCCCACAGAGATGGCGGGAAACCATACAGAGGAAAATTCTCGACCAATCTCCTCCTGCAGCCGCTGTTGCTGATCCAACAAAACAAGATAGTGTTCCAAAACACTATCTAGCTCTCGTGAAAGCTCCGCGCTGGACTTATCTGTTGTTGAAGGCAGGCTGGTTGAACCCGCCCCTACCGCTGGACTGGCGGGTGGCGTGGGCAATTGCCTCATCATGTTCTAAGTCATGGAACAGAATCGAAGTGAGCGCGTTCAGGCATAAGATGTGCTTGATAAACTATAAGAGTATCGTTAACCGTGTGGAAAAGGTCATGTTGCTAGCTCCGAGAAAACGGACGTCGGGGTTAACGTTCGAGAAACCGAAAAAAATGGTTTGGGCTAGCGTCATGTGGAGCATTTTTGAGAACTCCCCAAGGTCGCCGCCCCGGGCATCGGTGTTTGCCAACACAAAGAGGGGACAACTCTGCTTTGTTACTCTACAGGCTTCACTTGATTTCACTTTTAACTCAGTTAGTTGCATTTATCTCTTCTACCTTGTTGCCGTATCATTATTATTTAATCGGCCTTACGCTAAAGCTACGCCAGGTGGAAGACTCAAAACGCATCTCCGCTCTCTTCAAATCCCGCGGATATTAGTCTGAGCTAGATCCATATCCTCATGCGCCATCGTTGTTAACTGCTGCTACTACCGATATCCTGTAGAAATAGCATCCTCAGGCTTCAGCACGCCCAATATCCCACGTTCGGCTAGGCACTTGAGAGGAAATATTATTTTCACTGCCCGAGGCGAGAGAAAAAGCGACAGAGGAATTGCTGAGATAACATCGGCCTATAACTCCTGCTATTATGTCCGTTGTCACTCAGACGAACTCCGCCTTCCAGGCTCGTTCTTTGGTACGGTGCTCAGTTTTCCTTTGCCTCGTGTTGCATGGTTCATCTCATCTTTTCCTTCCGAATTCTATGACACATTCCGGATTAACCCTCCTCATATATTCCCAACGTTTGTGCTAACCCTTACATATCACTAGTTCCGGTCGCTCCTCCGTCAATCACGTCAATTCGCCGCATATAATTTCCGAGAGTATGCGCGGAGAAGAACGATAGATGCATTTCGGGAACACCAGCATGTGACAGAGGAACGGAAAATACAGGAATTGATGCAAAAAGGACTACAGGATTTACGCATGATGAAGGTTGGCTCTCCCGCCCCTACGCATCCTATTCCCAACCCTACCGGAATATTGGTTGCTCCATAAATTACACCAGTACTGTGCTAACGACTCTGCCTACCGCCACAGAGACAATCCATCATAAGCCAATTCTATCAACTAGATAAATTGGTTGTCGAGGGCGAACCTACGGTACGTTTACTATAATCCTATATCCCAGGTTTTGAATAGAAAGAGGACCGAGCATTTGCTAAATCCTCGGCTTTGTAGGGGAAAGAATCCGGAAATGCGGGCGGCATCGTGCGCCAGAAGGATACAGGGTAAGCATATAGGCCCTTCCTAACGTTAATCCGGTTCTGATGCTAAACGGTCACTCTCCAGTTGGGATTGAGCGACGAACTTGGGTTTGGGATACGATGAGACTCCTTGACCTCGGGGTTATTACGCGGTAGAATGGAGAGTTATGTTTTTTTACTACCAGCGGAGTCGAACTGGCCCTGTGTATATATATAGAACTTTTTTTTAAACTTTTTTTTCATGATCTTTCACGGTTTTTTCTCATAGGCGATTTCGACCTTTTCGCGGCCATCCCAGCTCTGATATTTGTGATACCGGCAGTGCATTTCCGCAGACTACACGCAGCTAAACAAAATTACATTAGTATCTGTTTATACACATCAAATACCACACCCGTTCATGTACTTGAGCAATGTCTTCGTATCGTCTTCATCCCGCAGCCCCTATTTGCCACATGAAATGCTACCACCGTTATAGTCACGTGATCTTATGTACATTAAGGAACTCGCAGCGGCGATAGATGCGCCAGACCTAATATATAAAGGCAATCGATCGACCCCAGACAGGAGGAATAACCGTATGATCACTCCGACCCTCGACGTACGCACTTTTAATCCCTGGAGTAAAGTTTGGCTGCGCCAACCTCTACTGTTGATCGATGGCTCCGGTATGGTGTCTCCAATTCATTTCCTCCTCAATAACGTGTTGGATAAATACCACATCATGAGTCTTCTAGCTGTCGTACCTGGGAGTAACTCGGCGTGTTAATGTAATTGATGCGCGGATGAAAGCTGTGTTATCTGTTATGTTCAACACATGGCTCACTTTTGCGTATACCTTACTAACAAATGTTCCTCACAGTTCCGATCCTCTCGTCGGTCTCAAGCACTTACAGAAAACGTCCCCAATAGGACGAGAACGGGACAGGTTGATCACGATGTCTTTGAAGGTTTTCCGGTCCGGCGCTGGGTCCGACAGCCAGTGGTGGTTTACCAGAATCCGAAAGTTGAGCAACCAGACACGAGGCTGGGAGGATCGCAAGCCATACCCGAATTACCGATGCCCAGAGACAGCCACCTTTTAACCCCAATGAGTCGAGCATTACTACGCGCTTCCAGAGCCGGATGCAAGTATATTCGACCCGCGCCTACTGAGGTCGAGGACGACGATAAGGAGATCAAAGACGCTGATGAACCTGTTGCGGCCCCTCCGTTTGAACGCACCTTTACAGCTGGAAAGTGGACATTGGTACCGCGACATATTGAGCCCCCTGAGGCAGAATTTCTCGCGAAGAGAAGGGCTGGATTGTCGTCACTGTATGGATCAACCGCAATAAACGACACGGCAGAAGTGCAACCCGAACCTAAGCCGCCAATGAGGAAAACCAAATTCAAGAAGGTCGATCCTACGACGGGAAATGTTTCGATATATGAAGCCTGGGTACCTGAAGGTCATAAAGTAGAAGGAGAGATTACAGAAAATACTGAAGCTGTTCCTGAGAATAGCGATGGGACTGTTGTTGAAGCATCGCCGGCTCCAGGAACGGTTGTCGAAGGTTTTGGAGTGGTAGATACCCAAGGGGTGGTTGTCGCTGAGACCGATTCAACCATAGTTGCTCCAATAAAGAGGAAGCACTCCCCTCCCAAAAGGAAGGCAAAAGGTATTGGAAAAGGTAGACGGAAGAAGGTGATGTTCGCGCCTGGCGAAGGTGAGATTGCGGTAACCACTCCCGTCGGAACCGAAACTACTTGGGACGTGGCGATGTCGGGTACAGCGCGAGATGGCAGCTCCACTACTACGCCAGGATTACAGGATGAGGATGAAGATGAGGACGAAGAAAATGAGGGAGAAGAGAGTGACGAGGGAGAAGAGTCGGCGGCCGAATCAAAGTCTCCTGGGGCTCTCAGTAAATCTGAACAAGAAGCTGCAGGAGATGCGCAAACAGTTCCTGAAACGGAGGAATCCAATCTACATATACACGAACAGTCTTTACTCCCGAACCAGGAGCAACACAAAGATGCCGCAATTTCAGCAAGAGACAAGTCCAACTCACCAGGTATCCCACATACGACCTCTGCCACCACAATTCGTCCCACAGAACCCTCTGACGAGGAGATCCCTCCACCACCCCAATCACAACCCCAACCCCCTGTCACCATAAAAATGCCTTCTCCATTCCCCGTCCAAACAGTTGCCGAATTCTCTGAACCAACCAAGGACATCTCCTTCAGTGACACCCAACCCCAGCATTCACAATCCGCAAATAACGGGGCAAAAGCACCCGCAGACAACCAAAATGGCAACTCAACCCCACAAGAAAAGTCTCGTAGCCCAATTGACGGCGTTCATCCTGATGCTGCCACTCAACCTTTCCACCCACAAGAAAATCCATCCTCAACAACATCAACACCTCCTGAGCCACACAGCGCCACCGTCCGGTTCGAGAACGGTGAGGTTGATTTGCTTGGTAGTCTAGAAGCAAGTTTAGATAACCCCAGCAAAAACGCGACTGCTCGCAATCACAATCACTTCTCTCCGACGACGGAGGCTGGTCGGAGTGGTGCTATTGTTGCTTCAGAGCAGGATGCTTCGGTTCGCGAAAATGATGAACGTAGAGGCTCCTCTGATGAGAAAAAGGATTTCGAGATGACTGGACAGTAGGAATTTCGTACTCCAGTCCAGTCCCTTCTTTTTTCTTGTTTCATTATTCCGCTACGACTACCCCTCCGGAATAGAGATTGTGTTTCGGACCTAGCTTCCCCTTGGCATTTTTGAATGTCATTTTTGATGATGTGTATATGCCTATGGGGTCCATTACTGAAGTCCTCCTGCGCAAGGAGCAGTGAGTGTATTGCTTCTCGGAGTTAATTTTTGGTGTGGAGTACATATATTGGGGATGGACGGTGAATGTTATGGTAAATTTGTTTTTGTCTTGCTTTCATCGCGAAAACCCACTGGTATGTTTCTTTTATTCTTTCTTTTCCTTTTTCCTTTTCCTATATCACAATCATATTCAATCCACGAGTCATATTTGCCGTCGTGCTTCTAAGATTCCCAACGGAATATATGCCCTTCTTTGCCAAAGAAGAAAAATAACGTATATTGTCTCACCACATAGAGCTTTCCGGATTGAAGCCTGTCTATTCTGATGAAGAATCCATTGTATTATTGATTTATCTCGTCCCTTTCCCTTCCCTCTATGTATTATTCGCTATTAGAAATATGGCTTAAAACCAAAAACGCTATGCACTCAATGATGAATATTTCAAATATCAAAAACAATTGCCTGTTTAGAGGAGATGAATTCTATAATCGGTCATATCATTGTTTCCCTCTTCTCTCCTTTTTCTTGTCTTTTCTTTTGGCCCCCTTTTTTTTAACTTATTGGCTCAGGCTAATCTTGATTGAGCCATCAGCTGTGGGTGATGGTTTTTGCGGTTCTGTCCAATGCACCCTAATAATCAGCAACCGAAGAGAGAGAAAGAAGGTGCTCAATCCATCACCACAAAGGAATAAAAAGGAAAAGGAGATTTCTGTTCTACTCACGCTTCGCCCACTCGCCCACCACAGAATCCTCCCCTATCTTCGCAGCCACTTTCCCGGCCATAACCTGTTCTCTCGTGACACTCATCATATCTGCCGGTAAGCCCATAGATGCGAGAAAGTGGACTGTTTCGGTCCACTCGCGCTCTCGCCTTGCGCGGCTCCATTTCAGCTCATTGCCCATGAGGTCTATTACACCTGGCAGGGCTTGCAGAGCCGCATTGGTGTCCAAAAAGGCTAGGCGGGTACGCCGTGCAAGAAAGTCTGCAGCGGTCATGGCGTATTCGTTCTTGATTGCGTACTTGATTTCGGCTTTGAGGTAGGGGTAGGAGGGTGAAAGGCGTTCGTGAGAGGTGGGTGAAAGTGTGGAGGCGGTAGTATTGCCTGGGGTTGAGGACGAGGCAGAAGATGCGGATATGGAGGCAACTTCCCAGGCGCGGTCGCCGTATGCATGTGCCAGATGCAGCGCGACTTCAGCGTCGAGGTTGAATCTTTTGATAAGATCGATATATAAAGTTTTGTGATATCCGTGGGCTCCGATGACTGGCAGAGCATGCGTTTGGCAGGATCCGTCAAGGAGTGGTGCCATCTCGTCAGCACCAGTGCCACTGATATTAGGGTGCTGCCGGTGTCCCTGTGGCTTCAGGTGGAATTCCATGATGGCCTTGTTGACCGCATCCTCAGCCATCTCCCGATACGTGGTCCATTTTCCACCAGCACAGGTGAGCAGGCCAGATTTTGAGACTGTGACCAGGTGACTTCGCACAAGAGATTCCGTATTCTTCGAGTTTGGGTCCAAGATCAAAGGCCGTATACCTGACCACGCAGACAATACATCAGAACGGCGAAGGTCAATCTCCGGAGTGAGCTGCTCTCTAATCTCGTTCAATATCCAATCGATATCCTTACTCCTGGGGATGGGCGATTTCTCTACTTCGCAGGGGCTATCCGTGGTCCCAGCGATCAGATTCCCTCCCCATGGCAAGAGGAAAATCACCCGCCCGTCCGACGAGGGGTCTATTAGTCCAAATTTCTGAGGTCCAAACCATCCGGGGAGGACAATATGGATACCGCTACTCGGTGCCACTATGTTCCTCTTCGTCGGCTCATCCATTTGTTGAATGGCATCTGAAAATGGCCCAGTTGCATTAATTATCCCCTTTGCACGCACGGTAAATACCCGGTTTTCATCCTCATTATCACAAAGTGTATCTCGAACCTGCGCCCCGCAGAGCATTCCACTGGCATCCTTCTCCAACCCAGTGACTTCCATGTGATTGACCACAGTAGCACCATACAACGCCGCGGTCATAGCCAGCGAAACGTTCATTCTCGCATCATTATGCTGGCCATCATAATAACATAGCGCCCCAACCATCCCATTCGCATTAAGCGTTGGAAACGCACCCATGGCTCTATTCTTTGTCATAAAATACGACCCTTCCGGCGATCCTTGGTGGCCAGCAAGCAAGTCATACATCTTCGTCCCAGCCCAAAGATACGGAGCCTGCCACCATGTGCGAATCGGCAGCAGAGTTGGCAACCAAGTTGAGAGATGTGGGGCGATATCAAGGAAATATTTCCGCTCGTGCAGCGCCTCCTTCACCAGCTTGTATTGATTGTAATCCAGGTTCAAAATAGCCTTTTCGAGATATCGAACACCACCATGAACGAGTTTTGTGCTTTTGCTGCTCGTCCCGCTGCTGAAGTCATCTCGCTCGACGAGGGCTACTTTCAACCCGCGCGTTGCGGCATCTAGGGCAATTCCTGCCCCTGTAGCGCCTGCTCCAATTATGAGGAGATCGTATATACCCTCATCTTCCTTCTTTCCTTCTCCTCCATGGTGTGAATTTGGCTCTGTTCGTTGAGCCAGGTGAAGTTTGTCATTCGCACTTCGTCTGAGGTCGGATATCTGTTCATGTCTTGGCTTTATTTGGGGGAATCTCGGGGGTATATCACTTGGCAAACGCGATCTGGTTTGGGCTCCGGGCCGGCCTAGGCCGCTCGTATACGATGTAACTGTGTAGATTGCAATACCTCCCGTGGCAACGAATATCGAAGTATAGGCTAGTGGCTTGAGCACCGCTCGTGATGAGAAACGGGAGGCCATGTGGATTGGGCGGACTGACTGTCTTCTACCCTTACTCTGGCGCTATCACCAGCTCGTTAGGTCGGAAATGCCCGAGTTCCTTTTGATACGAGGTCGCGCAGTGGGCCAGGCGGGATCTGGATAGATATGAGGTTGAGGAATGGGTGGACGAATATCTCTAATAAGTCCAAGGAGACGACTGTAAGAAAAAATAGAAGAACAAAAATTTTTCTATTTATTGATGCGAAACAGAAGCGAGGAATTGAAAACAAGAAAAGGGCCCTCTGGGCTCAGCAACGGTGTTGAGTGGGTTGGGTGAAAGACTGCATGCAGGGCCTATTAAACACAAAGGAGCGTACAACATGCCCTACCTCCCAGGACAATTTTAATAGAAGCCAATGAAAATGTCCGCAATGGTTTTATATGAAGAGAAGAAAGAACCCACGGCAACCTTGTAAGAAGAAGAAGAAGAAGAAGAAGAATGAAAGTAAAATGAAAGTAAAGTTATAAAAAGAGAAATGAGAGAGAAAAGGTTCTAAAGGGCAGAGTAGGGGGGTCACCAAAAAGATAACATTGAAGAAAATGGTTTCATGATCTCCATATTAAATAGATTTGATACCCGCTTTCACATTGTAATAATGATTCACCACCGTCACCGTGCAGCAACCAGCTTTCCAAACAAATTTTCGCATCCGCATAGTAAGTAAGCCACCGCCCAATAGACATATAGACATAGATAGTTAACACTCGTACAAGAAAGATAAATAACTCCTATCCAATCGTAGCGTACTTTTTCTGCCATCCGTTCTGAGGCATCTCATTGGCTTCATATTGCCAAATCCAAGCTACGCAGCGTACCCATTGGTCAAATAAACGCGGTGAGCAGACAAACCCATGTGAAGAACAAACTTTCCATCCAATGAATCTTCCGCGCTGGAAGAGCCCCACGCCGTTCCCGGACTAGCGTAGAATGCATCTCGGTGCAAGTCATCCCGAGCGACGGCTGAGTCATCGGTTCAGCCGCATCTCGGTATTTCTACACCGAACGACACCATCGGATAAACATCGGCTAACAACTCCACAAACCACCGCAATTGACGCAGTTCAGCGGAGAAGAATATAAAAAGTTTCCCCGAGTGTTAAGACGAGGGGGTCATTCGCCCAAGCATGTGATTGTTGCCGATCTCTGAGGGACGTCTTCTACTGCACCAGCGGCCGGCGACGCAAACAGAAGCCTGCAATAAAAGCCGACGCTAATGCATCAATCAAAATTGGTTTCTCCTCACTTTGCTCTGCAGAATCTATCAATCGAAATTGTGCCTTCACACGGTGGTGTTGCATATTCCAGCAACGTCAATACCATCGCCCGCCCATAAATGTCCAGCCATATCAAGCTCCCTCTGTATCAGCGGGGAAATCATAGAGTACTCCTCGAAGTGCATAGGTATGGCTTCCAGGTCATACCATCCTATCCCGTTTGCACCCCCCCTCTGTGCCCGCTTCTATCCTTGAGCTAAGCAAGATATTTCAATTAAACGACGTCCCAGAGGAAGCACTCTGTGCGGGGAAGGCAATCAATCCATCCCACGGTTTGGAGTCATGGATGCCCTCCACTGTCCCCCGTCTGTCTCTTCTCTTTCGTGGTAATCGGCCTAAAAGCTCCTCGAGCTAACTATGGTGAGAGTTTCGAGGTTATGCGTGAATTGCACACATGAAGTGTGAGTCCTAGACTGGCCGTGTGACCGTGTCTAGGACCAGGACTGAAATATCTGGTGGTACCATTGATTGAGTTGCTTGGTCCTGGGCCCAGGTACATGTCAGAGATAGTGGTCCGTCCAGTGGACTACTGTCTAAAAATGGTCCTAATTCTGTCATGGTTAAGAGCTGCCAGGGCGCGCCCAGCACTCATCTACCCCAGCACCTATCATTATACATTCACCAAATGACACCAGTATTCATGATCTAATATTCTTTTTTTTTTTAATTAATTATTTTAAATAACTTCAGATATCATTTGACTGTTATCAAAAATCATTACTCTTTCAAAATTTTCAAAATAGTACTAAAAATTTAAAAATAAACTAAAAATTTCTAAAAATAGTAATTTTATGTCAAGAATAAGATCAAATAAGATCAAATAAGAAATGAGATAGATCACTTTCTCATTTTTACTTAGTTGTAATCATATTCTAAGCTTTAACTATGTAATCACTTGTATGTTTATGATAGGTTCTGATGAGACTCACATCAAGAAATATATGAGATCAGATCTCACTAATTAGTCTAAGTGTGACAAGAGGAATTATAAAAGCAACTCATATTCTATCTCTTTATCTTCTCTGTAGTTTTCTCTTGTTCAGTGAACATACATAGTATCACACACACTCAGTCATACAATAATAAAATAAAACTGTTTTCCATTAGAGTGAAAAAAAAAAAAAAAAAAAAAAAAAAAAACTATTCAAAGCGGGAGAATCGTACCCTACTTAGGGGGTTCTGACAGGATATCCTGTGAAGACGGGTACCTGCATTTGTACTAAGCTTCTTGTAACTTGTTCCATTCGCTATCAAAAATGAAAAAGCATATCAATCACCCGTGATGTGCACTCCTATTTTCCGCCGTTTCGGAAATCATGCCATCGTCCTCTGTCACTCCACGAGCATACGGAGGGTACTGATGGAGAAATTGTTGCTGTCAGGGAACTCTTCCACACAGGGTTGTCCCCCAGAGCATACCCAGGTCATATAGATCTGTAACTATCTTATCAAGATTTTCAAATGAACTAAGTATAAATTAAGTCAATGAAAACCACAAGGGCATTTTTTACCTAAAACATATGACTATGAAAAGGTTGAACAATAGGATCCCGAGGGCAAATGCCCAACAATCAAACTGGGCCTTGCAGATGAGATGAGCGAGATATGTGCCTGGGTATATTATCACTATTCTATTTCGATGCAAGCAAAAGTATTGAAATAATAATAATACGTGTGGAATCCTATTTTCACTCCCTATGGTATGTACAGTATATTGTAAAGCGGATCAACGTGTTAAATCCTACAAATATAAAAAGCCTCAGATGAGTGAATCCACCTCAAGAATTGCTCCTTTTTGGTGTGGTGGTTAAACCTCCATGTTATTTGATCCATAGCCAGGCACCGCAATAGTAACAAATAGTAACATGCAGAACCGTACTCGTCACTCGCTAAGCATAAGTGTCCGATTTTGTGTTCGACCATACTTCAGGCGTGGGTCGCAGTAGACGATCGAACCCCATCCATGGGGCGTTGATGGGACTAGGCCCTGTATACAGCAGGACGTCATATAGGAATCCTCCCAGCGTACATCCAATGAATGGTGCAACCATTGGGACCTGGAAATATATAGTTAGCTCTGGTAGAGCATATGGAGGAAGATAGAAATATGAAAGAGGGCTTGATAATGATTGAAACGACCGCTCGTAAGCGCATGAAAGGATTGCATACCCAAAAGTAATAATTCCCAGCAGACCATACTTCATGGCCGTATCCTACAATATAAGACATCAAGCGAGGCCCAAAATCTCGCGCAAGATTGATCGCATATCCTGTTTCCCAACCAAAACATGCGCCAATGCCAAATATCACGAAAAACAATCCCAATGGCGTGAGGTTGCGGGCACCGTTATTATCATTGTCGAGCAAAGCAAAAATGCAGAACATCAGGATCGCGCTGGCGATGACTTCCGAGAAAACCTGGCCTGTTTTGTTCAGGAAGTCGACTGGATATGTACAGAAGATTCCCGCAGTGGATGTTTCGAGGCCCACGGTGCGAATACCAACGCCTCCTTCGAAGACGTCAATGGCGGACATGTAATTCGCATAAACCACCCCAGAGGCAACGAACCCACCCAGGGTCTGGGCGAGCACATAGATGGGGAACTTTCTCCAGGGGAATTTACGAAATATGCAGTTTGCAAGGGTGACGGCCGGGTTTAGATGCGCCCCTGATATACCTGAGCAGTAGACGCCGAGCATCACACCAAGGCTATCAATTATGTCAACTAATGTTATGTTCAATTTATCTCTTATATTTCCCTTTTCTTTCATATTCTCGGTAATTGGAGCGGGATAGAGGAAATGCAAGTATATACTGACCCCCAGCCCCAGCTAATTGACTGATAATCGCCGTTCTTTCTATTACTTAGAATAACCTGGGCCACCGATCCATCTCCAAAAAGAACGATCATAAAGACGCCAACAAACTCAGAAAATGGCTCTCGTAGCTTATATCGAATCCGACACCAGAGAGGTTCTTGAGCCTGCGTTATGGTAACGTGGCTTTCTTCACCCAGAATTGATTTATCCTGGCTATAGGACCCGTTATGGACTTCCCCAGAGTACGCGCCTTTCTCCACCACCTGAGTAGGAGCCGAGGAATGACTTGGAGATACTGATGCCATTGTAATATCCCGCGGAAGGGTTTATTATGGAGTAGCTATGCGGACCCAAAAGTAAAAGAGGGTACCCCGATCGATATTTGTGGAGGTTTCGACTGTCCTTGTGTTTTCCCCACGGGGTGGAGTAGAATACTTATAGAAAACCAAGCGTGCATGGGTTGGCCATGCGGGATATCATTGTTCTCAAAGCTTTCGAATGAACTGAACAGCAAAGACAGTCTAGTCTAGCCAACGTTCAATTAAAGACCCATTCTACCGACCTGTTGTGACACAACTACTTTTCTGACATGGCCACTCTCGAAGCTTTGGGCCGCTATCGTATCACAAAGCCAGCTTCATTCTCGCAATGACCCCGGTCTGACCGGCGATCTACTGAATCAGGTCGATTTGTTATCTCCCTCTAGAAGCAGACGTAGGATCCAGTGCATGCGGCGGGTTCTACACGGCGAGCTATCGGCCTTGCAAGACAGAACATAGGAAACCACCGGAGGGCCTGTTCGCAAGCTCACTTCAAGTAGCGTGTAACTCCGTGGCCACGGTGGTGTACTTTTAATTTTCATCTCTTGCTTCACGGAGGAACTGGGCAGCCGTTTGGCTAGACTCGGACCATGTCAGCGACATACGCAAGCGCAGAGGGTGTTGTATTGGTGAGCAGTTTTCCCGGATACAGGGGCTGAGACTACTAGCCGCAGCACGGATCCTCATTCCCCGATGTTACGCTGTACGACACCGAAACAAGAACATGATAGAGGGGACTCTGAGAAATTTCCTGCGTATGAAGTGAAGTCGGCCTGGAGGTGATGTCTTCGCAGGCGTCAACAGGGGAAAGATTTAGCTTCGGGGCTAGTTCGATAGTGGCGGGCAGTTGATTGACATAGTTACATAACTAACTACGCTGTAATTAACTATTTATTTACTACTCCGTACTATGCGTACCGACTCCGAGCTTTTACCCCACGCGTGAACTATGCTTGACAACCTCCGCCAGAAGCCAATTTTAGTGCGTAACTTAGTGAGGGGGAGGACAGCTTAGGCCGGTTTTGCAAGGCCTGGCTGGTATGGATGGGAAAGCATGTCCTCCTGATGTTGCTGCAGGTAGTACAAATAGCAGCCTTCATCAGCCGTCGTATGGAAAGGCCTCGAGAAAGCTTTATCGCAGTTCTCTGGCTTTGCAAAGCTTTCGCAAAGCAAAAATTCCTCATACCTAGATAGCAACCGCCATTACCGGTAATCAAATCAATTTTCTCGCTGGTAATTAGAATGGGTAGTGTTGGGCAAACGTTTGTGGGCTCCATCGACCAAGGGACGACCAGCTCGAGGTTTCTCATTTTTAACCCAGCGGGAGATGTTGTTGTGTCACACCAGCTGGAATTCCGGCAGATATATCCTCAGCCTGGGTCAGTATACATAACCACAAGGGAAAAATGATTATTTGCTATATTTATTCTCAGTTGAAAGAACAGTGAGACTGATAAACAATTTCACAGCTGGCACGAACACGACCCCTTGGAAATAGTGTCATCCGTTGAGAAATGTATAGACGGGGCTGTGGCTTCATTTGAAAGTCAGGGCCACAGCATCAAGACCATAAAAGCCGTTGGCATTACGAACCAGCGAGAAACAACTGTTGTATGGGACAGAGAAACCGGGGAACCGCTCTACAACGCGATTGTATGGACAGACACTCGCACCCAAGCGCTTGTTCGCAAGCTGAAGAAACGCCTTGGAGCCAATGACCTGCAAGCTCTCTGTGGACTTCCCTTGTCGACCTACCCATCTGTTGGCAAGCTACTCTGGATTATCGAGAATGTACCCAAGGCCAAAGAAGCCTATGAAAAGGGAACGCTTGCCTTTGGAACTGTTGACACATGGCTCGTCTACAAGCTCAACGGCGGAACCGAGAAAAATATCTATGTCACCGATCCTTCAAATGCATCACGAACAATGTTTATGAACATCAAAACACTTCAGTATGATGAACAGCTCATCGAGTTTTTCCGCCTAGATCGCGACAAAGTCCATCTTGCCAAAATAATCCACTCCTCAGACCCAGAGGGATACGGCTCCCTAGCATCCACTGTCCTCAAGGGCTTTCCGATCACAGGCTGCCTAGGCGATCAATCTGCTGCACTTGTTGGACAAAAGGGATTCACTCCTGGCCTCGCGAAAAACACCTATGGCACAGGGTGCTTCCTGTTATACAACATAGGAGAAACCCCTGTCATATCCAAACACGGCCTCCTCACAACCGTCGCCTTTGACTTCAATGGAAAAGTTATGTATGCACTTGAAGGGAGCATTGCTGTTGGCGGGTCCAGTGTTAAATTCTTAGTGAACAACTTTGGCTTCATTGACAATTCTAGTGATATTAGTGCGCTGGCAGAAACCGTGGAGGACAATGGTGGCCTGGTGTTTGTAACAGCCTTTAGTGGATTGTTTGCGCCCTACTGGATGGATGACGCGCGTGGGACTATGTTTGGAATCACCACATTCACAAATCGTGGGCATGTGGCTCGCGCGACGCTTGAGGCGACCTGTTTCCAGACTAAGGCCATCCTTGATGCCATGGAGAAGGATAGCGGGCAGAAATTGACAGAGCTGGCGGTGGATGGAGGTATGTGTAATAGTGATTTGACAATGCAGGTAAGTAATATAATTCCGTCCCCCCACCCCCACCCCTCCTGGTATTCTGGTTCAATAATATGTCATATATCCATAAAAATAGACACAATCCGATATCATTTCTATTCCGGTGTATCGACCGGCAATGCGCGAAACCACAGCTCTGGGTGCGGCTATTGCAGCAGGATTAGCGGTTGGTGTCTGGGAAGGGCTTGAAGAGCTACGGACCGTAAACACTGATGGCCGGACGGTGTTCACACCTGACATCTCCAAGGAAGAGGCTGCCAGCAAGTTCTCGAGATGGGAGAAGGCTGTGCAGATGTGCAAAGGCTGGGCTAACTGAGACCTGTTAACGTATTCCATGGCGCCTTTGGCAAGGTTTGTGACAGGGGTGATGAGTTTTGCCCACTCTCAGCAAGTTCTGTTTTCTTTTCTCTTTTTCTCACCCCCGAGCCGATACGCAGCTTGAGGTAACTTACCACAATGCCAAGTTTTTTTTTTTTTTTTCTTTTTCATTTTGTGTAAATTCTCAGGGGCTTGATAATCTACTACCAGCATCTAGTAGTTGCTTCGTCATACTTCTTTCTAATACTTATCAAAAACAATTGCCAGAATAGCCCCACACGTAAGAAACAGTAAAAAACGTAGGGGCAGCAAAACGTGGGACTCCCCAATGCCTTTGCTTATTGATACCGATGCTCAAGCAGGATCCATCACATGCTTTTGTTATTCGCACTCGATGCGCATTGTCAAGGTACGACCCATGGATATTTGCTGTAAGTTTGCAACTGATGAACCTGGTTAGTTCATGCATAATAGCTGAGGATCATGGTGCCGGGATCCCCTAGTTAATTGTTGGATGAGAGCGTCGGGTTGGAGTCCGGAGCTTCGGTCTTGGAAGCAGTCTCGGAACAAGTCGAACTCCGAAAATCATAGGGCTAGCTTCTAAGATTGAGCCAAATGGGATCTTGGAATCTCGTTCTTAAGGTTGCTATGAACCGACCAACATCCGTAATATATAAAAATTGCAGGATATGAATTGTGCGGTACATGGACGTCATCCGTACATGTTTCTTCCCTATTTTATTGAGACCCTCGAATATTCCAGAAATCCTAGTATAGTTAATCGCTGCCGATTGGCTCGCAAAGTTTTGCCTCCGTTCTTGCTTAGCGTCCGCACTTGTTTATGCTGCTACATTTTGTGACAAAGAAACCGAAATGGTTCCGATCAACGCCTGCAACCCCACCCCGGGCATAGTCAATAAGCGCAGAGGAGGTGTGGGGTAAAAGGATCGTCCACAACAAGGGAATCTCCCCCACTCTTCTCAATATCAATGAAGTTTTCGGTAGACTGAATGTCTAAAAGAACCAAATACGAAGACCGAGTGGCTTGCAGTTAATAATGTGAGCTGCGTTTAACTATGATAAGTTTACCTAATACCCCAAGAAACGATGAGTTCCGGGCCCATTACCCCTAATCCTGCGGGGGCTGGAAGGCAAGCCAATCGGGGTCTGAGCGAGAATACACGAAGTTTGTGGATACAAAATGGGTTTTCGGCCGCGACCAGTTTTCGACGGGGTTATTGACCGACTGCTCAGACTCAGCACTAGTGGGGGGAAGTGAATGGGGGTGGTTTGCAACTGCCACGGATGTGCGTGGATAGTTGAAGAAATCGAAGACCTCGTAATATTCGAGCTCGTTTGGTGCGGGAACTTTTACGGATGGTGGTTGGAGAGCTGATGCGGATCTTTGGGAGAGGAGAATGCTGAGGTCGTATGCGTTTCTGTGGAGAAATATTAGCTCTGTTCTAATGTGTATAGCTTGGAGGTTTAGAGAAGAATTGTGAGCTCACCGCCGCATATCTATGAGCGACTTAGGACCCAACAATTGGGGAGAATGTGAGGAAGCAGATGTAGATGGAGTCATTGCCACGGCACGTTTGGCTTCTTGACACTCTCGTAATATGCGCTCTAGAATCTGGGCGTACTTCCGTGCGACACCCCAAAACTGTCCCATTTTCTCTAGTGTTGACATGAAAAACCAAATGTTGACATTAATATCGGTATTCGTGACCGAGGCATCAACCAACAACACCCTCGCTGACACCCACAGCGAAAAGGCAAAGTGAGGGCCGAGAAGATCCAGCATCCCCGTATTAACGACATCCTGCACGATCTCCCGCAAACTCTCAACCGCGGCAATACAGCGTTGCATCGCATTAAATGACTGGTAGAAGATATGCGAACGCACTGTTGGGTAGGCAGCGCACGAATGGAGTCGTAAAACGGAAATCACGAAGGCTGCATGGAGCATGATCCAATTAGATATCCTGCTAGTCGGACTTGAATGACAGAGTTGAGAAATCCGACTGTAATCATCTGGTAAATTATAAAGCCACCTGTCAAGCTCGCGGTCAAGTTCACGATATGTAGCTTGCCATCTCTCGACGTCTGCAGGGGAGGCAACATCGATGGGATGGCGCAGGAATTTGTGGATACGGCTTAGAATCCGTAGAACTTCACAATGATAGGAGAAGCTACCCAGATTCTCGGGGTGGTTCACGGTAATCTCCGATCGCTCGGGTCCAATAAACCGCCTGGTTTCAACCGCCTGGTTTTTGGAAAATAAGTCGTACCTGCAAGGTAATGACCGATCTATTTGCTGTTCATCGAGCGTAAAATCAGATCCCGCATCGACACACGCATATCGATCCAGGATATAAGTCATCCAAAACAGTCGCCTCCGCCCTTCACTTTCAAGCCAGGAGGTTGGTTGAGGCAGGGCGAACTCCTGCAATGTACCGGGCGATTGATAACTAGGGGGACCAAGAGTCACTCCCCGCTCCGTCCCAAGCCCAAGTTGTATGACATTCCTCACTATCATGCTCAACAGAGTCCAGCTCTGTGGGCCGTATGATTTCCCAAGTACGTTCAGAGCCAGAATCATAAGAGCCTGAAGCGCATCAATGCTCGTGTGCTCAAAGGCATAGAGCAAAATTTTCTGTTTTGAGGTGGTATGGTATTGCTCTCGCCACTTAGGGGTTAAACTCTGATCTTTGTAAAACCGTAGTGTTGTCCGCACAATGGCTTGCAGAAGAATACGATCAGCTTCATGACATACGGAAGATCCAAATAGTCTATCAAGTGTTGCCTTTCGATCAAGAATCGGACACCAGGGATTGACATGCTTGAAATACAAGTCAACAATCGTGTATAGGGTATCTTGCGGTGGTAAATCTATTTCTGCAGGAGCTTCATGCATTCCTCCTGCAGTTAGACCAATAGTACTAGAAGACCTAGGAGTGTTCGTGCTCTCTCGAGCATTCACATTCATCAGAGATTGCACCGAGATGGATCCAGAGGGCCGGGAACACTGCGTTCTCTCGTATCCCGCTCTGTCGATATGCCGATTCTCTATACTCGCCGACGGCTCTTGTGACGAAGTGTCTGTTGGTGCTGAGCGACGAAGCTCAGAATCCGGGGTGAATCCACCCTGATTCGCTGCCAGATGAGATGGGGGAGGGGCTTGTGATTGCTGTTCTGATTCATGCTCAATAATGTGGAGCTCTAGCCGCCGACCCAACAATTGTAACATGGCCTCAAGTCTGTTGATCTTCTGCTCGAGCTCGCGGCCATATCCAGCTCGAAACCCAGGTCGCTGCCTCTCTCTGTAAATGCAAACTCGGCCGTTGCGAGTGCACCAACCGCAGCTGGGCTCTGCGCGGTCGCATTTAACTTTTCGTGTTCGGCAAAGCTCACAGCTCCTGCGCATACAAAGGAGCAAACCCTCACGGGATCAGTTCTAATAAGTTCTGGGAGAGAGAGAGAGTATTCAAGACTAACGCATCTTAAATGAACACACGTACGTTGTTATAGGTAGTCGTTTCCTCTTCCTCGAGTCATCCTCTTGTCCTTCTTGGCTGCTCTCGCCTTGGTAGTCACCAGCACTTCCATCTTCTGATACATAACTCCGGCCCGGCTGTCGTTCACTGTTGTTCTCCATTTTATTTTGGCGCAAGGCTGATGTATTTTCGTATAACTTCTATCCAGCACCAAGACAGCCGTGTGCCACTGACACTGCATAATACTTTCTTCGTCGTGCGGAGCAGCTGTAAAAATTGGAGAAACCCAAAATGAGCAGGACGAAAAAATATTTGAGATCTCATGTAGCCCACCCCACGTTCTGCACAGATAACTTGTCCACCCGAGCGTGCGGGGGACTCCTTTTCAGAACTTGAGAATTTTCGCGACGCCTAATTGGTCGTGGCAAGTGGGACATGGGGCCGGTCTATTTCTTGAATCTCTGTGGTCGTGCTGGCAGTTTGCTTGACTTCAATGAATTTTTATACTTCGGGAAGCGAACATCATTCCTAAATAGTAACAAATACCAAATTAACTCTGCGAGTTTAACCTCTATCAATGTCCAATTTCATACTCCAACAAATTTTTATATCCAGGGCATACAAAAATCCAATTATCCAGATTAACCAACCCCCTCGAATCATCCTAAACTGGCATCCAAAATATAAACAATTTAAAATCAAACACGAGTGTACAAACACATGGGCGCAGGCCAATTAGTTCGAGAGCCGGGGAAAGAAACAAAACGCCAAAGAAGAAGCGAATATCCTTAACATAGCATACGGCAATAAATATAAATATAAAATGCCTGTCAAAAAGTCGCGAATAAGGAAATCTCGGAGGTCGCCTTTGGCTCTTCGCGAATAGCGAATAGAAGATTCACGATTAGCACCCCTAGTCAATAGTCGGAAATTAATAAAACCGTGAAGAATATCGTCGGGGCGATGAGGCGAGGCAGGAAGTCTGCCGAAATTAAATGAAAGGGGTGGAGTTTTCATGTAGCAATTTTGATATAGCCTTATCTATTCTGGTTTCTTCCTTCGTGTTTTCATGTTCAACAGACTTCTTCTCGGCTTCGAGAAGCCGTCTCATGGCGGCTGGAGTCCTACTTGTAGTGCGCGCGGCAGAAATGGAGTTTAACTTTTTGGTAGGTCGGTTGAGCTTCGTGTTGCCTTGCGATTGCGCCTGGGACGGAGTTTGAACTACGTATTTCTGAGTCTTCTGGTTTGCGGTAGCTACTCTCGTTTTTGCGGCGGCTTTTGGCCTTGGTCGAAGTTTTGTTTTCTTAGTTGGAGCTGATTTGGCTTTGGCGGTGGTGGTCGTTTTGGTTTTGGGTTTCGCTTTCGTTTTCGCCTTCTTGGTTGAATTAGTGGCTGAGCGGGCGCCAGCTGCAGCCTTTTTAATGCCCGCCTTGAGTGATTTTGATACTGGCTTGAGAACCTTTCTCCTTTTGTTCAGGCGGGACGTAGAGGATTCGTCTAGGACTTTCTCCTGTTTCCGCTTCTTGCCTGCCACCGTTTTTGAAGCGGACATCTTCTTTGGGTTTTTGGACAGGTTCGAATTTTCCTGTTTCTTAGAATCTTTTGGTTTGGGACCGAGCACGCCACGGCATGTCGGCGCTCCACAACGGCATTCTTGTACGTTCTTTTGAGAATAGGGACTGGCAAAGGAGTATGACAGTCAGTAAAGAATCAAACGTGGGGCAAGGTGAAGGGGGCTATACTCAAAGTTATAATCGTAGGTCAGCTCTTCCCCTGTCATAATCCCATGTTCGCCAGCGAAGAGAGCCATACGCGGCTTTCCGGCAACTGTCCACTTCTCCATCTTACAGTTCGGTTCGCAGGAATGATTAACGAAGCGGGCAATGGAGCCTCGGGTGGCATCGATAATCATATTCCGATCAAAGTACATAAGATAATAGCACTAAATAAACCCAGGAAGTCAGTATCCAGAAAAATATATTCCCCCTTGAGGTAAGCAAGGAGGGGGGGGGGGGGGGGAAACCTCATTATTTTTATACACCGTCCTCATCCTCCTCTCACACTCCTCTTGCGTGACAATCTCCCCCGTATACTCCACAATTATCTGGTTAGGCGCAAAAGTCCGATTGCTGCGTACTCCATATCCACGGTCCGCTGTTTTAATCACCTCAACGCCGATGTTATATTTGCCACCCAACTTACTGCGCTGGCGCAGACCTTCGAAATTTCGATTGCCACATAGTTCAGCACCTAGCTTGCAGTTGTTGTCATCACATTCATAAAACATGTACCGATTTTGGCAGTTCTCATCACAGCCTGACTCAGGGGTGCACATGCATGTAGAGCATTCGCCAAGCTTTATTGCTTTCCATATACAAGCTGCATCGCCGACGAATACATCTAGTCGTCCACAATTAGCGACTAGGACACGAAGAAAGAGTGGGGGAGCAACATACTCTTATTAGTCTTCCGCCACTCATCTGGTTTCGGCTGGCCAGGGGGAAGCGGCGAGAATATATCAAAGGGCAATTTGAAATCTCTCCCATCCTCAATCAACCTCTCTCCTGCAAACATGGGCAAGGGGAAGACTTTCTTTCGCTCCTCTGCATTCTTCTTTGCGAATTTAATTCTGTTCTTCTCTTCTGTAAGCCTGGGGTCAAAGTATCGATCCTGCCCCGCATATAGTCCATGTGAAAGCCACTTCTTTCTCTTATATGGGACAGTTTTAGGTTTGGGTGGCTGCGTATCATTATCACCAACAGTAGTACTGTCTGACGACTTCTTCGAAGCTACTGCGTCACCCTCGGAAACCCGTCGCTTTTTCAAAACCGGGCCATCCGCCGTAGATGTAGGTGTAGTTGAAGGAGTAGAGGTCTCACAAACGACATTTCTCGGCCGTAAACTGGCCCGTCTGTTAATGACCTTCAATCTATCTTTACCCTTTAACATAGCCTCCCGTGATCTCTTCCCAAGCACCGTCGAAGCCCTCCCAACCATCTCACTCGTTTTCTCCAACATGACCAAACGCGACGAACGTCTCCGCGCCCTATCCTCACTGCCATCTTTTTTCTTGATTTCCAAGGTATTTTTTCCGAGCTCATCATTGCCCAAGTGCTCCTCCTCCTTCGCGACATTCTCCGCCTGGCCCTCCCTCTCAACTTCCACACCACCCGCAACCTCAGGATGATCCAGCGGATTTGAACGCAACGGATGACGCGTAACTCTTTCATCGTCATCGCTCATGATAAGTCCCCTCTCCTCCCTCACTGCGCCCCCTGCCGCCATCATCAGCGACGAACGCGTGACGCGTCGAGAACGTCGCTCTGTTGCCGGAGTCACCTCCAAGCCAGCTTTCTCCAACTCCAACGCAGCAGCATCATTCATACTAGAAGATTCAGACTGGCTCGTCGCGGGCGTTAGGAGGTGATGTTCAGTGGAAATCGACGTCGTTTTGGAGTCCAGGGCTGAGGAGGGTGTGGAGGAAGGGGATGTACCGGACGACCGCGAGAGACGCGCCATCGTTTGATTTTGGTAAGTGTACTTTCCTCCTGGGGTGGAAACGAAGCGGACGGAACCGCGTGCGAGAGGAAAGGGATTTGTTTTCGATTTGAACGGAGGGGGGAGAAATTGAGGAGGTATACGCGTTTATAGCTGAGGTTGGTGTGTGCGGAACGGGCCGCGGCGCTAAACGCGGAGATAAAACTTAATTACGCGTGGAGATCCAATTGTTGGAACGCGTTTGGGGATTGTTCAAATGAGTAAACTAAAGGGTGAGAGTAGAGCGACCATGAGAACTGGAAAAAAAAGATATTTAGGTGGATTACTGCTTGTTGTAGTGGCGGTGGTTGTGGGCAGCTGAAGAGGGTTGTGTTGCTTTGCTTGTTGGTCAGGGCCCATGCATGCAGAGACGAGACGGGGTGGATAAAGGCCGCCATCCTTAAATTACGATACCCTAGGCCATATGTCGTCCTCCCTTTCTTTGTGTAGCTAATACTGTCTTTACGATTTCATGCTCTTTTTACTTTCGTTTTCTTCTACTCAAGACAAAAACAGGAGCATCTAAGAAAACTATGTCGTGTTCAAATATTTGGGGTTAAGTGGTGGGGTATTATGGGTATTCTTGAGACGTAGAAATTCTAAAGGGACAAAATGAATCTATGGATGTAGTGTAGCTAGTACATCTTTCGGTCAGGGGAGAATTTCAGGCGCCGAAAAAAAGTAAACAAATACTCAGAACGAAGTTGGTGAGGAGGGGGAAAATTAACAGCAAACTTCCAACTCCAAATCGACATCCCCGGACTTAGATCAAAGAGTAACGAACTCACTCGGTGAGGGGCGAATGAATTTGGAAGCAAAAGGACAGACATGCATCAAGCAACAGGGGCATGGAGCCTAATTAATTTGACTCTACAAACGCCATCAAACATCTCGCTCATATCGAACGTTAGGGAAAAACAAAAACATTGAAAGAAAATGGGAATAGGTGGGGTCAAATGATTAAGACCAGTTGGTATAAGAAAGGAAAAAGGCCCAGGGAGAGAATAAAAATATAAAGTACAGGGAAGGAGAATCGCAAAAAGTGAATAATAATAATAATAATAAGGATGATGAATGATAATACTAATAAAGGGAAGGAAGGGTTGGCTCACGTCAGTGACGTTGCGCACGTATCACGGAATTCTGTGGCACGGCGAATGAAGGTAATGAGTGATATGAGAAAAAAAGGGTGGGTTTTCAATACCAATGAATCAACCATTGGTGAGTTTATTAGAGGCAGGTCCGTTAGAAACTCCCTGTAGTTCCATTTCTTCGCCAGCCTGTGCCTCCAGATCACGTCCTCTGTTCTTGCGCTTCTCTGCCTCAAAGCGCTGGTCCCCTTCCTCGTACCGTTTCTTGAACTGGACATACGTTGGGGGGCGGGGTCGCAAGAGCACGGTGATCCAATTTCTGATAATGTTGCCCTGGGTGAATGGTCTGTGTCGATCCTCCTTGGGGAACTTGTGGGAATTAAGGTATTCCCGGGTCGTTTCGCCCCTACCCATTAAGAAGAAGTGATATGCCCAAAGCGATGCAGGGTAGGGTGCTGCGAGGAGACCATATAAAAACATGGCAAATGGAGTTCGGCATTTGGAAATGGCTTCCCCGAACGAAATTCCCTCCTGGCTACGGTAACCAAGACAATGTCCCAAGCTTGCACCCATTAGGAAGAGAGCCAATACAGTAGCGGAGCTGACGAAGGTGAAGAAATAACGATAATTGCGGCGCCCGACGCAGTTATTAAGCCATACACAGTGGTGATCGAGAGTTTCAACGCAATTGTCACAGACACGGCAGTGGTAACAGCGCGGAGGCCGCCAGATATTACAAGTTTTGCAGTACTTCACTGGCACATCCATGGCTGCTACATCTGATGTTGCGAGCTTTATCATGACCCAATCATTCGAAGGCGGCCCCGGAGTTAATGGGTCCTGGTTTGAATCAGTTGGCGGCATTGAATGCAAATTTCTTGGAATGATCTGAAAAGCACATGTTAGATTGATAAATGAGACACAGCCCACTTAGACGCAGAAATGATGGGAGCTTACTCCTGGATCAACAACAGACGCATGAATAAAGGATGAAAGGCATATATAGAAAAGGTAAGCGAATATAATAGGTATTGCAGGAGAAGCATTGTGCCACAGCCATGAAGCCCTGGATTGACAGTCAGTATACGACTCTTTAAATCTAAATTGCGCGACTTGTACTTACGAATAGGCGAAGAACAATGCAGCGGGCAATACCACCATAATCCCAGTCGCGATATTTACTGGTTTATCACGGGAATTTTGAAACCTGCCTCCACCGCAGAATACCGTGTTTCCCGCAAAATATTCATAATTCTTCCCTAAATTTGGCTTGTCTTCAGACTTGAATCCCTTTTGCAGTACGGAACCGGGGGTAGACGCGGCCGAGGAGAGTCTTTCATGATTCCTCGAGTCACGGCGATCTTGGCCATCACTTTTGCCAGGCATCAGGAAACCAGAACGAAAAGACATGGGTGACTTCTGAGCATTATCCTGAGAGCTGCTGGGCTTATTATAATTCTTCCCCAGGTTGAGGTGTGACGGTGCCGCCTTTTGTGACCTATCATGGAGTAACCTCACACTCTCACCAAGACTTCGTACGGTTGTATTACCTGTAGGGCTTGCATTTGACGTTCCACGATCTGGTATAACAGGGTCCGTGAATTCGGTGCCTCGCGATGGCGGGGGGAGTTCGTTCTCGTGAGAAGAAGGCCCACCGTAGAGTATTGTATGGTTTGATAACAAGCTCCTTCGTTTCTGGCTGCCAACATCGCTCATGCCATCTTCAGTCGAGGTGGGAGCGGCATGATGGTTATTATTGTTCGCTGGTCGTCCACTGCGCTGTGCTTGCAACCTCTGTGAACTCATTGGACGGAAAAACCCGTGTGCAGTCAGCGACGGAATGTGCGTCCTACTCATTCGACTCGAGGAGCTAAGGGGACGACTCGTCGAATGATTAGTGGCAGCCATTGAATTCCTGGCTGGGGGAGGACCACGTCGGGAGGCCGGAGTCTGCGACCACGTTGGCTGGGAGGAAATAGCAGTGGGAGGTCGTGAAGCATCGTCATCTTCTGAGGCTATATCCGTCATGTGGGTGGATATGTAGGAAACAGGTCGGGGTGGATTTGTGGCATTATCAAACGGAGCTCCAGATTGCCGGTTACTGGGATCATCAGAAGCAGAAAAATCTTGTTGACTAGCCATTGTAGCTATTTAGAAGCATTAAAACGGGTGAATTGGAGAATAGGCCGTCGACATAGTGCCAGAATAATAGGGCGTACGGAGGGGGTGGTCGATTCAAGCCTGCGACTGATATTTAGTCAGGGGCTTGAGCCTGGCTCGACTCTCGAGGGTTTGGAACAAAGGAATGGCGGGCGGCTCGAGCACGATAATCGAATTACACGGATGGAAGTTCACCATGGGAGGGAAAAGAGAGCGTCGGGTTTATCAATAGCAACAGTGACATGCCATGAGGAAGCAGAAAGATTGTAATTTTCCAACGTCGTTATGCCATCGCTGTTCTCTTCCAAAGCGGAAAAAGTAAAGGTTGCACGTGATTACCGCGCCACTTTGGCAGCCACGACATCATGTGACTGCTGGCATTATCTAAGCCGAGCAAACCGACCTCGTCCGATGTTCCAAAACAGGAAGAATCTTTGACTGTCCACACTTCTGCCCTCGTCCATTGCTCTATAACCACCTTTCTGCTGATCCAATTAGCCTGCTAGTCGGGTGTATACTACACACAACATGTCGTCAATCGCTGCAACTTTCGCTCGCCGCGCTGCTCTGAGACAGCCTTTCAGAGCACCCACCACCATCAGACCTGCCCGCCGCATCTCCTCCAAGATCGAGGAAGCCGGTCTCAACACCGGCTCAAAGAGAGACCCTGAGCTCTACGTATGTTGCTCCCACCTAACCATATATAAGCCCTTCCGGCTGACTATTTCCCGTTTGCCGTTGGTGATCTAGATCCTCCTGGGTGTCATGGCTGGCGCTTTCGGTATCGCCGGCTGGTACCTTGGCAGTTCTCCCACAAGCACCACCTCGGAGAGCAACATTCGCATTGGCGAAGCCTCTATGCCGTGGGAGCAAGATGACGAGTCCAAAGCCTACAAATACCAATACCACCCCCATGGCGACACATCGAAGCCTCTCAAGAAAGCCCCCAGCGCTCTGAATGAGGTTGTCATCCCCAACGTTACTTTGCCTAAGGTACGATCTCTTGCCTTGTGCCTCCATCTTTCCCAATTGTTGTATAGGAATTGGGTCGATGTTGTCGGAATTCTTGCTAACTGTTAACTACCTATTGCAGGATCTACACGACCGGTTCAACAAGTACGGCAAGGACGACTATTGAGATTATACAAAAACAGAAGTACCACACTGAACTAGCGACTTGCTGCACAGCAAGAGAATTTGTATTTCATAGTTGAGAAAGAGAAGCAGCTGTGGGCATTTTTGATCATAAGTTTCTTTATAACAAAAGAATTCGAGAAAAGAGTGGCCCTTGTAAATAATTATTCTGACATTTTCCGGACATAACTCCAAATCTCCCCGAGGTTTGCTTTCTTGTATATTTCTCTCACTCCACATTATCCTGTATTCTACGTCATAGGTGTCGTGGCTCACATTTTTTAAACTCAAATATTGCGAAAGGTCAATCCTCAAATTCATTAAAAAACAAAAAAAGCGAAAAAACAAGGAAATGAAAAGAGACAATTAAGAGAAAAGTATTTGAAACATTTCTTCCTCTGAATATCCTCAAACAAAAGAACCTGCTACACGTATTTAAAATGACACATGATATAATATTCCCATTTAGCCGAAAGAAATTATGACAAAAGGACGACGAAAAGAAAACGGGGAAAGAAGAAAGGGGGGGTGGCGCAGGATAGGGAGTGGGATGAGAAATGGAAAGTAACAACAAAAATTATACTCGTCAATTTTCTTCATTCTTCCTCGTGGCCTCATTGCCTTCACTCGCTGGCTTCGGTTTACTTTCGTCCCGTTCTACGGATTTCTCATCACCAAGGACGGATGCAGGTTTGTCAACTGGCGCATCACCGGCGCCGCCGCCTTTGCCAGCTGTTTCGGGATTCTGTCCCTCTGCATCGGGATGGTGAGGGGCTGGTTGTTCGCCACCAACCTCGCGACCATGACCATCGATTATTCGAGTCTTGGTTTCATATCTAGTTTCAAATGAAACGTTACCATCTCTCCCCAACGCTGCTACTTCCTCATCATTCAAGATATTCCCATCCTGGTCACGATAGACCACGGACTCCAGTTGGGTAGACACCAGCTTTTGTCCGGGGGTTACCACAGCAGCCTTACCTCCTTCTTCCGCTAGTTTAGCTACCTTTTGTTGTTGTTGCTGCTGCTGTTGCTGTGGCTGTTGCGGCACCGGAGTTGGAGTTGCGTGTAGGAGCTGTGCAGTCCCATTGACAAACTTCATCGGTGTTTCGTATTGAGCCAACTAAAATTCAGACCCAGTTAACAGCCATCAATGAAAATGATGAAAACCATGTCGCCCAATTTCCATTTTTCTTTGAGAAACTTACATCATTATGGAAGAGGTTGCAATCAAAGTCCCACGACTTGAGGAGCTTGACTTTTTGGCAGGCAGCTTTAGTCCAGGGGTTGCCGTAGGCTAATGGCGAGATCATAGTGAAAGTCACAATCGACAGAACAACGAAGGCCACCATGAATATCTTGCCAAATACACGTTTGCTTTTCACCGCTCCAGAAAGACTGACTCTATTGACACCATAGTCCACGACCTGACAGAATGCAAGGATGGCGAAGTAGAGAGATGGGAAGTAGTGATGGAGGAAGAGCTGGCGGGCCATAAGATAGAAAGGGAAGTAGTGGAAGGCCCACCCTAGAACAGTCTGGCCAATCTCATAATCGAATCGCTTGAAGACGATGCTTTTGTAGTCTTGGTAGCTGCGTTGCCAGCGCAGTGTGGCAATCGCCTTGAAAATGACGTAGGTAATGATAGCAGCAGTTGAGGACCACCAAACAAGGGGATTTCCCAATAGGTAAATCTGGCGGTGGTCTCTACTCCAGAAATTAATACCGCGCAAAAGGGTTGGCCACGAAGGAGGTCTGGAATCCCAAGCATGTGATTCGACTAGGCCAGCGTTCGTTCTCCACATAACTTTATGAAGTTCCCAGAACTTGCCCAGGAACCCAGGATTCCTGTAATTGACCTTCTCGGCATCCGGTCCGAGCATTGGATGGTCATTTTGTTCGACATACCAGATGCTATTGGGTAGGGTGCCACCTTTGGCGCATGTAACTTCCTGCTGCTCGAATCCCCACTCTGGAAGTTTCACCTTGTGTGAAAATAGAGCGCACCCGGTCATCAAGTGGATGAGTTTGAATTTGGTCTGGATTGTGCGGATCCGCTTCTTCGCTTCCGGGCCATCGGACATCGATTTGACAATTTCAACACGGAAAAGGTCGTTTGCATCACCGGGGAACCCCTCATAGCCATAAGCAGATACCTCATTTTGCCAGTCCGCTTCTGTTACGGGTGGGCGTATATCATGAGAGTGAAGTCTTCGGTGGGTGCTGGTGTGATAGAGCTTGATAACCGACCCATCTATAACGTGACCGGCAGTCAAGTTATCCCATGCGCTTGGTCCCTCGACTTCTCCGTATTCACCCAACGGCTGAGTCTGGTTCTCCACAACCCAGATGTTGTTTTCGTCCTTGTGAGGATACAGGGTGATTTGTTGCTGCTTGCTACCTCCAGGGTACATAGAACTGTGCGAATGCAAGTACCCTCCCTGAGTATTGTAGTGGCGGATAGAGACCCTTGAACCAAACGCTACATCGGCTGGTACATCCTGCATTGCTTTAGAGTTGAGGGTCGCTTGGAATTCAGACGACATAAAGCCATCTCCATCGCCTGGGTTGGCCAAACACAAAAAGTGAATCGCAAACATGGACATGTAGAACCCGACGGGAATGACAATGAGGCAAAATGCCCGAGCAAAAAAGTGCTTAAACCATACGCGCTAGTATGCAGAAACGGTCAGTAACAAAAATCAGGCTTGGACTTCTCAATAGAGTTTGTAGCTCACAATCGTCACTGTTCTAGTGTCGCCAAGGAGAACCCAGAGTTGAACGATGGTCAAACTTCCAACCCACGCGATAGTAAAAAGCCCCACCCACTTCACACTGACAGTAGCGCCCAAAAAGATGCCTGTAAGTGTAAGCCAAAACCACCACGAGGCTCCAAATGCTCTTGAAGGCCCTTGTTCATGTTGATTGGTAAAGTTTGTAAAGGCTAGGACGGTCAGAGCGGTAAATATGACTAAAGGTGAGTCGAGGAGGATAAACCGTGACTGGGTGACTAGGCCGTTTTCTTCATGAAGAACGCAATTGTCAGTGTGGTGTATTTCACGCTGTCATGGACGAGTGCTGGGGGCCTTACCAAACGTAACAAGGAGAGCACCCATTGAAGCTGTAGATGTTCGGCACCCATATGCCTTTAACGTAAGAAACATAGTTGGGATAGACATAATACCCAGTATTGCTGGCAGCATGCGCATAGCTACATAGGGAACGCGTGGCTCCAAGTAGTCTTTTCCAATCTCCTTGAAGTCGAAGTCTCCGCGAAACCCAGCCAAGTATCCGACAAGGGCAATTAGCATTTTCGCAAGCGGGGGATGTACGTCCATGAAGAACTTCCCCTTGATATATTTGGTTGCAAATCCGCCGAAGCTGAATGAGACATTAAATTAACTTTTAGCATTTGCTTCAATTGATAATCGACGCGGAGGTAGGGGGGAACGAACTGCACTTCATCGAATACCACACTTGTTGGCTGGTAGATCCTGAACAGACGGACTACGACGGCAATAGCCGTTAACATTAACATGATTTTGTAATCCGAAACTGGCAACTGAAGTATATCATAATCGGAAACCCCTTCAGAACTGTAGTCAAGCTTCTTCGATGCCACTGCCTTTTTCCGGTTCTTGGGGCCGGGGGACCGGGATGGGGAGCGGCCATTGCGGGTGTGGGGTTTCACCTCCAGCCCGCCTTTGGCAGACTTGGAGGCCATGTTTCGGAAGGAAAAGATGAGAAAAGAGATTAATAGCTATATGATGATCGCTTTTCTTTCAGGGAACTTATAGTAAAACAATGAGGGAAAAAAAGGAATGAGTATTAAAACGCGAGGCTGGGATCATGGAGAGGATGAGGATAGAGGAACAGGATGCGCGCGCGAGGAGAGGAGCATTCACCACAGAAATAATTAATTAATTAACGAGAGTATGAAAAAAGGTGGGAGTGTCCTACATCCCATAGAAAGAAAAGTGAAGCAAAACGTCTTGTCCAGGTTGTTGGACAGGATGGGGAAATTCAGGAGTTGCGGCCTTGCCTTGTGCTTGAGAGTTGAGGCCAGGTAGTTTCCCGTTAGCGTTTTGCCGCTAAATAAATAGTTAAGCGCGGAGCTCCGAATTATCAAAAAGTTACAGGACACACGCAGAGCCGTTCAACGGTGCCTATGGTGGCATTGGAAAGAACCCTACAATACATATCTACGCTTCAGAATTCATTTCATTTATACTCTTCCACCCTTCTACCCTTCTATTTGCGTTGTTGACCATAAACACGACTCGGGGCAGATGCCCCGAACTGCCTATTTGAGACTAGATCATTGTCTAAATCACGTGAGTAGAGCCTCCAGGTTGATCTTAAGCTATATATATATATTATATATCCCTCGCCGCATCGAACCCGCGCTTGACAGACATCTCTCTGCCAGCAACAGCCATACCGCCCGTCATGACTCCGTCTGCTACAAATGGAGCCGCTACGACGCCGCCAGGCTTACCCGAGGAAGTGAGCAAACCTCCCGAGGGCATTGTTCTGCCGCCTAAAGATATTAGAAGTTAGTTCTTCCTGAGCTATAGTGTCAACCAACCCTCTGTGAGATGGATCTTGTGGCTGATAATATTATTTTTTTTAGCTATTATTGAGAAGACTGCCGGATTCGTGGCGCGTAACGGTCCTGTTTTTGAAGGTAGGCTCCTCATCGGGTTCCGACTGCTGCTCTGCAACTAGCTGCTGATTCCTGTCTCAATGCGTTATCAGACCGAGTCCGCGAAAAAGAAAGATCTAATCCGAAATTCTCCTTTTTAAATCCGAGCGATGCATATGCCGCATTTTACTCATGGCGCCTCAGCGAAATCAAGGCTGGTAGGGGGACTGCGGTTTCTGCTGGCCGAGCTGGGGAACCGGTGGCAGCAACAGAGCCCGAGAAACCAAAAGGCCCTGCTCAGCCCCCAGAATTTCATTACTCTGCGCGTATGCCGAATATCAATGCTCTGGATCTAGAAGTAGTCAAACTGACTGCCCTGTTTGTCGCCAAGCGAGGGAAATCGTTCATGACCGCCCTGTCCCAGCGCGAAACGAGAAACTTCCAGTTTGACTTCCTTCGGCCGCAGCACAGCCTCTACCAGTTTTTCACTCGGCTTGTCGACCAATACACATCCCTTCTTCAAGTAGACGAATCCGATGGCCCCAATTCAACGTCGAGTCGAATAGTGGAGCTAGAGAAAAATGTGAAGGACAAGTATCACATCCTAGATCGTGCAAAACAGCGTTCAGAGTGGGTCAAATTCCAGGAACAACAGAAGCAAAAGAAGGAGGAGCAAGATGAACAAGAACGTATCGCATACGCACAGATTGATTGGCATGATTTCGTGGTAGTGGAAACGGTTCTGTTCACGGAAGCGGACGACCAGGCCGAGCTCCCACCCCCTACATCATTAAACGATCTCCAGACCGCCTCTCTAGAACAAAAGGCAATGATGTCTCTACAACCTCACGACAGACGTATCGAAGAAGCCATGCCCACTGACGAAGAAACAACCTACTACAATGCCTATCCACCCCCGCAAGGCGTCTCCTCCCCAACCCTACAGCCCGCCATGCCTGCCCCTACCTCAGACTTCCAAGCGCAACAGCCATCCCCATTCACCCCGCAATCCCCCACACCTATCTCGACCCCAACAACTCCAATGACCGCACCTGTAGTCTCTGAAGAAGAAGACCGCATCCGTGAACGTCAACAAGAGCGCCAACGGGCACAGGCAGCGCAGGCCGCCGCACGCGCCGTACCCACTCCACCACCAGGCTCCACCCAACCTATGCGTATTCGTTCCGACTACGTGCCTCGCGCCCAAGCCAAACGCCTCAACACTACTGCCACCCCAACAACGCTCTGCCCCAACTGCAGGCAGCAAATCCCCGTCAACGAAATCGACCATCACATGCGCATTGAGCTACAGGACCCTCGTTGGAAGGAGCAACGCGCAAAGGCGGAAGCCCGCTACGCAACTACAAATCTCTCCACTGCGGACGTTTTCAATAACCTCAAGCGCCTGGCTAGTCAGCGAACGGACGTGTTCGATCCTTCCCTTAGCGCAGTTGAGAGTCCAGGAGTCACCACTGATGGCGCCCAGGAGGGTGATGGTAGCGGCTCGCTCGATCCAGAGGAGGAAGGGAGACGTAAGCGCGCTGCGACGGGTATGGGGATTGGTGGGATGCCACTGGGTATGCCTGGTTATGAGCTCGCTCCGGGTCAAAGTCACCCACCGGACCGACCTGGGCAACCCCAGGGCCCGCATATCCCTGGTCATCCACCGCCTGGCGGCCCGCCGCCGCCCGGGCAGAGTGTTAATATCGAGGAGCAGATCAGACATATTCATCAGAAGTTTAAGCAGTGAACTATCTAACAGATTATGGGAAAATGAGGAGAATGGATGCAAAATAATTTTTGGGGGGGAGGGTGTTCTTTTTCACATGGTTAGCTGTGTTTGTTCTATTATATTCTACCCTGCGTTTCTGGGCTGGAGTTTCTTTTTTTTTTCTTTTTTTTTTCTTTTTTTCTTTTTTTCATTTTTAATTTTATTGCATCATTGTATTATTCCATCTACTATATGCTAGGGGAGGTAAACTACTAGGTATAATTAGGGAATTACCTCCACCGTTTATGAAGGGATTGGATACATCCACCTCCAAATAAAACTGTACAACTTAGCTTCGTCCTTATCCTTATATCTTCTACAACACAAGGGCCACTGCGGGAGAGAAAAATAGATTCTCAAGCTACCGACTAAGAGAAGAGGCCAAGGCAAAAATAAACGTGATGATCAAATATTCTCTTATGAAATATAGCGGTTCCTGTCCTACTTCATGCATCCCTACCACACAGTATCAATCCATCAATCCACATCTCTAATCTCTATGGAAAGAACCAACTCAAAAACAAGCTCGAGGCCCTCCGGTGAAACCAAATAAGAAAACAAAAGTGAAAAATCAAGTGCAGAAGACATGCTAATCTCACCCCAATAACGCGATTAACCCTGTTCCTAAACCATAATAATAAAAAGTCGGAAAATCGGAAAAGGATATCCAGCGAAACAAAACAAGGACGAAACTAGAAAAACAAAAGGAGGTACAAGCGCCCTGATATCAACAACGTCATAGCACTTTAAATAACAACCAAGGAACAAGGCCAGACAAAGAAATACAACCGGGCTAAACCTCTATACGCCATAGGGATAGGACGGACAAAAAATGATTCGTTGTAGTAGAAAGGGACTAAAAAATTGTATCTTGACAATGAGTAGGGGGTAGAAGAAAAAGAATAAAGTAGTAAGAGCAAGGGCCGTGTGAATACGAAAGAGTCCGCTTATGGATGGAGTTAATCGAGGACAATTACCCGCACTTTCCTATCCCATATCGGCCAGTCTTGGTCCGCAAATCACATCAAATTGAGAAGAGCAAACTGCGATCGGTGGGGATAATAGGAGGCGTATGCATAGGTGAAGCGTAGCCACAAAAGGATGGTGAGCTTCACGCGCGAATAAAACCAAAGTGTAGAAAGTAAATGGTGAGGCAGGCGTATGGCGAGTGATCCTGGAGAAAAGGGCACACGAAGCTGTGGCTCAGGAAATACGTGGCCGTAGTTGGTGTCCTATATCAAAAGAAAGTAAAATATCGAGATCACGAACGTCTGCCTAAAACTTTTCTGGATCTGATTGACATGGTTGGAAAATGGCGTATATAGATTTCTATCATATTGCGAAAAAATGGGAACTGAAAAAGGACACTGGAGAAATTGGTAGGAGAAACGCAGATAGCGAGAAGGTAATCAGGTAAGGGAAGAGTAATGTTGTTTGGTGGACCCGTCGGAGGATGGTACAAGGCCGATAGCGAGGGCAAGATAAGAGGCTGCGGCGTGTCGAGGCGGACGGAAAAACCCGAGGTTAACAAGTATATATAATATTTATGCAGGTAATGGTACAGGCGCCCTGCGCCCAAAGAATGGAAGATATACATCCAACCAGGTGACGTATACGTCAAACGGAATCCGACACTTGCCGTTACAAAGACACGGTAGCAAGAAGAAATTGTGGGGAGTTTGGGTTAATCGGGGTAAAATTCTGTAAATCTTCACTCTAGAGCTAATGACAGAGACAGGTATCATGCTCAAAGCTCGGCTGTGCTAGGGAACGTAACCTTTAATTGTGGATCAGTTCCCGCACTAGGTCTCGACGGTGTCACTGGTCTCAGGGAATCTGACGCATGCTGTTGAGGAATCTCTGTCTCAGCTGTAGCTTGCGCTGGTGGTTCGTTCAAAGAGTTGTTTTGACGGTCTAGGGGTTGATTTTCGTTGGCATCAATTGAGCTTTTTGTTAGGCTAATTTCAACTCCGGAGTCGACGGCCTCGGCGGTTTCGTGCTCTTGGGTTTCAGGAAATTCACTGACTTCTACTTGGGAAGCACCGTTTTTCGGGATTCGATTTAGATCAGGTGTAAACGGACTTTCCAAGGGCTCCGTTTGGTTCTCACACTTTGGGTAAGGCGAATCAATGCTAGGAGCTGCACTGTTCTTATCAGAACTTTTCGACTGGAGGAAAGCAGGAACGACTCCTCCGCCTATTCGAGCCCAGAACATTCGCTCTCGGAGGCGGATAGTCTCTTCCCACGCTTCCTTTTCATCTTCTTCATCCAAGATGCGAACGTGGCCGTCGACGATCAGTCGTAAGTACCCAACGAAATCGCAGCAAGACCTGAGCTTTTCCAAGCATAACGTACACGTTGGGTATCGTTGAGCGTTTTCATTGTCCGAAGTACGGAAACGGTGAGTTCGGGCGTTCTCTCCTCCTGTTCGCGCTTCCCCACAAAGTGCACATGGAGATGAGTATTTCGCAGCAACGGCTGGTATATATTCAACGACAAGGGCTCCTTCACATATGCTACTTAGAACAGTACGACGGGTTAACCACGATATTCCGGGCGCGGCATCCAATCTGAGGGTTGGTTCAATATCCTCCGCAAGCGCCCGTTTGTAGAACCGGCTTTCCTTTAACGCTGCTGCATGTGATTCGCGAGGGGACGAATTACTGCCCGGCGAACCGGGAAAGCCTGGGAATGACCTTGCCGAACCATTAGAATATGAGTGTTTGTGTTGACTTTCCTTGTTGCCTGTGAAATTGCCGAATCCCATTACATTCAATCCACCATACGATCCACTCCCAACTCTACTTGGCGGCTTGGAGGTTTTAGCAAGTTGTAGCATTGCGCGGAAATCCTCAAAGGCTTGAATATCAGTCCGACAGACAGATTTTATTAAATGTGAGAAACTTGTTGAGGGGCCGGGCGAGATTTCTCCAGAGCCAGGTGTGGTAGGATAAAGGTTCATCGCCTCCAGAAGGCGATCTATGGTACTAATAGGCTGGTGCGTTCCACCTGGAGAAGAAGGCGTGGTGGATGCATCCGTCCGACTACGAATTTCATCCTGATCAGTATTCATGTTCTGTATGACCGTCTTTAACTCGCTCAGTTGCTCCTGCTGGGAGGCAAGAAGCATTTCATTGTCTTGAATTTGCGCTCGAAGCTGTTCATTTCGCCGTTCGACATTCTTTCGTTCCAATTGTGCGGCGGCTACCATCTACAATACACAGTTAGATAAGAGTCATAGGAAATCATAATCCGTCCGGGAAGTATAAGTCCCACCTTATTAGCTTCCTCAAATAACGCTGCGGTTAGATTTTCGAGTTCCAGTTCGATAGCTTTCTTCTCCTTTTCAATAGTTGCACGTCGAGATCTTTGTTCAGCCGCCTCATCCTTCAGCTTTGTCCACTCCTTGTCCACATCCACCCTCCTTATTAGGACCCCATTAGTGATATCTTCTTCATATTGACGGGTTTGCTTCTCCAGTTGTCCAACTCTCATATGCGCCTGCTCCAACTCCTGGCGTGTGGCCGCCAGAGTATCGTCCAAGACTGTCTGGTAATTAATGGCCTGGATAAGCTTGTCGCTAAGATTTGCGACCTCGCTGCTTAGGTCGGGGTGGTGTGGGGACGAGGCCGAAGTCGATAAGTCCGATGTGCTAGAAACTCGAGGGTCGCGCAGTGTGGAGAGGGAATGTTCGGAGGGGTCTTCAAGGGCAGCACGGGAGATACCAGAAGTGCCTGAACCGGCTATCATATCAGCCAGGGCATTGTTCGACTTGGACTTTGGGATTCTCCTGTTTGGCGAAATAGATCTGACATCAGAGGAATTCGGGCGTAGCTTCTGCACGGGGTCGGATGACGTGGAGGATGCCCGGAGGGTCGGGTAGCCCCATCCGTGGATGGAAATTAATCTGATGCCCATTTTTATTAGCAATGGATCAAACCAATCAATCAATCGTTGAATAAGGAAAGGCCGACTACAGGCTGGTTTTCCCTCAGCAGATAGCAGCCTTCCATCACTATATATCTATGTGGAGTTGTGGAAGAATCTTACTCAGCCATGTTTGTTCACCACCAACGACAGTAACCCAATGAGCTGCAAAAGCAGGTTTCTGGATCGTTGGATCGCCAGGGAACAAAGCAAGCGGGAGTGTGGGGATTCAAGATCCGTGGACACGTTGAGCCACTGAGGCGGACATTGGTGTATTTTCAAACGAGACGGAAAACTTCGGAGACAATGGCCTGGTTACGGATGTGTGCTTCCCCCGCGGCGTAGGTGCAGGAGGGGATGAGGTTCTGGTCGAGAAGTACAAAGGAGAGACAAACACCCGCGGCTAGCTCTTAGCTGCATTGGCAGCAGAAACAGAAGCTCGTTGTTATTGGCAAGGTGGAGCTCGGAAGCAAGGAAGCAAAAACTTGGCCTGTTGGGTTAGCTTGCAAACCAAACACGCCAGCCACGCAGAGGTTCCAACAGATGTTTGCAGCGCCCGTCTTAACGACGGGATATCCGGATGGAAGCTGATGTTGGGCCAGTTTGGTTGAAGATGAAGAAGATGCAGATGAGATGATGAAGTTTCCGCTATGCGTATCCCACTTGGCCATTTCACATCGGATAATAGCAGTAGTGGCAATTGGCAATTTGCCTCTTTGGGAACGATATGAGGCTTTGACTACTATCATGAATCTAAAACGATGACTCAGCAGGTTCCGCAGCAGATCATGTGACCTGCTCGGCCATCTGCGGCTCAACTATCTTCCACTGATGACGCGCATGGAATAAAGTACAAAAAACAAACAAGCAACATCAAACAACACTGTACACAAACAAGTCGTCCTACGCACCATTATGCTTCTTTCTGTCCCATGCAGTATCTGCTGCGGCATCATGTTACCTTTCATTTTTCCATGCCAATTCAGGCTTGACGTTCTTGAATAAGCGTGTGGAAATAGCCAGATATCCGGTATTCTAAATCGCTACGTCACATCCCAACTCGTCCACTCGTCCTGCCGCTAGTTATCGCAAAGCCGGCATCGGTGTGGTGTATTCGGGATGGGAGGAATAATCAAATACTAACCCAGTACACAGATATAGCTGATGGGGCTGGAAGGATATCAAAACCTGAAATATGTACCTAGATATTCGGTCTAGGTGGTACGTTTCGATAAACAAACAATGGAGCTGCATACCCTGCACAGGATATCTTGTTCACCAATTCAATGTGGGAAAGTACCAAGGAAAATTCAATGACATCCACTCCCTCTTAGGAACTTGCGAAACATCAACATTAGTCCATGGCAACAACCAGAACCGCGCAGTTATATTACACACACCCCTAACTTCAACGACCTATCACGAGGCATACATTTCATCAAAACAATTGCAAATTGCCAGCAGAAAGAGAGCTCCATAGCATGAGGTCTTACCAATTCCCGAGCCTTCCTTTTTCCCAAAATCTTTGGGAAGTAGCTTAAAGCTGCATATACTTCTATATCAGAGGCTGAAAAATGAAGTATCCACCATATCACTAAACACAGTGGGGGCATTTTCACACGACTGCAACTCCGTCATCCTTTTTTAACAAATAAGGCATTTATTTCTCATGTAGACTGGTTTAATGCCATGTTTGAATGCATGGGCTAAAACTCTTAATTTCAGTATATATGGAATGCAAACAGATTATTTATCACTTGATTTCATAACTTTGGCTCAGTCGCACATCGCCGCTCTTTCCCAGCCTTTGAGATCATGGAAAATATTGCTCTCCAGCAGTTTCTCCAAAACTCTTATTCCCACTAATCCCTTTCACGCTCGCTTTCTCATATGCCTGTCTGATATTAGTTAATTCCCGGTTTTGAGTGAATAACCGCACCGCCCGTGCTTTATCAACCTACGACTCAGCAGCGTAACCCGGACTTTCCAACTGCAACAATATCAAGGAGATGGAAAATAACACCTTACCAATACTGTTCTCATGACGTTCCCAAACTGGAACCTATAATTGACCCTAGGAGAGAGTACAATTCCATGCCGAGAGTTGAAAGGGCGGAGGGATCAAATCTTTGTTATGAGTACATTCTCTGTCCTGCAAGATCCCAGATTCCGCACAGGTCTCCCAGCCAGGTGATCTGAAACCCATTCTAAAGCGTTTACAGATCCGATGATGGCTTCAGTGACGTGCCCCCCTATCAAATTTCGATAGTACTCAATGGTGGCCCGGTTACTACAATATTTATGTACCAGCTTGTCAGTGTCTTCAACAGGGCTTATCTCGTCCCCGAACGCTTTATACATGAACAGCGGCATGGTCGGCATTCCGCGACGGCCCATCTGCCCAGACCAGTCAAGCACGGATGCGGGGACGGGCTCATAAATGGGCCTCTCGCCATCAATGAAATAGGAGAAAATATCATGGAATGCTCCATCTATTCCCTGGATCTGGCAATTTGTAGCATGCTTGAAAAACTCGGCCCTTTTGTCAGGCAGCACATTCTCATCCATCCACGCTGTGAGATTCTGATAGGTCTTGGCAAGACCGTAGAAGCCTCTAAATAAGCGACCCGAGAATATACCTCCATTAATCGATTCTACGACTGAGGTGATATTGACAATGATACTGCCCAAGGCGGCCCCCGTGAAGTGCAACTCTGGCGCGTATGGCGGTTGCAACTCTGCAGCCGAACCGCCAGCCAATGAGCCTTCAGAATAACCCCATATCGCGTACCTGACGTCGGCAGCTAATCCAATCTTCCGTCCCTCGTTGAGGACCACGCGTACCGAATCGAGCGTGGCATACCCGGATTGCGGGCCAGCAGCGAGCTGAGCATGTAGCCCTTCGTAATCGGTGACCATCACCCACCACCCTTGGTTCAGCGCGACGGCTAGCTAGCAATTGTCGGGCGGGCATAGTTAGCGCAAGCAACCACGAGTCCACGACCAGGTCAAAACAAGAAACAAGGACAAAATTATCTTACAAATACTACGTCTATGGAGACTGTACTATTGGGCATCAAGACCCCCAAGAGTCCACCAGTAGCGGATCCAGGTCGAAGGGTATATATGATGGACTGCAATCTTCGTTTGCGGCAATATGCCGCCTGGAAGACGAGGAGTTGCGATGGATCCGAATTGCGCAGGACAATTAAAGTAGATACTGATATACCGAGTCCACGGAGATTTTTCCACCTAGAGGGAGAAGTGGTTTCAGCTTGTTCTCAACCTGGCGGGATCGAATTAATTAATTCTCCACGCTTATATTCCCTGATGTTTCTGGCTCCGCGTACCAACTATCCTGACGCGGGGGGAGGATTTTAGCAGCACATCCTGAAACCACCAGCGCTGCATGCAAATAGGCAAAAATTGGACAGCATCATAGTGCCATGGCTGAAAGCTCTCCAGGAGGGCGGGATTCTCAAAATTAGTTCGTATGGATTTTATTTGTTCGCTGTTTATATCTTTTCTTTTTATCTTCAAGGTGCCCTCACCTTTCCCTTCTATATTCGTATTGAACGACCTCATTTGTCACTCCATTGTAAGTTTCAATTCCCCGTCTCCTATTTAACTCTTGTTCCATCGATATGTGTAAACAAACGTCGATTCTTCCATTCCCAAAAATAGGTCCCGCAACGAATTTTTGGGCTTCCAGGAAGCGGTCAACATGAAGCGCCCACCAATTTCCAAGCAAGATCAAAGGAACGCCGATGCCCCAACAGAACGAACAACTTTAAACGCTAATTGAACATCAAAGGGTATTTAAAATATATTGTGTAAGTGAAGAAGTAAAATAAAAATAATAAATGAAAAGCGAAAAAAAAAAAAAATGAAAAAAGAAAAAACATACAACAGCCGGGATTCGCTGGTGGTCACCCACCCAACTACTAACCGGCCGGCGAGTGGCTTAAGTACGGCTGAGCGGACGGGAAGCCCTGCTTTCCACTCCCTATGGTCGTATGTGTTTATCCACCAAATGATTACCTCATTTATAGCATAAGTGTAGGCTACTGGGGCAAAAGAGCTCAATCACCACCAGCGCACTGCTGGTAGAAGGGTCGATCAACCCGGGACCCCCAACAATAAGTTATACCCCAAAATACAAACTAGCTCAAGCGAATAAATTTAATACATAGAGAGATGAAGCAATGATTCATAAACACGCATCAAATCACTGAGAAGTACTATAGAGACACAGAGATATTTAGCTAAAACATAATCTGACATGGCTTGTCATTTGTGTCTGGGAGAATAGAAATTTATTCTTCCTGCAACAGAGTCTGATCTCTATTGTAGCACTCTGGGACACACTATCACATTCTAATGATACAATGGAATGTCCCATTAGCTTTACACAGGCCGAACTTGACCTTCATGTAAAGGAGGACGGAAACATGACTAGAGCCGGAAATATGCTGAAATTATTTCAAGATGAGAGGTTCTTCCTATTGATGGAATGGTATATCTAGAGATAAGCTGTGGCCGTACCAGAATCAGAAATCTAACTGACAGTGCAGAATACGCGGCTATGGCGGAGCAGTGCTCTTTCTCTCAAGGAGCCCGCTTCCTCTAGTACAGGAATTAATCGGATACAGGCGGAAAGGGATATAGGATATGCGCAGGTCCTCTTCTTAGTATGGCAGCTATCAGCAAAAAAGAAGGGGGGGGGAAGCAAAAACATACAACAGCCGGGATTCGCTGGTGGTCACCCACCCAACTACTAACTGGCCGGCGAGTGGCTTAAGTACGGCTGAGCGGACGGGAAGCCCTGCTTTCCACTCCCTATGGTCGTATGTGTTTGCTTGAGGTCTGAAGTTGATACAAAGGATTGTATAAGTTGAATGGCAGTTACGGCACTATCCTAAGTAGGAAGTTAATATGATATTGACTCAGCAGATAATAATAATATGTAGGATAGTTGAAGGTTGTATTGATGGAGCTATCTACAAAGAGCACTTCTCGGAATCGATACGACGTGTAAAAGGGGATTCTCGTTGGTTCTTCAATAAAATGTTGGTTCCACCAATAACCTCTGCATCGGCCAACATGCCGACACGCCAGGCCTCATAATTAGAACCGTCAAATGTGGTCACTGATTTGGTGTCTAGGGCATATTTGACTTTCTTCTGGTATTCCCGCAACTCATCCCTCATAGTATCTCTTGAGCTTTGTGCAGGGGTAGGTGTAGTGAGACGTTGCGTAGTTTCAGCCGCAGCCAGTTGGTTCCGGAGCATCAACTGCATAAGGTTCATAAGGTTGCCTGCGGTGCAATAAATGGGTTGATTCAGATCACCATTAAAAATAGGCATTCCAGTGGAGGGCGGAGGGTCAGAATGGACAGATTCTGCAGGTGAGTGTGAATGTTGATGCTGCTTTTCTTTGTCCTGAAGCATCTCCGTTGTCTCATCATCAAACTCCACACTCTGGTAAAAACTGACATCACCCTCATCTTACAACTCAAGATCCTCCTCATAATGAGTGGTCATCCTATCAATGAGTCGCCTAGAAGAATGGGTGGTCCTGGGCCTTGAGCTGGATTCTGGAGTAACAGGCGTACCACTCATATTGAGGTGGCTGCCTTTCCTGGGTATGTAAAACGGGTGACGTTCGCAGCAATGGAGAACGCGTTTTTGAAAAGGATATGAATCTGCCAACCGGCGGATTCAGGGAAAATGGAATATCTCTAGTAAAAAGTAAGAGTCTTTCTAAAAAAGATGAACTACCCTTGTCAAAATGTTGATGCAACATTCTAAAAAAGATGAACTACCCTTGTCAAAATGTTGATGCAACATTCTAAAAAGAAAAACATGCCATCCAGGCTATAACCTGTAGGATAGTTGAAGATTGTATTGATGGAGCTATCTACAAAGAGCTTAATATAGTGGTTGGTCACGTGATCTAGGGAGATCGCCACAGGCAATAGCCGCAACGGCCGCAACGGCCAACATTGAAATTCACAAAGCTTTACCAGATCCATCACAGTTGTTCAATGAAATGAGTGAAGAGTAGTAGTCAACATGGACACAGATACTTCAGATTACAACCTGTAATTCCATTCTCTGTCTCATGCAGCTAATTTAGAAGGTCTGAAGGTGAATGATAAAGTTGAATATGAGCCATGGCAATAGAGATCATGATAGTGCATTTCACAGCAGATCATCAAATCCACAGTTTTTGGTTTGTCCGCGCGATCTGGCCAACTCTTCTCAGTATGGTAGCTATCAGCAAAAAGAAAAAGAATGTAAAAAGGAAAAACATACAACAGCCGGGATTCGCTGGTGGTCACCCACCCAACTACTAACCGGCCGGCGAGTGGCTTAAGTATGGCTGAGCGGACGGGAAGCCCTGCTTTCCACTCCCTATGGTCGTATGTGCTTGTTCACTAATGGATACCCAATTTATAGGCTTAGTGACCGTCTCGAGCCGGACGAAATGGTGTCACTCAGCCATATCAATGACAGACAACAGGCCTGCTTTCTCACTCCAGCCAGCCAGCCACCTTGCAACGACACCAAATGCAAACATAACGCTGTCAGCTCTTTGGTAGATTCCCAGGGTCTCTTTTCTGACATTGCCTGGGTATTTGGGCAACCTAATTGCATGGAAGTTTGGTCCCCGGGACGGACGAGGTCATACGAGCGAATAACAAGGCCCCAGATTCCAGATGGTACTGTACATTATATTACTATGGAATTCAGAATTCCTGGGATAAAGGCGGCCGGTTCGTCGATACGGATGCCGCCAAATTATGCGAGCGATGCTAATTCGTTAAGTTACGAATCCGAGTTCCAAACTTTGGCCCAAGATACAGTTGGCAGGGAGACTTTCATGCAGCATATCGCACCCCAACCTCGCCACTGATACTGTCACTGATACTGTCACTGTACTAGTTATGCGTTATGCCTAGTGTTTTCTTTACCCTACTCGAAAGTAATTTGAGCCAGTTATGGGGAAATAATTTCTTCCCGGAACAGCCTGCGACAGGCGATCGAGCACATTGCGTACGGTGGCCAATTTCACTTTATTTGAAGTTCGATTCTTTTGCGTGAGCGGTGATGGCAGTCTGAAATAGGACATACCCACGAATATGATGCGCTCGCCGTGGAAGTCAATGGTGGCTTTCGCCGGTGACAATATATGGTTCGCTATAATCATATTGCATCCAAGGTATCGCACTAGGTGGAATTCGCCCTTCAGAAAAACAAGAGAACTGTTGTTCACCTTCAAGGTGAGAGCTGTTGCTAAGAATAAGTTCGATTCATTTGTATCTGAACTGACTCCTCAAATGCCCATGCACCAATTATGTGGCATAGAGGCAGGCTGACAGTGAGGGAAGAATAAGTGATATACCCGCGCCTGTATCAATGCAAACTGAGAGATTGCCATGACATGTAACTATGGAAATGGTAAGGAAGGCGTAGCGCTAATTCTACAGTCTACTAATGTATTCTTGATCACTTGTAGGGATATTGCATGCCGCAATAGCATATATGTCGGTGTTAAATATGCTTGGATAATCATCGGAGGGAGTGTCTGTGGATGAGGCAGGCCCCTCAGTGCCTGCCTTGCTGTTTATTTTTCTGACTCGCTGTCAGAATCTAGACTGTGGTCTAGATCCAGCAGGTCGTCGTCTTCCTCTCTGGCACCCTCCAATTTGACTTGGTTCGCCGGGCGATCATTGGTCTCTCCCTTCCTGGGGCAGCAGTTGGTGTAGTAAGGGCCTCTGCACATGTAGCACCCTGCTGCGCTTGCTGGTGGTTTTCCTCCCTCTTTACGCCTAATCGGCAGCTTGCGCGTCGTGGGGCCGCCCACTGGAGGAATTGCCGCGGGATCCGCGGCAGGCACGGACGGTTTGATGGCTTCCATCTGTTGCTTGGCCAAAGACCGACGGGGGGTGGGAGCTATTTCCCCACGAGTTTGAAGGATAACGACATCCCAATTAGCAGAACCTTTGGGATCGACCGTCCGAGGAGTAATTAAGCCGTCGTTTGTCATTCGCCAGCGCAGCTTTCGTTGGGCAGGCAGCTGTCCCAACTCCTTGATCAGTCGCCGGCTGGGCAGCACGAAGAATTCGCGGTCTACAAAGGGCATTTCCTCGCTGCGTCCCGCGAGTCTTTTGACGATCGAGACAGCGTCCGGAAGCCCTTCCACAGTCGGATCCCGCATAATGGATACGCTTGGGCGGGCTGGCTTGCCATCCTTGCGAAAACGTAAGTCGGTTTTGTCATCGTGATGGAGATGGTCGTCTAGCGAACGCGAGAAGATAATGATGTCGTCGACATAGACCAACGCGAATCGCCATAAGAATTTTGCTGGATTTCTTCCATACGTTGCTGAAAGAACCTGGGTGAGGTCGCCAACCCCATTGTAGCGACGGTAAAGCGTTCGAGACCTCGGTGCGGCGTGATGAAGGTGGTTTTGAGCGGTTGCAATCCTCTACGGGCGTTTGAAAAAAGCCCTGGCGGATATCCGTTGACGAGAACACTGGAACCTCCTATCAAGGGCTTGGCATACTACCATGTCAGAAGGCATTTAACTTCACCAGGCAGAGCATGGTTCACTAGTAGTAATTTGCCCAAGCCATCAGGACAAACTACCCGAAGAGAAACGATACTGAAGCAATTCAGAGTTCCCGGATCAATTATGATCGAATTTTTAATTATTGCGATCGTTTTATATTTTCACAGCCTAGATAAACTCGAAGCCTTAAAATACTCAATACACACTCCAAAGGAATATATACAAAAGTGAATCCAACTAATATGTCAAGCAGATGCAAAACAAACTACCAAATTTATTCACCGGTTCATCGCTTATGTCGGCGTTGGTTGAGAGATGACAGGTCTACTCTTTCTTGGAAGATTCTTCGGTAAACTCGTCCTAGGCACTTTCACATCGTCTCCCGAACCACCTTTTCGTAATGAAAATAGAACCCATCACTGCATGTGTCCCACCATTTTTCCTTTGCCACTCACTAACCGGTGCGGGGACCTTTCTGGCATTCGGTTGGACTTGGAGTTCGCTTGGCTTCTTGGGGTACGCTGTACCTCCACGGGTGGCAGTCACACTTGTGAACTTCTTGGATGCGGTTGATATCATTCCTTTTGGCGGTGCGGAATACTTTCTTCATGATGGCGGTAGTGATATAGGTACGTCTCCTAAAGAGCATTATTAGCAAACGGAGCACGATATCGAAGGATTTTGGCATATACATGTACTTGACAGGAGCGTGTGTATCTGTCAGAGCGAGTCAAGGAGTCGGATGAGTCTTTTCAATCACAATAGGTATAATTCTCTCAGGCCAATGCGCCCAATTACTTGTCTTCTTGATTAGAAATGAATGGGACTTTGGGGTCTGAGACTTCATTGGAACACTCTATGGCGGTCCTTATGTAGACTGAATTCATGAGATCCAGTCCTACTATGTGCCTTAAGCAATGCCATGAAAGGGCAGCAGAGAGGCTCTCAGTCTATCCATTCCAAACTGCCAGGTTTCTAATAAATACTAATCACTGTGAACTTGTATGATTCCATTTATATATCCTTTCATTGAATACAAGTGGCAGCTGAGATTGATTGGATCCCAGGGCTGGCCACATAAATTTGTGTTTTCATTATTGCATAGCTGCCCTGCTTCTGTTTGACTTAGCATCTGTTATGAATAACTACCTCACTTCTTTTTATTTTTGTTGGGTTAGCGTTTGCAGTTATTAGAAAAAAGGGGCCTGGGACGCAAGACCTCCCAAGTCTAAAATGGCTTGCGGCGCGTCGCGCGGCTAAATATCCCTCCTAACTCTAACTTCATGCTCACTCCATCATTGGCGATTATTGCTATTAAATACTAGAATGTGCGCAAGTAAAGTTTCTTGCGCGTCTTGAAATTTAATACCGCCAGTTGACTGCTTTTCAAACTCGCCTGAAATGTGCGGCGTTAATCAGCTTCGCAACACGCTCAAACCAGTTTGGTTTCTCATTCCCGTTATCCCAACTCCGTTTCCAACACCCATTTTTTGTCAACCAATTTGCAAAGGAAGTTTGGCAAGAATATGCTAGATGTTCACGACTTGAAACACCCTTTTTACAGTCCAACATTCGGAAGATGGCTGTGGGTACCGCTTGTCAACAGTGTAGTGTAGCTTCCTAGCTGACTCTTTCACTCAAGCTAGGTACAACAAGAAGAAGCAACTTGTGGAACATCATTTGTATTTCAATGTTGATAGACTCCCTTCAATTGTTGCAGAAACTGTCACTCAAACACCCAACAATATCCTCCATTTTACAAAGCTGGCTGAAGGGGGCTCATACCATGTTTTCAACATCTTATTCAAAAATCAGTGCAATGCCATCATCTAGTTGTCATATCCATGTACAGTTCTCTGCAGTTATGAGGTGACAAGTGAAGTAGCTAGAGTTGAATATTTGCAACTCAAGGATCTGTCTATTCTCCAAGTCTTGTCCTGGAGTTTGACAACTTCCAATTCTCTGGGTTGTGAATACATCATCATTGAAAAAGTGCAAGACAAAGCTTTGGACGAAATATGATACACAATGAGTTGTATGACAAGGAAATTGTTGGTGGAAAAGATTGTGAATATCAAGACTATTCTCTTCAGTCTACAGTTCCCTGCCAGCAGCAGTATATTTTAAAGAATTCCTTCTGCAGAACATTCAAACTGTGGATATCTCCGATAATAATCATTTTTGTATAGAGCCATCCACTGGGATCTGGTGGTGATACCACAGACAAGACATCAAAGTTGATAGAGATCCATGTGTGTATGATAAGCCCTTACAATGTTGCAATATTTTCACTAATTCTGAGTAATGCAGGGACTTCAACACTAGATATGTTAAAAGCTATCAGTCAAAGAGAGCTTGAATGACTTCAGAAATTTGACAAACTGAGGTTTCCACATGAGCTGCAAAATGATTGACCCTCAGGGCAAATTGCTCCAGATATCATTCCAGCATGCAAAGATTGGAACAGGCCAACTAATTATACACCACTCTGATCTCTCCCCTAGCAACATCTTCATTGACAAAGCGGGTGACAATATTACCAGTGTAATTGATGGGAGTGTATGATTATCTGCTCAATGTTCATGCATCCTCCTCATTTCCAAAATTTTGGTGATGAAGTGTCAAGGTTTCCTGCTCTACCCAAAAACTTTGAATCAATGTCAGAAAATGAGAAGGAGCAAGAAATGGAATGATACCAGTGCAGACAGCTTCGCCGCAAGCCATCTGTTCCCCATCTTCTACCCGTCTTCTTCGTTGTTATATTGCGACTTGATGAGCCAGAAGAGTGGCCTCCCTCTTTCGGCAATCCACTGGAAGCACACAGCATCAGAAGTTTCTGGAGCAAATTCTGGCACAGCGGTGTCTGTCGACCATATACTGCTCAGGCTCCGCTCATGTCGCGCTCCCTCTTCAATGTCCGGCTAAAAGTCTACTCCCGATCAGTTATTAATCATGTTTATTTTCTTCTTTTATTCCAGACTTTTACATGCTCCGCTGGCAGAGAGGCATGCGGTGCAGGATATGACAGGATATTGTATAATTCTCTGGTAAGGCTGCTGCCATTACCATCGAGCCTATCATTCGGAAGCGGGCTATGCGAATTCATTTCCGGTTTTAGGATCGGTTTTGGTTCGGTTCCCAAGTGGCAGTATCCGAAAGTATCTTGTGTAGTTATCGTGTAACTAGGCCTGAGTCTTTCTCAAACAGTCTGCAGTTCCATCAGTGCACATCTTAGTGCCAAACAGATCATCTATTATATCATTGCACCTTCCAGCCTTAAGGGGGTTGACGGGCTCATTATTGCATTCTACACGGGAACGCTCCGAGTAAGCCAGATGCGGTGCCCCAACTGACAGCTTCAGCAACGCTGTGCAGTGATAATTTCGGGCTGTAAAGCACAGTGAAAACATCTCAAATAATCAGAAATAACCATTTAGCGGCTTTGTTATTTAAAATCAAACAGGCCCCTGCTCAGTGCATCAGGCATTCAGCCACTATTCATCACTATCCCCAACGCCCCAACTGCTGGTTTCCTCACGCTCTCTTTGGATGCCCACGACCGCGTATAGTACAATGACAAAAGTTCATAAACATCATTTGAATGACCATGTCAGTCACCAGAGCGAGTCCTCTGCATCTTTCTGTAGCGTTATCCGCAGACCCCTGGAGTAGAGCTTTGAACTATGTACTCTGGCATTCTGGATGTGATATGTATTTGCAAAATATTCAGATTCTATTGTTTATATTTCCTATGCAATATTTCCGGTTCGTGCAGCATACAGAGTCTGAGGAGTAAATGTGCCTACGTCCCCTTAGTCTTCCTCATGAATGAGCTGCAAGCTAATGTATGGACATACTTTCTTGAAACCCTGCACAATCTTTTGTTCATCCCAATTCTCACTACCTACGCCCAAGGGTGTGATGAAAAGATCAAACAGATCATAACGCTTTTTGATAGCGTACAGACGGGCGTAATTCTTTCCCGAGAATTCGGCTCCTGCAAGTTGGTCTTGTTGAGATACGCCCCCATCCTCCCAGGCTCCAGGAATTTAAGAATTGGCTCCTGTCGATAAGTCATGTCATCCTGCCACGCTTTCTGCTCCCTGAATGAAGCTTTTATGCCCATACCAGCCCTCCAACACCGCGCAGGGCCCAGAAGAGGTCCTGGTTCTTATACTCGTTGGCAATGACAACACCTCCCTTCAAATCTTATTTAGTCTCAATATATGTCACAGAGTGATTTTTGTTGGCTGGATGTGAGGAACCTACGCAAGTAGTAATGACCCTGAATTGTAGCGCGTTATCGGACGCCATCCGTTTCCATGGGCCGAGGATGCTATGACCCCCTCCTTGAACATATCCGCCGGCGGCGCCGACTCCATGAGAGTATCCCCCCACAACCATATGACCTTTTGCACCAAGACCTTTGTATAGCTCCGCAAGCTGAAGCCCTGCTTCAATTGTCACTGTGGGGCCTTGACCATCCTGGTCTTTTGGACTTCCATGTGGCACGAAATTTTCTACACACCCTACATCTTTGAGCAGATGAGTAAATATTTGCAGAGACTCAGGTGCGGTTGATCATCCTAAAAAGTCATGGCCAGTATTTCTAATGACTTAGGTGAATATTCCGTTCTTGAGCAAACCGTACAGCCTGTTGAATCTGGTCCTCTGAATCGGCAATGAGAGAGTATAAAGAAACCCTTCCCTGGTGGCATGGGATTTCTTGGTTTTCCCTGATCTCACAACTCTCATTTGCTTTCGGCTTTGACTCCCAGTTATGCCATTGAACAGCCCCTGAAATAAATTGTAAGCCCCCACACCCTAGGACAGTTTAAATATTGACATATGATGGATGAGCAGGCAAATACCGGGTTGAGAGGCCCTCCAAGTTGAATTCATCATGGACGCCTTAACTTTCTTGCAAATAGACGAGTTGAAATTAGGATCATGGCAAGGAGAACCAACAAGAGATGAGACGGCATCTAGCCTACCGGAGGCAGAGGCATTGAATGCGTCCCACTCTTTGACCGACGGCCAGTAGGCTTGGTTAGGACGACATCGGCAACGATGGGATGTGGAAGATAGGGCAAAAGCCGCGGACAGAAGCAGAGCAGCGCAGAAAATGAAAAGCAATCCTAACATTATGAATAATGGGGAAATTATGAGAAAACGGTATAGAGTAGTTCAAAGGCAAGAAGAGCTGCTGGAATGAATTGCCTCGAAACCGGAACAATACATTGGAGAGCCATCCTTATATAGAGGAGCTCTGGCTCCAGGACAACCTGCATCTCCACGCCGTTCATGGACTGGGAATCCTTCGAAAAGTGGTGGCCTGGACGTTCAGCCTCGTCAAGGGTAGTTATCCATTCAATGGGATTTCGTCATTAAACGAGCTCGAGATGCAGAAGGGTTTAGATATTTCCGAAAGCTTTGGAGTAGCAGTCTTCCTCAGCGAGCTGAAAACTGCGAAAAGACATGTTCGCCGATTGGCTATCAAAACTGATCCTCTCGCGCGAGTTCGCGTAGCATGTAAATATGAGCTCTTTGGATAAATAACCCCCTTCCTGCAACACACGACAGAGGCAGCATTTCAACTCAGCGAATTATGCAGAGGAAACTTTTTTTTTTTTTTAAAAAAAAAAAAAAAAAAAAAAAAAAAAAAAAAAAAAGATACGGCGACAATTCCTCGCCTGGAAGGGAGAAGTTTGCAGGTAGTAGTAGTGGTGGTTGTTAACGGAGATATAAATTCTCTGACAGGGTAGTTGATAATTGATACCAGGCTATTGTATCACCGAAGGGGCCGATGCAAATAGGGCTGCTGTAGCGGCTCCCTCGGCCTCAGTTTAGTTAAAGCCTTAACCATAAGACCCCCTTTCCGTCCCGTTTCGGCCCTAGAAAGTATAAGTTGCTTACTCCTCCGAATAGCGGGATCCATTTGGCTGGCTTTCAATGTTTGGCGGGGCAGCAACCTTAGTTCAATGATCACCAACGAACTCGTCCCAGCTAAATAAAGGTAAATTAATTCCATATCAGTTCCTACATTTTTCTCAGCACATTAAAACAAATTATTCTCCTTCAAGCCTTCATCTCGTGGGGCTTTTTTCTCACGACTTCTAGGATATCCATTCAATAGTGCTTCCCACTCCCATTGCGTTATATATACATCACTGTCTGTGTCTGATCCACCATGGCCGACGCTGAACTTGAAGAGGTACATATATGCGCCGCCATATTCCAAAGCCTGAGTCTCTCTAAGGCTACTCATACCTAGTATCCAATATTGGAAGAACCCTATCTAACACTATATGATATGAAAAGATCCGAAAAGCACGCCTTGCGCAACTACAGGCGCAAGCAGGACAAGGTGGAGGACCAGGCCAAGGTTCAAATCAGGAACAGAGACAGTGAGTCTTGCCTATATCTGAATTCTCTTCGCTATTTCTATGTCTCGCTATCATTTGCTAACCGGTGTGCGCACATGCAAAACAATAGACAACAAGAAGGTGCACACTATCCCAAAATCTAGTATCTGCCCAACCTCCGCTACACGACTACATCACAAGGACACACACAATCAACACAAGAGAGTCACGCTAGAATTAAACAAACACATCTAACCCGTCGTAAACCGTTTTTACAGCCGAAGCCCGCCAAGCCATCCTATCCCAAATCCTCCTCCCAGAAGCCGCTGACCGTCTCGGTCGGATTAGATTGGTTAAAGAAGAGCGAGCGACAGATATAGAAAATAGACTGATCATGCTGGCGCGGACGGGCCAGTTGCGTGCTAAAGTGACGGAAGAGCAGCTGAAAGAGTTGTTGAATGCAGTTGCGGAGAATAAAGAAGAGGAGAAGATTGTGATTAGTAGGAGGAAGGGTGGGTGGGACGATGATGATGATTTACTGGATTTTTGAGGGGCGCTGGGCAAGGTAAAGGGTTGGAAAGAAGCATAAAGAGGAAAGAGACAATGCGAATTGACGAATTGATGATATGACCTTTTCTTATACGGAGGGGTTTGAGGGGAGGTAGCTGGGATATACTTTTGCGTGGACAGGAACTATATTTGATATCCCCTCCTCTGTTTATGATATAAACTGAGTTACTATGAAAAGCTAAACAAACGGCTTGTGAATGAAACTGAAATAACCTCCAGAAACTGGAGAATATATATTTGAAATGGAGTAGATGGTATGGCAATTATACATGATGGCCGAAATATCCCAACGAAAAAGAAAATAGTCTAATTTCAACGCCCAAAACTCCCCCGCAATGCATCCTGCTGTACACAGTTAGTATATATATTACAAGAGATCAACCAAAGTGATCACTGGCCATCCTTTGCTTTCGCGGCCTCCTCAGCCGCCTTCTGCCTCCGCATCATCTTCCGTATCTCTCTCAGATCTGCTGGCTTCTCAATCCCCAACTCCTCCCTCAACTCATTAGCATCCCTCTCCAACTGCTCCTCCCAATAAACATTGATGACCTCCTTACTCGCCAACCCACTCCTAATCGCCCAGGGTAAATGCAATTTCCAAAACCGCTCCCGCTCCGCAGGCTTCAATCTCATCACAGCAAACATACTCAGCCCCGTCATGGGCAGAAGCGTATTCGCAAACTCAAACGTTTTCAGCGCAACTTCGCCCTCAACCACGACCGGTAGGCCAGTGATGGCGTGATAGAAGTCGTGGCACTCGCGATATCGTTGCATGACGTATGCGCACTCTTCGTCGTCGATATATTGTACCGGTGCGCGCGTATCAGGGCCGACGCCTTCTCTATCTAACCAGCCCACGTACGTTCGCCCGACGGTGTTGGGGGGAAGGCTGCGGAGGTATTCGATGGAGAGGGTTTTGGAGCTTATGCGGGGGCGGTCGCGGAGGATGCGACGGCCTGTGGGGTCGGACAGCATGGCGTCACGGAGACGGTAGATGAAGTAAGGGGTCGCGGTAGCTTCGCCCAGAGCTGCGATTAGGTCTGTTATATTCGATTAGAGAGGGATTGTCACTATGCTATTTTACTCATATGCACCTGTGATGGGTTCGATTAAAGTTTATCTATGTGCAATACACACCTCCTCGTCTGGGGTTTAGCAGAGACCCGATTGCAGATCCGACAGCAAGAGCCCCGCGCTCAAAAGTTGTTAGTGGGATATGGCCTGGGTAGTTGGGCGGTGGCCGGTTTAGGGCAGAGAATCCTCGTGAGAGCAGAACATATCCATATCCGTGTGGGCGAGCTATCCGCACAGTCAGAATGGTTTGTGTCACTGCAGGTGTCATTATGGATTTATAGGCACGAAAGCCGATATCATGGCATGCACGATCAAAGGCTCGGCAATTGGGTTTGTCAGTTCTCTCTAAGCTTTACTTTAGTGTAGCTTGTCGGGAGGTTGTGTTGAGTTGATCTTGAGCGAAATGGAATTGGTTCTTCCACAATCACATGATGTTGTTTTGGTGCCCTTGCTTCAAGGTCAAGCCTTTCACACTACATAGTATGGATGGATGAGTGACAACATCTACTACTCACTACCTCTAATAGGATACTGTCCAGCTGCATGATGCCTACCAAGGACCGAAGGTGTCTCCCATCGAATACCCGCTTTCAGGTCCAGATTTGGTCCACTGAGCTTGCTGAACAAACAACCCAAGGAACATTGATAGTGGTGGATATCTTCGGACTTGCTACAGTATCAATGGAACATGAGAATGACAACCATTGATTGAATTTATATGCGGGAATACGTTTCATCGCAGGGTTAACATAAGTACTAATCGGCCATTTAAACGAAATTTAGGAATTAAGAAATGAAGGATCTAGACCAACGAATTCGTCACTTCAGGAAATACTAGGAATTGACAACAAAAACAAACAACCTGATGACCATGCAAATGAGACAACAAGGAAATGCATCCCCGAGATCCAGTGCTCTGTTCCACCCATTCAGTTTTTCTGAACCCCAAAATACATAGAATGATACGAACGTCGTTCCTAGCCTGCCCCATATCAGGAACGCATTGATTGGTATTGACAGTTTTTTCCGGAACTTCTTGGTGTATCTTTCAAGCTGCAGTTCGGTGTTCGTCCTTGCACGAGGGTTCCGACCTGGGACCTTTACTTTCATCCAACCCTGCAGCATGTCCAACAAGTATTGGGGGGAAAGGAATCGCCTCGGTATACAGCCTATCACAAATGTCAATAATACTAATACTACAATATCCCTAGCTCAAAAGGAGTTTCAGGTATACTTACCTCGCCTGGGGGGCATTTGAATGGAGGAGTTTTGCACCCTGGGTCGCAATCATGGCAACCTTTGGGGCCGCAATCCGCCGCGGCATCAGCGATCAGCATGCCGGTCGTTGCGGCTTGGGTAACGGTGAAGTAGGTGGCAGTAGTAGCCAGGAAAATGCTTAGGATTTGCATAGCTGAGGTGGAGCTGTGGCCACTTTGTTGAGGAAGGACGAGATATTTTCTGAGATACGGCGGATTGATCAAAAAATTCCTGTTGCTTTCGACAGGAGGACCACCCGAGTTTTATGTCTCCACCTCGCGCCTCCGAGGAAAGATAAAATAGTGTTGTCCGACTGTGTAATGAAAGCAATCGCTCCATATGCCATTCATGCTCGCTACTACAGTCGGTCAGAAAAGTCTAAGCGCCCAGGAAGCAAACACTCATGTGTTCTCCCACACACTGGACCTGGGCAAAGTAGATTTCCGCCTCAAGCACATTGAGTGTTGGCGTCCAAGACTCTTCACATTTTTCGATGTAGGATCCTTTGCACTAGGGAAGGAATGTGGGACAACGATGCCGAGAAAGAGTAGTGGATTCATGAGGGCAGCGTGTGAGCGCTCAATTTTGAGAATGATGGGTACTGATATAGTCATCGGAATTTGATGCATGTGTCCGTCCGACCGTGCTGAAATGCTCAGCGGACATACAACCCGTCGAGGACGCTGCAGCATGCCGGGGTAAAAGATTGCCCCTGGCCGAGATTTTTTTTTTTTTTTTTTTTCTTTTATTATTTTGCAAAGTGCCTCTCCTGCGCTAGGACATCATGCATGCGCGATAGCAATTGGTTATCACAAACTATAACAAAACTGAAGCAGCCAGCAGTGGAGAATGCACTTTATATTCAGTCTCCTGTCAAACTTCCAAACACAGATTGCCTGAGAGCTCTGATCAACATTTGCTTGGAATATAAAGCAAATTCAGGGACTGGTTCATGAGATTCAGTCTGTCCATCCAAAACTAGCAATTTCTGTCACAAAACACAGCAGCCGTAGATATCACACCCAATGCATAGTCTAAATAAAACTATAAGTTAGAAAAACTTGAGGTTGAAGAAGTCTTCGCTTGGCGGTGAAAGAGAAGTAAGTGTCTTAATAATCATCATCATGAGTCAACAAACCCTTGAAGAGTCTGAACCAACTTCGTTGTCTTCTTCTTCTGTGCAATTCCTCTCATGTATGTATACCCTGTGTTCCATATCATCTCTTTAAGTGCAGCCTCTCATTTTATCTTAGTTCATTGTCAGTGTTCAGAGATTTTCTTCAGCCCTGAGAAATGCATCGCTCCACAAGCTCAGCTGGACCAGAACATGAAAAGTTCACAGAATGGGCAATATCGCAAGGCATAGAAATCAATGGTGTCGCACCGACGCGGTTCCCTGGTCAGGGTGTTGGGATTGCCGCACAAAGGAAGATTCATGTAAACATACAGCAGCCTCTTATTTACTTGTAAATTTTATTCATTGCCTTTTTTTTTCGCGCTCGGCGAAGAAATTAATATCTCAAATTATACATAATTCCTTTCATTCGGCATCAGAATTTGACTCTGCTAACACATATTCTCTAGGCTGGAGAAGTGGTCGTACGAGTTCCGATCAGCGAGATGCTGACGATAAAGAGTGTGCCCTCGACATTCCGGGAGAAATTCCCGGATAATATTCCTGTTCAAGGATTATATGCGGCATACATCTGTTGCACAGAGGAATTCCAAGACAGATACGCACCCTGGCGAGCGGTGTGGCCTTCGCGACAAGACCTTGGGCAAATTTTACCCACGCTTTGGCCCCAGCTCCTCAAAGGCAGCGCATCAGGTCGCTCTGTTTCTAGTCTGTCCTATCCATTGCTTCCCCCATCCATCTCCGGTTCGTGGAATACAATATCCAAGAGACCCATAAAACATGCATATACAGCAGAACATCAAAACCTCTTACCAGAGCAAGAAAAGCGCCTTGACAAGGCATACCATATTGTCAAGCAGGTCCTCCAGGATGTTGACAAAGATCTTTACACATACTACTGGCTTATTGTGCATACAAGATCTTTCCACTACATCCCGGCCGGCACATCGCCCCCTAAAGACCACAATGATGCCATGGCACTTTGTCCCTTCGGGGATTATTTCAACCACATAGATGAGGGCGGTGTGAGTAAGATACTTGGTCACTAGCGAACGGATAGCTAGGAGATGTCGTGCTGACTTTATTACTAATGGATTGACAGTGTGAAGTTTCTTTTGACAACGATTACTATACATTCAGAACATCCAAGTCTTATGGTACCATCTTTCACTCCATCGCCAGATATGATATCGGACATCTCACTAACGACAATCCAAATGATTAGACAAGGGAGAGGAGATATTCATTTCCTATGGAAATCATTCGTGTGATATTCTTTTGACCGATTGTGAGTTTTATATTGATGCATTCAGGACCAGCTATCAGTCATCAGCTATATAGGAAACCGAAGGCTTACATTACAAAAGATGGTTTTATCCCCGCTGTGAACAAATGGGACGACCTGTTTCTAGATGACATAATTCTAAAGGATTTCTCCTCCAAAAAGATCGAAGCTCTTAGCATTGATAGATACCTTGGGTGAGCTCACCATCTGCTACTATTTCATTTCCCTTCAGTTTTCGCTGCCGTCAATTAATTCTTTGCTAAAACCAACGCGCCACTAAAATACCTCACAAAACAGAAACTACCAAATAACTACCAAAGGCCCCTGCTTTCGCACTGAGGTGGCTGCTTGCATGAAATATATGACTCTCGATGATTGGAATCAGTATATCCTTGGATACCAACCAGCAAGTTTTGACCAGAGGAAGACGAATTCGATCATCGCGGCCTGGATACACGAGTACATTCATGAGGCCGAAGTAGCTATCTCGAAGTTAACAGCGCTACGGCGGAGCAGGAAGTATGGCGGGGAACCTCAATTTGACGTCATCTCTATGAGGTGGAAGCAGATAGTAGAACTGTGCAATGCGGTGCTGAAGACTGTTGATTAATTGGAGAATATTGCCGGGCATTAACAAAACCCCCAGCACTCTAACCGAACGGAGAGAGAACCTCTACTTCCTCTTGGGATATTGGCATATGTCAAAATCAAATATATAAGATATATATATATATGAGAATATGATGATGGAAATGGATAGGAACTCCTATGGCTGTCGAACCAAAATGAGCTCCTAAAAAATATTAGGATAAATAGCAAATATAGGCACTAACATCTAAGCCCGCCCAGCAACCTCTGGCTCCATAACCATGGGGATATCCCCAAATTCCTTTGCGAGCTTAATCTTCTCTCGAGCCAACACCATCTGAACCACCATATAGTTCAATGCGCACTTGATCCCCAATTCCTCCCCTCTCTTCACAATATAACCATTCATATACTTAATCTCCGTCGGATTCCGTAGACGCACATCTTGCAACATAGAGCTAACATTTTTTGCCGTGTTTGCCATAACGCTCACCGCAAGGGTGCGCAGGCGGTCCGGGGCGAACCGTGCCTGTATACCGGGGACACCCTGGAGTTCCGGCAGTGCGCAGATGACAGCAGAGATCTCGAGGAGAAGCAGTCGTTGGACACGGGAGATGTGGTAGTTGTAGAGGAGGTCACCGTTGAAGCAGTCGAAGATGACGGTGAGCGGGTTGATGATGCAGTTTATGACGAGCTTTTCAAGTTGGTGTTGGAGGAAAGTGTCAGAAGGAACTGCGCTGGCTACTAGCTGGGTATTGCGGGTTAACACCCGTATTAGGTACAGAGAGGTAGATGCCCAAACTTCCTCGGGTAGGCTTGATTGTGCTTTGTGGAGTGCCAGGAGGTCATTCCGGTGTTGTAGCTGTTCTTCCTCCTGGAGGTCTTCTGGTTGTTTTTGTATTTCCCCCTCCTGTCGTTGTTGTTCTTCTGATTGCTCGTGAGCGGCAGCTATTCGGCCCATTTCCTGTTTCTTCTTATACTCCAAAATATTATTTTCGGTCCTAGCTCTTGCCAGCGGGTTCGTGTATCCGATGCTGAATAAACAGGTCCCGACTCCCGCATGTTTGATCACAAAATGATCCATTTTAAACAGCCCATGCGATATCACTCCAAAGACATAACTGGGGCGGGTCTCTGGATCGGGAAAAACATGTTCATTCACTTGTTCCTGGACCCCCAAGCCATTGTGTACGAAGACAATGGTAGAATATGGTGTGAGGCGATGTCTAACAGATTCCAACACCCACCGGACCCTTGTGGCCTTGGAGGCGACGATAAGATTGTCAATGATTTCCTCATTCGCTTCCAAGGGATCCCGCTCAGGATATCCGCCAGCTTCCTTCTGTTCCCGAGCTAGTTTTGAATCCTGTGGCACGTAATGCCAAACGCCGTCTCTTTTGACATTTATGTCGAACCCCCATCTATGCTCTGCCAGTCCATTTCGCACCAACGTTATCCGCCGCCTGTTTTTTTCCCACCGTTCTAGTGTCTTTTGGTTGTGTAATAGGAGGGTTACTGGCGGGCGTTTTGTATCGCCAGCCAATGAATGGGCGAGAAATCCTCCAATATTTCCCACCCCTATAATATGTATTCGCGACGGTATTCTTTGTTCCTGAAACCGGGGTTCAGGTTTGACGTATCCGTCATTCCGCGGTTTGAGGGTGGTATGGAAGAGCCGCAGGGAAACTGACTGCATACGGTAGGCATCAGGACATCTTGCGAAGAGTTGGAAAGTCGTGACGCCAACCCGCATTGTGACGGTTGGTACACCTGAATTTATTTGGCTTGCACCCGGCGTGTAATTTTTAGATTGTCAATCGGTCCCGCGATGGGGGGGTCCTTGTCATAGCTTAGGCAGACCACTGCATCCGGAGATATTCGGGCAGGAATTCGAGAGCTGGGTTAGTTGCAATAGATATTGTTGGAGCCTAGATCTCAAGGATATTCCGGGAGACTTGTATACCGATTCTGTGGTATGGAAGGCTCCAATTGGACATGCTGTTATGTGCGACGTCGGAGGAAATATATATAATTCTCTCGTTGCACGGCTCAACAAGCTATGATCGCCAGAAATGCGAAGGTCCGATAATGTAATTTGATTCCCGCTTTTTCACAATCAACGCTCTCGTATTTGCAGCAGCTTATGAACTCAGCATATAGATACTCGTCTATAAATTGCTATATATTCGTATTGAAATATTCAGCCAGGGTTGAACTGGCATAGAAATGTTTGCGGCAACCGGAGGTTCGTCAGATCTAGCGCGAAAGACGCTAAACTCGGCTGTCGGCGCTGACATAATCCGTCATTTTTCGCGCCCAAACTTTTGTTCTTCATTCAACTGGGAAACATCTCGTCAAGAAGAGCCCCAAATTGACCGCAACTCGCCAGGCATGGAGACTACAGACTTGACGCCGCTGCTAGAGCAACTGGAGGACAACATCGATGACCTTGAGGATGTCCTTGAACCTCTTCTGGGCCAACCACTGTCTGCAACTACCCAAAAAATGCCCGTGTTGGACAAGGCAAAGCTGCATGTTCTGATAACCTACGCTATTGAATCCATGATTTTTTGTATGATATCTCTGTTGTCCTTGCGATGTGCTCGCTCGCATTCTACTTCATGTGCATCCGTGCTGATAATTACCTATAGCCTATTTGCGACTTCAGGGCGTAAATGCGAAGGAGCACCCAGTGTTTAAAGAATTGACGCGAGTTAAACAGTACTTCGAGAAGATCAAAGCCGTAGAGACTGTTCCTGAGCAACGGACTATGGCTGTGGACAAGGAAGCTGCTGGACGATTTATAAAACATGGACTGGTCAGATCCCCTATCTCCTTATACGACCGCTATCTAACACTTTTTTTCATTGATCCTTTTTCGAACCACAGGCTGGAAACGACAAGTATGACCTAGAGCGGGCGGAAAGAGAGGCGAAGGAGAAAGCCATGGCACTACTGAAAGCTGCGAAGCTTGCTCGCCAACAAGCATCTAAATCCCAATCCAAACCCCAGTCCCAGCCCCAAGCCCAAGCCCAATCTCAAGGCACACCCCCCGCGGAACAACAGTCCCAAACAGGAGCTCCTTCTGAGTTGGAGAAGACAGGAGGCGAAAGCGTCCAGAAACTCAAAAAGATCCCGTCCCTAGGCCATCTGCCAAATGCTAAACAAGAAAAAAGAAAGAAAAATTCACAAGGGCGGAAAGATCGCAAAGAAGCCAGAAAGAAGCGGAAGTTAGCTTCCAGGCAAGCTAACAACCCAAGTAATGGTTGATATGCAAGACGGAGCTCGTACTGGAAAATCTGTTTACTGAGGTATAAATCGTGGCGTTGGACGCTTTCGATTCTCCAGTTGGGTTCCGCCAGTAAATGTACGCGTGTGCCTAAATGCTGATCGTAACTTGGCGTTGTCTGCTATGGATTAGGAGATGCGCAGGAACTGGAATTTATCACAGCCTCCGAGGGAATGTGTGTCGGATAGACGGCGGTCTGGTTGGTGGACATTCATGTTCTTACTCAACGGAATGTTCTAGCATCACCATCCTCTAATTGTGAGAATGTGTCTTCCAGCATAGCGCGTGGGGAGGATATGGGCTGTATCTGGCTGGGAGCTTGAATGTTGAAGCGCGTCGGACTGTACAGTTAAGAAGCTAGAAATTTAGAAGTTTATACCCTACGAAAAACCTACCCTTTTACTTCTCCCGCATATCTCTTTTCCTCCTCCTCAAACACCACAGAAACACATAGAAGTATATGGTAATTGCAATACCGTAATGTTTCCACATCCTTTGGGTCAAGTTATCCGCCGTTCAACCAATCGGAGTTCGCGTATTCGGCATCGGTCCGACTATTCTCCCCAGCTCCGACGGCTCCTCAAAATTACCCGTATTTTCAAACACAACCAGTCAAACCATTTCAACTCTCATCCAACATCTCTCTATCTATATTCTAATACAGCTTTTAACCCCCTCTTCACGCAACAAACCAAACAAACCTCCCCATTCGCATCCCAAAAATGGCTCGTCAACGCCGTGGTGCCGCTCCCGCCCGCAGCGCTCCCTCAAGACCAGCTGCTGCTCCCGCCAGACCCGCGCCCGCCCAACAGCAGCGCTCCGCTACCACAGCTGCTCAACCCCCAGCTACCACCCCTGCTGCTCAACCACCTGTTGCCCAAGCCGCTCCTGTGCAACAGAGCTCTGGGCCAGGCCTGTTCGGCCAGATGGCGTCTACCGCTGCGTAAGTACTGTTCACCTTAAATGGCCCGCTTGTATAAAATGGAAAGGGAGAGAGAGCGAGGAAGGCGGGATACGAGAAAACATAAACTAACAGTTCATTTTACAAAAAAACCAGCGGTGTCGCCGTCGGCTCTTCCATCGGCCATGCCATCGGTGGATTCTTCGGCGGTGGCTCCAGCGCCCCAGCTGAGGCTCAACAAGCACCCCTACCAGCCGCCGCCCAGCAGATGGACAGCGGCCTCTATCAGAGCAACAGCGCCACCAGCGGCTGGGCCGAGAATCCTGCATGCGAGACTGACGTGCGCGCGTTCAGAAAGTGCATGGATGATAACCAGGGAAATATGTCCATCTGCGGCTGGTATTTGGATCAACTGGTATGACTATTTTTCATCCATATATTTTTTCATATGTCCGCCTTTTTTGGGAGATGGGATATGGATGCTAACTATTTGTATAGAAAGCTTGCCAGGAGGCTGCTAAGCCGTATTAGACGAGACGGTTTTTTCTCGTTCGCCAGTTAGGGCTTTTCTATTTTAATATTCAAACGATGGTGGATGCAGTAGAATCGTGATCAACATCATTTTCCTATATAGCGCGTACATACCATCGGTCAGGATTCAGCTGAATCTAATTCGGCTTTTTTTTTTCCCCCTTTTTTTCACGTTTTGTGTACTTGTACAAATACTCGTGGTGTGTCAAGGACATTGTGGATATGATGCCGTTCAGAAGAGAAGCACAACAAATGGCTACCACATAGAAATATTAATATAATAGAGAACAAAAAACACCAAAAAAAGAGAAAATCTCAATTCCAACAACGCCGATCCCCCTGCTATCGATATGCCGAAGTCGTGATGACAAGACCGGGTTCCATAAGAACTATGTAGAGTGTCTGAAGACATAGTGAAAAGTCAATAACAAACCAGGGCTCCCGAACCACATATCAAACAAGATACACATTGATAATTAAGTATACGACGATAGGAGACTTCCTTAAAGCTTGCTATCGTTAGATCAAAAGAGTTCCATATTTACTCGCTTTCTTGATCCCTACGGGGTTCGAAATTTAACTATTTCATAGCACCTGTCAGTATATCAGGGACACGAATTACTCAAAAAGTTTTCTTCATGTTATCCGTAGGGGAAGAAAATGCTTCTATTTTGAAAGAAACGTGGGGGAAACATATATCCATACCTGATTCCCGTTATAAAATTGGCGCGCTTCTCCATCATCACCGTCATAGAGAGTTCTCACATTCGATCTCACATTCCTTCCTCCCAGCAGATTAGCTCTATTTGGTGCCTCTGCTGCAGGTGATGACTCAGTTGCCGTCGACTCAGGATTCGCAGCTTGGCTCTGAGATATCCCCAGAATTGATCCTATGGCCCCTGCTACCGCACCAACGGTTCCCGTAACCAGGTTATAGCCAGCATACAGCCCTCGGACGGGAAGTGAAGCTCCCGCAGAGGCATAAGCTTCTGTGTATGTACGCACTGGAACCATTACTAAATTTGCAGTAGGACCTAGACCTAGTTCCTCAAGGGTTTGATCTTCTTCTGCGTCTGATATGGTTCGGCTGGGAAGAGGTGTCAGGATCTGTTTTAAGTTATATGGCGCGTCGCCATCCGAGCGCTGGCTATCCAGCCAGGGGCGAACGTCATTTTGAATGGTCTGAGTGGGTGAGAAACTTGAGCGTACTGAACTGCCGTCAAAGAGACGTATCTGTAGGCGGAATTGATTTGGTTTAGGCTTCGGTGCCGGTCGTTGGTGGGCTGGTTTTGGGGGATCATTTTCATTCTTGGTTAATGACGCAAGAGATGCTCTTATCGACTCCTCTCTCGCTTTTCGAGCTTCGTTATCACGCCTGATCTGTTCTAATATTCGATCTCGTTCTTCTTTCTTTTGCTGTTCTCGTTTCCGCTGTTCTAACTTCCAGTTTTGAGCTTGTGATTGAGACGTGTCTTGAACCCGTTCTGGCTCCTCGGCCGTCTCAACTCGTCGTTTGCCAGCTCTTATGCTTTCCCTCCTTGCCCGTTCAGAAGTTCCCTGCTCCTGCTCCTCTGTAGATTCCGAGTCGTGGTCCGGGGTATGAGTTGAAAGCGGGCGGGAGGATACCGGAGTACTTACCCCAGGGGAACTATTACTGTCCACCTGTGCTGGCGGAGCCATCTGCGAAGTTGGGATAGGGGGATCTTCGAGCGCCTTTTTCAGTCGACGTTTAAATTCCTCCTCAGAGACACCTGATACGATGTATTCCCGAAGTACGCCGTTTCTAAAACCCATCTGTTAGCGCCGTGTTTGCCGGTTCGAAAAGAAGGCTATAAGGGAATGAAAGGCCACCTTATGACGACCAACGTGGGGACTTTGCTTATGGGGCAAAACGAGGCCAAATAACCTGCTTCCACTGAACCCGCTTGTAGTCGCAAAGAGATAGTCTTTGACTTTATTAATGGCGCTACCTAGCAAATAGAGATAATGGTCAGTATATCCAGTCATACATTCCTGCGTCAAGCGTGATGGGTAGAACAGGCTCATACCTCGTCATTAGCCAAATACTCATTCTCCCATTTCGAGCTTTCATCCGTGTCGTCTAAATTAGGCACATTTCGACAAGGCCGCGATATAGATTAGCATTTCATATAAGTCACCACACATTAGCTGCCAACAAAGTTTAGGTAGATGCGGGGGGGGAATTAAGGCACAAACCTCGAACAAAACAGATGACATATTTGGCTTCATTGACAGCAAGGGCTATACCGCCCTGTAGATCTCCTTCGTAAAACATGTTCGGGTATCGATGTGGTGTAGTATAAGGGCATATTGAGTAGACAAGCGCAGAGCAATAGTTCAAGCTATGTTGGAGCTTTGATGGAATGATGCAAATGGGGTTCGGCTGTGCACGGACCAACCATATCTGTTGGCTTTCCTTGCTTGCTCCGACGACACTCGAGAATCTTTGTATTATTATTTAAATATGTCGTGCAAGGTAACATAGCCAGTCATTCCCTAACGAATTTGTTTTCTTATTTATTTCATTGACCTTCTTATTGTTCATATTACTATAACATTTTGCATTATATTTTTGGCATTCCTATGAAGTCCTCACTTTCCCCGCTGCAGAAATTTGCGTCTGCATTCTCCCGTAGCCCATTACGAACCACACCGCGGAGGCTGAATGCGGATTCAATAATATGTGCGCGTTGTTGGAGGAAACAACAGGTCCGCTTTGCCCATCAGCCAGCTGACGATCCGACCTGGATATCTGTTGTGGACAACCCCGCAAAGCTCGTGAAAACGGGGAAGAGACATGGCCCAGGATTGATCCTTCTAGGTACGCTTGACGGATCTATCCCCTGCAAAACCGGCAGGAACTTTTTTTTTCTCCTTTTATAGAAAAGAAGAAGAACATTGCATTGACAATTGTTTACTAGCCATCATACCCATTACCGCGTTTGCCCTCGGAACATGGCAAGTTCAACGCTTGGATTGGAAGACCAAGCTCATTGCCAAATTTGAAGACCGTCTCGTGAAGGCACCCCTACCTCTTCCTCCTGTCGTTAATCCAGATGCCATCGCCGACTTCGATTATCGCCGGGTATATGTTACGGGTCGCCTAAGGCACGACCAAGAAATGCTCATCGGGCCTCGTATGTATGAGGGCAAAGATGGATATCTCGTCATTACACCACTGGAGAGAGGCGATGCCGGGAGCACAGTACTCGTCAACCGAGGCTGGGTCCCAAAGGATCGCAAGGACCAGAAAGATAGGAAGGCAGGTTTACCTGAGGGAGAAGTTACAGTGGAAGGATTACTGCGCGCCCCTTGGAAGAAAAATATGTTTACGCCGGACAATAAGCCGGAAGAGGGAAAGTTTTATTTTCCAGATGTAGTGCAAATGGCGGAGCTTGTTGGCAGCCAACCAATTTGGATTGAAGAGACAATGAGTAAGAATTGCTCCCCCTCCTATTAATTCTTACCCACTGGTGAATCCCATCGCCCAAAAAACTGACCCCGGAATCGGTAGACCCTGAGCTCCTCACAATATACCATAGAGAAGCGAATGGTATTCCTATCGGGCGCCCACCTGAAGTAAATCTCAGGAACAATCACTCCCAGTATATCGCAACATGGTAGGTGGTTTCTGTCGTCCACCCAACCCCGCTTGCCCTGATCTTGTGTCTAATTATTAATTGCCTACCCAGGTACGGTTTGTCGTTGGCTACCGCGATAATGTTCTGGATGGTCGTTAGAAAGAAGCCAAACGAGATAACTCGGCGGGTGCGACATAATAAAGGCTGGTAGCCTCGAGACGCATCAATCTCTCCACTCTTGCTACGGGCGGATTGGTCTTCTGGGTTTTAAAGGCGCTTTTCGGTGGAGTTGAAATTTTTCAGCGCTTTGGAAGACGGATATCCTGCACAAGCTCTTTGGGCAGATGCCTTTGGGCAAGCGCAAATACTGTGGTGTTTTTGCCAATATGCCGTTGCCTGTCTCCCACATTAGCATGTAGGCCTAGGATCCAACTCTGAATACTCATGTTGAAAGTGGGATCTGAAGTCAGGGAAAAAGGAGGAAGGGGAAATTACCTTCTCATGAGTGTCATGACATCCGTCTCATCGATAGTCTTTCTGCCTGCATGTTTCGCATATGTTGAGAGGTCATCACTCGCTTGCTCAAAATACCATTCCGTCGCCTGCTCAATAGCAGCCAAGGTCTCCTTGCTAATTCTCGACTTTCCTCCACCACTCCGGGCAAACCGAGTGGCCAACTTTTTTACGATACCGGATGGTAGCCGTGGTACAGGGATACCGTGTCGTGATAGCTTTTGTTGCTTGCTACCCTTCACCTTTTCTTGAGGTACTGGTTCTGGACTGCTTGAAGGAGGTGCGGGCCTGGAAAGGTCGTCTTGGATTGCAAACTCAACGCCTCCTCCACCAGCAACGCTATCGGACGACGGAAAGTCGGTTTCCACGTCAGGATTGATATCAAGGGCAAAATCCTCATATTCTTGCTCAAGCTGATTTCCGGAAATCCCAGCGGTCGTTGCATCTGGTGTCGGGAAGGAAAAGTCAAGGTTAAAACGTCGCAAATCTTCGGTCTCTCCTCTTTTGTAGATTAGCTTTGAATATATAAAGAATAATTGACGAACCCTTACCCTGCATCAAAGATAGGCCCGGTATCTTGTCCATGATCGTCTCCATCATCTCCATGAACTGTCGTATACTCCAGTTCCTCTTCCTCTAGATCCTCCATTCTGCCGAGGTCACCGAAGCGGTCACTGAATCGATTGCTCCCCATGCTTACTCTGGACAGAGTAGTTCGATCCTGTATACTCCGCTCTCGCCTTGGCATTTCTATTGATCTCCAGGTGAGATCGATATCTTCCTCAATAGCCAACGAGAGTCTAGGAGGCTGGATATCTGGACTCTTATCGTCCTCTACTATCATTTCCGCAAGCGGTAGTGAGAGCCTAGGCCTTGGAAGATCTGGTTCTTCATCAAGATCATCGATCGGTTTGGGTGTGGGTGGCTTCTCCGGCTCTTCTTGTGGTGATGATGAAACTGCTCGCGTGGTGGGGGCCAGTACTAGATTTCAAAACGAATACTTCAATTTAGTAAAAACATCACTTGCTACCTAAACAAGGTATATAGCAGCGTCTGATTACGAACTTTTACCCAGGTTCCTTAGGATATCCATGGGCGTTTCTCGCTGCACCCGTCCACTTTTCCTCCGATCCCGCCCAGGAGTATATGTAGCTGCACGTCTTTGAAGCGCGCGCAGCGCATGAGGAGTCGCGGGGGGAGCATTGGCGCCTGTATATATGCTACCTGGTGTTCGTCTTGCGGAGGCTCGGTTTGCGGAGAGCGGAGGCCGAGCGGCAATTGCCGCCGGAGTTGTAGGGTTTATTGTTCCCGCGAGTTGGTGAAGCTAAATGAAGCCAGAGAGGATAGAAATAGAAAAGTTAGTCAATATTCTTTATGCGCAGCTTTTCCATCCCGTAATCATGTTTTCCACGTACGGCATTGAGGGGGCTCTCCTGGTCTGAATTTCTCTTCCCTGCGCTACGAGGGGTGGTCCTCCGGTAGTTTTGTTTGGAGGGTGACGACATAATCAATGCTGAATGTTAATTTTCCTTGCGCGCGCAAAACGGCATGCCTAAGCTTGAGAAAGACAACTAGTTTATTCGCTGGTAGGAAAACCTTATATTTGCTTAATTGCGACGCGTTGATTTCATTGTTTTGTTCTTGCGGCGAAGGTTGAGGTAAGGCGATCTGGGTCCGTTAACTAATAGGAGATAACTTTAGTTAATGACTAAGCACAAGGACAGAGCCAAAAAAAGCTGAAGCTTCAAAAAAGAAAAAAGATAAAAAATTTAAGATAAAATAAGAGCATTTCCGCTTTGGCTACGCTTTCTTTTAAGAAATACTATATAAAACTCACAATGGGGTCGCCAGCGCAACCGAAACTTCCAGCTAAAGCGACGAAGAAAAGACGTAGAGAAGATGAGGAAGACGTCCTTCCCACTAAGCAGGCAGCTCCCACAGCACCAGCAACCGCAGCGAATGATGGAGGTAGCAAAAAGAAGAAACGGAAGAAAACGAAGCAGATCGTCGAAGATCCAAAAGATGCAGACAAGAAAGATGGCATAGACGAGTCTATTGGCAAAATGGACGGGCCTCTCCTGGCAGATTTCTTTGCGCAGCAGGCAAAAAGGCACAACAGCGAATTGACCGCGGTTGAATTAGATGATGTCTATGTTCCAGGTAAGAGATTTTTACATGCTTAACTTAACTTTAGGCGATATATTCATTCATGAACATGCAGATCTAATCTATTTGCTTTCGAATTTTGCGCTGACCTTGAAACAGAGCATGCATTCCTAGACACGACGTCTTGGAAATCACCAAGAAAGTTAGAGAATCTCCCTGCATTTCTCAAGGTTTACAGTAGGAAGAAAGGTAGTCCTGATTCGCTGTCAACTGCCCCTGAAGAAAAAGGCAGCCCACATACGATTGTGATTACACTCGCGGGCCTTAGAGCGGCCGATATTACGAGGTTAGTATTCTACTTCATATAGGAACTTGCTCGCTGCAGCTAAGTTTTAATAATGCATTTAAAATATTAACTAATGGATTCGTTCTAGAGCGCTTCGGCAATTCCAAAACAAAGATTGTACTGTCGCTAAGCTATTCGCCAAACATATCAAACTGGCTGAGGCTAAAGAGTTTGTAAAGAAAACGAGGTAAGGTCTTTTGGAAAATTTCCAAGTAATTAATAACCGCTAATTTTGTGCAGAGTTGGTATTGGGATTGGTACTCCTGTTCGATTGAATGATTTGGCTGCCTCTGGTGAGTTTCTCCCTCGGGGTTAGATTTGGCGGGATTCAAACGTGGCTAAAATGTTCTATTCTTAGGCGAATTGAGTCTTACACATCTCAAACGTATTGTCATCGACGGCTCATACGTCGACAAGAAGAAGCGGGGTATCTTCGACATGAAAGATTTACACCTCCCTCTTCTTCAATTTCTCAACCGCGCGGATCTCCGCGATCGGTACTCCTCTAGCGATAACCGAGTGGAAATTCTGGTTTTTTGAACTGATACCCTTTTGTATATCGCTAAGCGTGGAGACGCGGTAGGATTACGGCACTTCTGCCTAAATTCAAACTCGGTTAATACATAATTCTCCCGCATGAGATGTCTTCGCAATTTGAAATCGTCGACCATCCCAATCAGGTTCACGCCACCGCAGCTAGAGGCCGTTCCTCACTTACTATGAGAAGACTAACAGCCAATTCGAGGAAGTAGGAAAGATAACCCGGCCGGTGGTGAAGGTTTCTGTCTAAAATATGCATGATTTGGAATGAGAGGAATGATGTTGAGCGCTGAAACCTAAAAGGATTGTTGGATGGGCAGCAAGAGCTGGAAGAGAATGAAACGACCCGGGGTAATCTCCTGATCTGCCTGATTGAATACCATACTTCACGGTTATTTCCGGAGCTGGCGGCGGTTTTAAGAGCCAATATGGCTGAATGGGTCGGTTGTAATTGCAGCAGTTGTCATAGTTAATTAGAAATTTCACTACCCTAATTTCTCTTAGGACCTCGCGACGATTAAATTAACAACATGTACCACCAGTAGATATCTTGCTATCCAATGGTTCCCACCATGCTGTTTGAGGTCTCAGTCTCGATATATAACTTGCAGGAGAGGGTGGGACTTGTATCGTATGATGGCCTGAAGGCTCAGAAAATTCTACAGCTTTTGGGAGTCTGGACACAAAAACACAAAGCTCTCCAGCAACTACAATTGGCCTTCCATCATTTGCTAGGGCCGGGTGTCAACTTCTCTAGCCAAGTCTACAAACAATGATAGAACTCGCCGTGAAAGCATGAACTAGAGTGATTCCTTAGGGCTTCAACGCCACGTGATAGATTTTGGTCGAGTTGGAAGCGGTGAGGAGATCATTTATTCTCACCGCCTAGCCTGGCTGGTTTGACAGAAATATTTCAGCAAAAATGAATAAATTTGCAACGGATGTACTGTACAGAGTAGTATACCGGGGAGATATCGAAGAAGCTTCGAGCACGAGAAGCGGAAAGATTTAGTGAGTGCACTCCTATAACCCGAATTTCAATGGGCCTTTACATTCGAGATAAATTAGTTGTTTTATTTTCATTCCCCATTAGCTAACTACATTTGCATTTTCGTACTAGGGAGTTTTTCGAGTATCGAGTTCACGCTCGGAAATCTATCAGCCGCAAAAATGGGCGATAAGCGGAAACGGAGCCAGTTACTGGCTGAAGATGATGCGGTTGAAGTTGCGGAAGTGAAACAGAAGAAACCCAAGAAGAGCGACAAGGAGAGGAAAGGAGATAAATCAAAGAAGGAGAGGAAGGAAAAGACAGGAAAGAAGCAGGATGACGAGGAAGTTCAGGACAATGTTGAGGTTAATGGCCTGGGCACGGATGCTGAAATGAAGGATATTGATGAGGCGATCCCATTGGTAAATGGTACTGCAGGAGAAGAAGCTGAGAATAAGGCGAAAGAGGCGAAGAAGGGGAAAAAGGAGAAGAAGGGAAAGAAGGAGAAGGAGAAGAAGGAAAACAAAGAAAAGAAAGTTAGGGAAGCCGATGAAGTGGTGGAAGAGAGACAAGATAAGAAAAAGGAGAAGAAGGAAAAGAAGGAAAAGAAGGAAAAGAAGGAAAAGAAGGAAAAGAAGGAAAAGAAGGAAAAGAAGGAAAAGAAGGAAAAGAGGAAGGATAAAAAGGACGTAGAAGGCAAGGATAAGTTGTCAAAGGAGGGTGAGGAGAAGGGGGAGGGGGAGCAGGAAGCAGTGCCAGGAAATTTAGAGAATCAGGAGAAGAAAAAGAGCAAAAAGAGCAAGGATAAGAAGGAAAAGAAGCGGAGCAAAGATAAGAAAGATAAAGAGGGCGTTATGCTCCCTGAACACGGGGACATGACCGAAAAACCCGCTGCTGTTGAAACTGATGCTGCTGAGGTGAATAGCGTTGATAAAACTATCGAAGGGACCAATGGACACGATGAAGAGAAGAAAAGCCAAAGATTCATTGTATTCATTGGTAAATGCCCTTTATTTTATCTACACCTCCCTTTTGGCTCTCTAATTCCTCGTCCAATTACGAAATAATACTAACATCGCGGTCTAGGTAACTTGCCGTTCCAAACAACTCTGGAAGCCGTGCAAAAACACTTCGCAAAAATCGACCCCAGCCATGTCCGACTCCCCAGTGAGAAAGGCGGGAAGAAAGGCCGTGGCTTCGCCTTCATCGAATTCGACCATTACGATCGCATGAAGACGTGTTTGAAGCTGTACCACCACTCCTTATTCGATGATGGCAAGAATCCTGCCAGGAAAATCAATGTTGAATTGACGTGAGTGATCCTTTCTTTTCCCTCCCTCTCTAATCACATCTATGTTTGACTTGTTTCCAATCCCCCTTCCAACACGGTGCCAAAACATACTTTAACTTCCACATCCCTATTAGTGCTGGTGGTGGTGGCTCGAAATCCGAAACTCGTAAAGCGCGCATCGTGGAGAAGAATACAAAACTCTCGGAACAACGTGCTCGCGCAGCAAAAGAAGCTCTGAAACAGAAAAATAAAGCCGATGCTGCTAAGCCGGCTGATGATGCAGAGGCAGCGCCAGTGAAGAACGATATGGACGATGTGCATCCCACTCGGAGGAGATGGGTTCCGGGTCCCTGAGAAACAGTGCCTTTTGATTTTCTAATGGCGTTGGGTAAGTAAAAAGGGAATATTAACTAAAAAGAGATGGGAAATGGAGTGGAAGTGGTACATGTATCTGTCTCGTTCATCTATTTTATTTTTTATTTCATGCCCTTTTCCCTACTGTATTGGTATTTATATTGAAATTTTACGTTATTACTATTTTCCAACCCCTCGCTCTTTTCCCGTTTGTATGTTCGTTCTCTAATATTAGCTCCTAGGCCTTGGATAATTAACATCGAAGAAGCTTTGCAGACCAGACGACAGCCGCTATTTGTCTCATTTTGTTTCCAGTCTTTCATGGCCTATCGTACTGTCGTGGGATCATTTGATGATTAGGGAGACGCAGCCCCATTCAGTTCTGTAAGCGCCATGCTCAACTGACTATATCATTTCTGACTCCAGAACCTTATAGGCGCCCGCCTTTCCCCCCGAGACCAATATATTTTTCCTTTCCAACAAATAGGCGGGGTGTGCCTGTGCCGCAATTCTATAGTTACTAATCCGTAGGAGCAGTTAGCAGGATGGTAAGCACCCTTCAAATAAGTAGAACATGCATATCCTTAGGTCCAGCCTAGTGGAAACATGAAGACAAAAGTTTCTCTTGATCGAACCGATACTACTGTGTTCATTGGAAGAATCACAAGCAAGCAACACTTCGAAACGCTGCTATCTTACTTATTTTAGGCCACTAGGGCAACAGAGCTCAATCACCACCAGTGGGCACTGATGGTAGGTAGAGAGACTGAACCAACCTGGGACCCCTAGCAACTGATTCATGCACCCCGCTAATCTATAAGTCATGAAACACGCTATACGGAGTACATGCACCGCCATGCCTCCGGCGACATAGCGGCGCACGGGGGCTGGTCTGGCTTCGTATGATGGTGATCAGGTTGGTGTAGCTGTCGAATAGTGACCTCTATCTGCTGTACCTACCCCGATCCGTACCTTGACAAGCACCCATACACCAACAATCTACACAATATTTCGGCCAAAGGGGGGATTGGAGAGGGCCCTCTGAGCTCCTATACATGTGACTTCTTTAGGAGAAGATCCCAGACGCCAGGACGTACATGTACTCTACATGCTCTATGCATCTTTCCTAACTACATCCAAGTCCTCAAAGAATATCAAATATCGCTCCATGTACATGTACAAGCTTCAGTCGCAAATCCCCCCAGCAGCTATGATCATGGCCATTTTTGTCATAAGAGTCCAACGGAACAACCAGCTCGAGTGGTACCATTTAAAGCGTTCTCACCCTGGATATTTTACCATAGTAACCCTCCATATCCCTGAACACATATCTGTGGCAGTATTCAGATAATGTCCGTACGTTCTCAGTCGTCCCAAGTCCGCCATTCCTATTGAATAGCACACGTATACCCCTCAGAACCGGACTGGAGCATTCTACCAACTGCTTTGAGTGCACAGGTACACCGCATCTCATGATCAAGGGGAACTACAAATGGCATGGTACGGTTGGTGCAAAGCTTAGTGCGGGAAACAATCTACACGCACATTGATTTAGGGGATAGGGGGAACGATGCTAAGATGCGACGACGTGTCCTGTTTGGCGTGTAAGGTGCATTGCTAGGTGGGGGAATGGCATTTGGGGGTTTTCCTGCTTGGGTGGGGTGGGGGTGGATATAGCAGGTATCAATGTGTGGTTGCATGGAGAGCACGATAATTTTGTACTTCCAGTTCCTTTCTTTAGGGGGCCAGAGGGCAGAAGGCGACGGGGAGGGAAACGGTGTACGGGTAGCGTAAAGTATACAGAGAGGGAAGAGAGAACAGGGAAAAAGGTTTTTTCAAAACACATTATCACCATGTTTAGTGGGAAAATATGATGACAAGAAGAGTTGCAAGACAAAAAAAGGGGGAAGGAGATGAGTTAAGAAGAGCAGGGGGATGAAACGAACGGGGCAATGTTGTAGCTTGGCCATCACTGCTTTCCCTCCCCCATGCGCCGTTACCAAAGCGCGTCGTAATTCGTTTACAAATTATCTAGAGGAATATGAGCAGAGCCAAGTGACAGATCATGAACAAGATTTTGCGGAGGAAGTTATATTAGGTGAAAGCGATAAGTGGCAGCGGAGATGTTGGCGCGGGTGACAACCACGACGGGCGGAAAAGGAGAAAGAAATAAAAAACAATGTGCGGTCGAAAATAGAAAGATGACAAAACTAATCAATCCAAATCCACCTTCCAAGCGGCAGGTAAAAGAAAGAAGGGGGAGGGGGGAGGGGGGGAAATAGATAAAGCGTTAAAATGACGACAGACCTAAGCAAAACAAGAGAAAGAAAGGAAACGAAGTGGGAAATTAGAACGCCAGAGCAAGTAATCTGCGGGTGGAGGGCAAACTTCATCAGATCGTAACAATTCGATTTTTTAACAGCTAAGGGTAAATCAAACTGGAGGGAAAAGGAAACCAAAGAGGGGACGGCAAAAGAAGCTTTTCTTGGATAGATAGATGGGTACGAGAGGGTAAGATGGGGATCCAGGTTTTTAAAATTTGAAGAAAGTAATAGAGCACAAAATGGCGCACAAGTTTGCATAGATCTCATAAGATTTCAGGAGAAGTTGGCTATATCATAGCCTCGAGCGCCAAATCAAAAATTATCTGCAACGGAGAGAACACTCAGGACGAAAAGCTAGAATTAGACTCAACATGGGTGGGAATAACGGTCAGAGAATCTGGAAGAAATCGTTGGTCAATTAGTGATTGCAAGATGATGAGGGTTTACTGCCGCTCTTGAATTAGGTCGTTCCCCCTCTATTGAAAATTCTTCGAGTAGGTCGTGGTTCTTCCCGGATAGTTCAGAGGAAAAACCAGTTCATTAAGTTGATTTCGTATAACTCAGAAAAAAAAAATAGGCTACGAAGAAATGTTCGCTGAGTTTCCGGGGATTTCGCTTTCAGTTGAGAAGAAAAGCAAAATAGCTGAAAATGAAGAAAAGTAACATGCTCAGGGGATATCATAGTGTCATCTCTATCGTTCTTCTTTTTGAATCTCAGGCAGTCAGATGGGTTCTGCCGGCACACGAGAGATTTAGAGGAGATTGCATTTGGATTTTTTAGGTTTCGCAACAGGACGTGGATTCAGCACGGCACTAGAAACAGTTAGTCTCCTACGGGTTTCCTAGAAGTTGACGGCGGTGGTTATGGGCATGGCATACCGAATAGCTTCATCGAAGACACTCTTCAGATTTCGCTGCGTGAGGGCTGAACATTCGAGGTATTTTTGTGCTTTGATCTCTTTGGCAACTGCGAGGGCTTGTTCATAAGACACTGGTTCCATCTTCTTCGCACGAAGACTTTCAGCAGTAGCCTTGTCCTCTCGCAGATCCAGTTTGGTCCCTACTAGAATTATGGGGACATTGGGCGCGTGATGTTCGATCTCCGGGTGCCACTACACAAAAAATTAATATAAAATGCGTGTAAAAAAGGGCGCGTGAAACCTCAAATGTGTCTAGGGCGTATGTTGTCAGCGTACCTTCGCTTTGACGTTATCGAAAGACGGCGGGCTGACGATAGAAAAGCATATAAGAAAAACATCGGTCTGTGGATATGACAAAGGACGTAGTCTGTCGTAATCTTCCTGTCCAGCAGTATCCCAAAGACCAAGACTGATTGGCTTCCCATCAACCATTACACTGGCGGAGTAGTTGTCGAACCTATGTCCTGTCAGAAAGATCGAAACACCATGGAGGATGTTTTATATAAAACATACACAGTAGGAATATACTCTCCGGGGAAGGCATTTGTGGTGTAGGAAATAAGGAGACATGTCTTAAAGTTTTATGTTAGCAAAATCAGATATAATCGCCACATTAAAGCTGAAGAGGAAAAATGCTTACCTTGCCAACAGCACCGTCGCCAGTAACAACACACTGGGAGAGGAATGAGAATGCTGGTCAGTAGGTAAATTGGAAACTCAAACATAAATCGAAATCTGGTATTTGGGACGGAAATCTTAAAAGTTACCACCAACCTTCAGTGACTGAGTAGCTGGTCCAGAGGCCATTTTTGTCGAAACTTCCAGAGAATGAAAGTCAATGTAAAAAAAAGAGTTAAGTAACAAGGATTGAGAGACCGAAAGCGAATTCCAAATATAAAGCCTAAAGATCAAGTCAAAGGCGGTCTAGCTGGTCAAAGTCCTGCGCCAACGGTGTTAAAGTCTTGACAAAGATGAATGAAGCCCACTGTCCAACAGGATTCAATCCAAAGAAACACACAAGGGCTCTCTAATGGCTTTTTTATTTATTTCTTCGACGAGATATAATGGCGCAGCTTCAAATATCCTATAACCTTTTATATAAAGGAGATTAAAGCTTTTATCGGGTATATGGACTGGGATCGTGGTTGGGGACTTCGGGAGGTGTAGATTGCGGCGGAGCGATAAACAGCAGCGACCACACGGTAAAACCAATTGGCGAGGGATCAGAGCTGATTAGCTAGGAGGATGGAAGCTCCTTTAGTGACGATGATGAAAATGGAATCTGGAGAGGCAACGATATGGTACGAGGCTGGTGGTGAGGGTGTTGGGGGTAGGGTAACCTTCACACCAAGCAGAAGAGCCAGGGAGATTACAAGACACAGCACCGCTCAAGCAGACAATCGATAGAGCAGATAAGAAGAGGACGACTGCAGGCAGGCAGGAGTGGGGGAATGAGACAGCAAGATGATGAGATGGTGAGCAGAGGAGGACAGGAGAGGAGGAGAGAGGTGAGGTGAGGTGAGGTGAGGAGGAGGTTGAGACGAGTTGGAGACCGGACGGGGGACGGTGAGTTGCTTGGGGGTTGACGCCGGCTTGGCCCAAGGAGAGGCTTGGCCCAGGTCTCATACGGGTCGCATCAACCCGCAGCATCAACATATTTATTTACATCCCATCGTATAGACTTACTCCAAATCTGGCCATGGTTGGTTTCCCAGAGTCAGATCCTCCTAGATGGCTTTGGTGCTGTGGCAGCTAACTGGTATTTGGTATTTGGTATGTGTTATGCTTAATCTAAATTTTGCATCTTTATATCCAATCCCTCGTCGAGGTTGAACCGGGACTGACCGACAAAGTACCCTGGTAAGCGCCGTGGTATGCTAGCTCCATCGATGCTCCCTGGCATGCTTGGTTGGCCTGGAACCACCCCCAGGATATATAGTTGGACCCTATCGCCCTTCCAACATATAAATCTCTATTTTTATGGAGGCGTGTATATATATATATATATATATATGTGCGACTCGAACTCCTCGATGTTCCGTGCAGCTAGTCTGTGCCGCCGCCTCCATGTGGCCCATCCCGGGTTGTCTCTTTAGCTGACTAGCTACATCCAACCATGGACAAGGGTGATTGTATCCCGATCACTAGACGTGGAGATAGCAAGCGACAGGTTTCGTTGCTGCTCTAGATATATTATTTAAAATGGCTACTTTCTTCGAAAGCTTGTTGGATGGAATCACCCGAAATGACCTCGCAATGATTGGGATGTCCAATCCCATTTCTCCTCCCACACATGTTAGAGCGCACTCTACACTGCTGTTGCTCTGTTGCTGTTGCGAGGATGGCGCTGCTGCTGCTGCCGCTGCTCAACCCATGTCCTGTCGTGCAACTGTTGGATATTTTAGCCTCTGGAAACAAATTATAGAAAAGCATACATACATGTAGCTTCGCCCGCTACAGAGCAAGGGCACAGCGAGCCTTATCAGCTCCCCGCATTATTATGTATAGAAAATTTTATAACTCACTAGTTAGTACGGAGTACAGCTTTGCTAATAACTTATATAACTTGTAGAAAATTCTCACCAAATGTAAGTACAAAACCCGAAATGTGATTTTACAGTTTATCGGAAGAGTATCGGAAAATTTCTGCTTCCCAAAACTGTAATAATAATGGTCGGACGTGTCTCAGTCAGATTCATCCCTCTGCCCACTGCTCATGTTCAATCCAATTTTGTAAATGTGTATGCGCAAGAGGGTGTCCATTTGTTACATAGCTCAATTAAAACCATAACGGTCATCCCGCATATATAAATATGTACATTGTCTCAATGATAAAAACAATAAGAAACTTCTCCCCTCCCCCGCCAAAACATGGCGCCGAAAAAAAAAAAAAAAGAAAAAAAACCTTACAACTTCTCCTCCCTCCTAAACCCGGCAATTTGGCGCCCGGCCTTGATTGTAGGCGGCTCCCTCAATAGCGGGCCCGCAGCCTCAGTGAGGGCCTTCAGGTGGCCGGACTTGCTATGCAGCTTCAGAGACTCGGCATCCTTGTATCTATGAAGTTTAAATTTTTTGGTGTTGTTCGAGAACGTTAGAAATCAGGGTCTGATCCAGTAGCATTCTTTTTTCTCTTCGGAACGATTGTTTGTGCTTTGGAGCAATGAAATCAAGGGCAAGTGTTGCATGAGCAGGGAACGGCGGGGTAGCAATAGCGCATGTTTATATATATGATAATAGGATAGAGGACATGCATTATTGCATAGTTATTTCCCACTTGTTGAATGGAAATGGATATGAGAGAAAAGAACATACCTTTCCACAGCAATTAGTTCGTCTCCTCCCTCTGGTTGCACAACATACCAAGCTAAAGTGCCAGGTTCAGTGTGCTGAATATTTTTGCCTGTTTCAACTAGGTGAGCGGCGAGCTGTAAGTCGGGATGGTATTAGCATTTCTTTTCTCTAGCATTGCCTCTTTGCATTTGTATTTAATTTCTTTTATCTTGGTCATTTGCAATGTGATAATGGGATTACTCACCTCATCAATCTTGCCCGGCAATGGCTTCATGATGGCGATGAGTTGGATTTCTTGGGATATCATGGTTATCGGAGGGGTAGTTACAGATAGAGGGAGATCTGTTCAGGAAGTAGCAGTGAAGATTAAATAACTATTTGATACCCTGAGAAAAATGTAGTTTTGCGGATTTAGAAGAATTTCTGTTATCCTTTTTATCGCCAGCGTAATCGATGTTATTTATATAATTATCTGACTGACAGCTTGCGCTCTAAGCTGTACGCTGTTTTCCCAGTGGCATCATTTTTACGTCGAAACTACCGCGGCATGTGTTCCGCCCCTTTACCGGATGCCGTGTTCCACTGCACTGCCTAATATAATAAGAATACCTAGGCAATATCCAACTTAACCACTCGCGATCGCTCAGCAACGACGGCCTTCACTGTCCAGTTGAATGGACGAGTTCAAGCATTTGAACCCTCGCTGAAGGCTCTCCCAGTCCAAGATTCGAGCCACACTCAACTGAGATATTTTGACCCTCGTTCAACTGCATGCCCACCGAAGCAGAGCTATTATTGAAGGATCCCTGACCCAGGCTAAAAGTTTGTCTCTGGCGGCGATATTAACTATAACAGCGCGGCTTGGACAGAATAATGTCCTTGCTGCTGGTGTCTCTGAACTTCCACCTTGCGACTATTCATTTTTGCAGGTCTTTTTTGTTTTTTCTCTTTTCATCAGAGAAATCCTTTATTTAGAGGCTGTTAGGTTAGGGCTGATCGAACAAAACAACAACTAACCGGAGGATATAAGTATCCCTTAAACATCTGATATTCTGCCTGATTGCGCTAATTGGAGATGGAAACGCCATATCTTTGTACAGTATGCATGCTCTCCAGCAGGCGCAATGGTTAGCTGAGACAACTGGGTTGGGAAACCGTTTGTACATGTATCGTCCCCGCCCACCAAGCTTCAAACCAAAGAATCTGATCCCTTTATCCTGATTGCTATTGGGTTCCCTGGCTAGTCAGTCAGGCGGTAAGGGGCATCGTCCCTTGGAGCGATGTCACCTTCATGGTAGCGTTTCTTGTCTATCTGTGAATTGAGTTCAGGTGAGTGATGCAATACTACGAAAAAGCAGGATGCAATATACAGTACAGAACGCTGTCTTATCCCGCTTCCCTCTTTTGCTCTGTTGCTGACCCATCATCCAGCTAGCTGTATTGTTGCTGTTGCTGCCAACAAGTGCTTATGTGCCTAGACGTTCTTGCTCGCCCCCCCCCCCTCCTACAAGCTCCCGGAGCCTTCGTTAGATATGGCTCCTGGTGGAATGGAGCCCTTCTAGGAGAGTGACTGCAAACAATGAATGAATGCATTCTTCTTTTTTCGCACTACTCTTTCTCGAGACTATTCTGTTTCATATATACCTATCCAGATATATTTCTATATATCTCTATATAAATACCTTATATCCATCCAGCCTCTTACATGTACATATTCCCCTACCTTTTATATATAGCTCTCTGCCCGCCTGAGCGCAACAGAAATAGCGTAACTTTTCTTATATATATCCACATATATACCTTTTTACCACGCTACCTCACAACTAGGTTCTAGCCTTTTGACAGCTGTCGATTCCTGTTGGCATAGTTGCTGACTTCACTAAACCTGGAGAATCAGCGTCCATGCGGCTGGATAACAGCAGGATAGTATGATGAGATCACACTGGTCATGGTTAATCGAGCGGCTGAGACCCGCTCAGTCGTCTCCATATTATGCTTTTTACATCCGAGAATGTTTACAACATGGTTATATGACATTCACCCAGCTGAAAATGCATATCGGCATGCAGTTGGGTTTTGGAGAGTGGAAGCACTGGTACTACCCGAGGTCGCAGGACAAGCCTGTCCGGATCGATATGTATGGCGATGGCAATTGCTCCACCTGTGGCATCCGCCACACCGGCTTCAAAGAGATCTTCGCGGAAATGACGGCATTTCATCGATCGTTAGAGTTGCCGCTCCGGTTTCGCTCCCCCTGGGCTTTCTCGTGGGCTGCAGCTGCGGGAGTTTTTTTACCCCCGTGGTCTGATATCCCCTAGTATAGCGAGAACGCGCAGAGGAAGATGTTGGAAGAGATTCCGAAGGTGGTTGTTGTGATGCTGCTAACGTGAGTAGTGACCGGCAGGCAGCTTCGGGGATTTGCATGGTATATATAAAGGGATAACGATCATATATTGACATCTCCCTAAGCGATGTACAATACACCTTTTGAAATTCTCGCACGCTTGTTGATAAAATAAAAATAAAATAAAAAATCACTGCCGTGGTTCGCGAATATGGCTTTTAACTGACAAACCTCCCCTCCGCGAATATCACGATTCTAGTTGGTTTTGTTACTTCCGCGAACAGTCCACGACGTCTGGTCAGAGATGTCGCTGCCTCAGCAACTCAGAGCCTTGCCCTCTATGCTCCTCGAGCGCCAGCCCTGCTGCCCCTGATGCGCCCCGTGCTGTCTTTGGCGCCTTGATGCTCCTGTATTCCCAGCAAAAGTTCATCCCGTGTATCGAGATGATGATGCCTTGGTCATTGAACACAATGGTCTTTTGGCACGGCCCGGGCTTTGTTGATTCAATGGGAAGTAGCGCGGAGGCTGAGGATTTGGCTGAAGACGCAGATCGCGAGTTACTCCGGCGCTACCAAGAAACATCTGCCGTTGAACCTTCGTACATCGGTTCCGGCAAGCGGTTAGGGTTAGAGCCCCTCATTTCCACGATCATGAGAACGAGGATGTGTATCCTGGCACCTGTCGCGCCCTGTCGCGCCTGGGGATCGGACACGCAGCCGGGAAATTATCTTTCCCCGGCAAGGTCCTCCCTCGCCCGTTCTGTTGTGCCTAGTGTTGCTTGTAAGTGTCCCTTTGCCCGTTTCCCGGCATAGGTAAACTTTTTCACAAGAATCCAGTCCAGCCGATTCTCAGATCACCAGAACGCGCACATCATGACGGCTGCGCTGCGAGAAGTAGGCGGTACCTAGCAGGCTCGCATAGCGACTTGACTTGATTGGACGATTAGCTGCGTTTGATCGAGCGAAGGAACTCAATACTCTGTGGATACATGGGTGGTAGACTAGCGCCAGTTCAACGAATTTGGTTATGCTACAATAGCGGATGCATCTGACTTCATTTCCTATACCTTTTGCCGCTGCCGTGACGAAGGGAATTTACCTCAGAGTGGCTGCACGCCGATGCCAAAACGATCCTCCGACCATATGGCCCGGCTGATATTTTCGGGCAAAATAGCCAGCCACCATTTTGGAAAATGGATGTTGACATGCTAACACGGTACTTCTGTCTATCTAACCTTGAAACTCAAAACTCCGCGCTGTATCGAACCGTCATACCTACCTGTCTCTAGTAGGTAGATACTGGATATCTTGAAATATCTTCTGCCGCGGGTAGTGTCACTGCAATCAACTTTGAACCCGCCCTCTAATCTCCAGATAACCTCCAGATAACACAGGCAGTGTGTACTCAATCTGTATATTCTCACTGCAATCAACATTGAACCTGCCTCTTCAATCGTCAGATCCAGATAACCTTCAGACAACCTCCACACTTGCTTCTATCTTCAGAAGTTGCAACTGGTTTTCTGGATCCTTGAGGTGGTCCATGAGTTGTTGATGAAAAGTGCGATGTCCGATGGGTTAATCACGCAGGTATGCCATGACCATGCTACTGGATTCGGGTTTGACCATTTCCCTCGCGCAGTGCCACTTCGGCTACCTACCCCTCAGCCCACCTAAGGTGGCAGGATAACATCACCCAATTCGTTAGGCTGGCGCTGATTTACACCACATATACAAAAGCCAAGACTCGATTCGATATTACAATAGTGCAAAGCAGCAGAGAAGGAAACCGCAGAGGACACTGAATAGAACGGATAGCGGGAACTATGAAGGGCACAGCTGGAAATCCACTCTGTTGCACTCTGACCCATCCGTCATGCTTGCTCGCACTCTACCCTTCTTACACTGACTATTATGCCTTTTTCCTCATTCTACTTATTTGCTCTCCATCTCTTTTACGATATGTTCAATGCGCGCATTTATTCCCATCCATGCCACTCAGCAATCACACCATCTCATTTATGACAGCCCTGGTGATCTCTGTTAAAAATACCTCCGCGATGATAATCATAATGTGTTCACCGAGTTGTTCAGCTGATGACTGCTAGACAAAGTGATATCAACAGACTCATACAAGTGTGAGATTGTCCAGTGGAGTGGAGATCACACTACTATGATCACTAACAAGTCTAAGATTTCACATCAATCAGCTCTTCAAATACATCCAACATTTGGCCGATGTCACTGAGCGCTTGGCCTGTAGCATCCTCACCGTCCACACTAACTACATCGACAAATACTTTGAGTACCCACCGCTCCCATTGCTTCTGATAACTGTGACTCGACTCGATAGTACAACTTAAGTTAGTGTTATGGTTTGGGATTTAGTTACGCCCCTCGCTTCACATCAAAATTCTGGGGATGTCTTTGCGACTAATGGGGATCAAGCGATGGATGACAGCTGCGTAGCGCCCCAACCTGACAATGGAGGTTACCCTGCGTTTGCTCCTCATGGGCCAATACGAGTCTGGCTGGAGCTCCTTGCTCGAACAAGTCGAATGAAGCATAAATTCGACAACCACCGACCCAGCGACTATATCCCCGTTAGAAATCTTGACAGCTGTTAAGGCAAGGTGGATTCCGATACGCAATGAGGACTCACCTCCAGAGGTTACAACCTGTATATATAGCTGGGCGGGACGCTCATGCTCTTCTTCTAATTCTGAACAGATTCACTGACTGAAGAGGTTTATAGAGGTTTGACTCTGGAGTTTTGAAGAACATTGAGAAAGGAGTAGAGATTGAATCTCAAGAATCAAATCTCTCAAATTCTGAAACTAAAGATCTTCATTCAAAATAGGGCTTAAAATGCTGCTCTTTTCTAAGTCCTCATACACTAAGTACTCATATGAAAGAGAGATGTTGTTCTTGAGAGGTTTCTCTTTCATTTCCGATTCTTTATGAATCCTACCCCACCCTTTTTCTGTTCCATTGTGCCGTCAACTGAGAGCAGCTCTTCACGCCATAGCCCTACATCATACCCGCTGAAGAAGTGGATGATGAGACCGGTTGGCCCCAGATATTGAAGAGTGAGATGCAAATAACTATGTTTCCTAATCCATGTCGCCAGGTGGACAAGAAAACCCTGGCATTGCCTATTTTCACCTTCCTCTCAGACCCTTACTTTTTCTGTAGCCATATCTTCTTTAATAGCGCGCAGCCGCTGACTTCCAATAAATCAGCGAACTACCTGTTCAATTCGCCTAGAGCGAATACTCTGAGTCCGTCACCAGGTGTTCT